CTGCCAACTACCAGCACTTTGGCGCGACAAAAACGTGGTATGGTATCCCGGGTGAGGACGCGGAGAAATTTGAGGCCGCGATGCGCGAGGCCGTCCCCGAGCTGTTTGAGACGCAGCCCGACCTCCTATTCCAGCTGGTCACTCTCTTAACACCGGAGCAATTGAAGAAGGCCGGCGTTCGAGTCTATGCCCTAGACCAGCGTGCAGGCCAGTTTGTCATCACCTTCCCGCAGGCTTACCATGCGGGCTTCAACCACGGATTCAACTTTAACGAAGCCGTAAACTTTGCCCCATGCGACTGGGAGCCTTTTGGCCTCGCGGGCGTGGAGAGGCTGCAGGTTTTCCGCAGACAGCCCTGCTTCTCGCACGACGAGCTGCTTTGGACAGCTGCTGAGGGCACAACGAACAACGGGCTCACGATTCAGACAGCCAAATGGCTTGCTCCGGCCCTTGATCGGATCAAGAAGCGGGAGTCAGCGCATCGAGCCGATTTCGTGGCAAAGCACCTCGAGTCACAGTGGCACGACTGCGGCTTGGCCGGCAAAGACGGCACCTCTTGTTCTTTGAAATTCGAGACTGACGACACCGACGTTCCTGAGGAGGAATACCAATGCTCCTACTGCAAAGCCTTTACCTACCTATCTAGGTTCAAATGCCTCAAGTCGGGCAAGGTCTTGTGCCTCGAACATGCAGGCCACCAGCCATGCTGCGGCATGCCCGAGCAGCAACGGATGAGCGGCGAGGGCCACGCCGTTATTTATAGGCAATCCGAAGAAGACATCGAGGCAACCTATGCGAAGGTCCTCGAAAAGGCGCGTACGCCGGAGGCCTGGGAAGAGAAGTACGAGAAGCTTCTGGAAGAAGAGGCCACGCCTTCTCTTAAGACTCTTCGGAATCTCCTACACGAGGGTGAGAAAATACCCCATGACCTGCCCTCACTTCCTTTGCTTCGGGAATTTGTCGAACGGTGCAACGACTGGGTGGACGAGGCCACCAACTACACGATTCGGAAGCAGCAGAATAGGCGCAAGAGCGAAAAGTCCATCCTGAACCGGAAGAACTCGCTGGACCAAAAGGAACGCGATGCGCGCAATGTCTCCAACGTGTACCGTCTTCTCAGCGAGGCTGAGCAAATTGGTTTCGATTGCCCCGAAATCACCCAGTTGAGGGAGCGGGCCGAGGCCATCGAAGCCTTCCAGAAGAATGCAGCTAAAGCGCTGGAACAGATCCACCTCGCCGAGCTCTCCGAAATCGAAGACCTACTTGAGGAGGGCCGGACGTTCAACGTCGACATGCCGGAAATCGACCGCCTGTCGCGAGTTCTCGAGCAACTCAAGTGGAATGAAAAGGCCAGGAACAACAGAGGCGTCTTTCTGTCACTCAACGAAGTGCGCGAGCTCATCGAAGAGGGAAAGCGCTTGGACATCCCGCCCTACAATGATCACCTGTCGTATTACATCGACCAGATGAGCCTTGGCCAGCAGTGGGAGAAGAAGGCCCGAGAACTGATCGTTGCCGAAGTTGTTCACTACCCTCAGCTGGAGGCTTTATCGATGCAGGTCACCGCCAACTTCCTACCTGTCTCGGCAGATACCTTGTCTGCCGTGGATCAGATCCTCTACAAGCAGAGAGAGGCCCACCGCCAGATCGTGGACTTGACCGAGAGATCACGCGACCCCGACATCCGGAACCGGCCCAAGTACGCCGAGGTCGCCGAGATCATGCGCCGGCTCGACGACTTGAACTCGAAGCCCAATGGCACGCTGGACCTAGAGCGTGAGCAAAAGCGGCACGAGGACTGGATGCGAGAGGGCAAGAAGCTTTTCGGCAAAACTAATGCGCCTCTCCACATTCTCAAGAGTCACATGGATTACGTCCTGGAGCGGAACCAAGACTGCTTTGACATTGTCAACGACAAGCCTCGCATGCCTGCCGAGCCCGCGTCGAGAGAAGCCAGCCCGGACCAAAAAGTGCACCGGTGGGAAGACCCTCGCTTCCGCGAAGTGTTCTGTATCTGCCGAAAGGTGGAAGCCGGTATGATGATTGAGTGCGAACTCTGTCATGAATGGTATGCGCTGTCCTGGCCCTATAAGAGACCGAAGCTAACATACATGTGCTTAAGGTACCATGGCAAGTGTCTCAAAATTGCTCGCGGGAAGGTCAAAGACGAGGATAAGTACACCTGCCCGATATGTGACTGGCGTGTCAAGATCCCGCGAGATGCTGCCCGACCAAAGCTCGAGGAGCTTATTACTTGGTCTGAGAAGATTCCAAGCTTGCCTTTCCAGCCCGAAGAAGAGGAGGTTTTGACAAAAATAATCGAGAACGCCCAGGATTTCCGGAATCACATTGCCGGGTACTGCAACCCGCTTGTGTCCACCGAGTCTGAGGCGGACACCCAGCGGTTTTATCTGCGCAAAATCGAGGGCGCTGAAATCTTGCTTGCCTACGAGACGAACTTCTTCCGACAAGAACTGCACAAGTGGTGCCCAGTCGCACCCAACGCACCCCCGGTCCTCGAGGTTTCCAAGAGCACACGCAAGCCACGCCCGACCAAGCTCCAGAAGCTTTTGGCCCAATTCAACGTTGACGATCCCGAGGACCTTCCGGAGAACATGAAAGCCAAGGCCGCCAGTTTGAAGCGGAAAGCCCAGAATGCTGAGGCCGCTGCTGCTGCGGCTGCGGCTGCGGCGGCATCATCCATGACCGGCGCGACTGTGCCCCCCGGCATGTCAGGCAACAGCCGCAAGTCGGAGCAGTCGTCGGCGACACCTCCCAGCACTTCTCATGGCAACGTGGGCCGTCAGTCTATTGGCAGCAACCACGACCCCATGGATATCGACAACGGCCCGACGCTTCATCCAGGCTTGTTCATGTCCAATGGTGCACCTGGCCCGCAGCTTGTTGTCGGCAGCTCATCACTTTCCCTCGAAGAGCGCCTACTCCAGGGCCAGGAAGATGGGCTTAACCTGCACACCGACGCTGGGAAGAGTAAGGCTCTCGAGATACTGCGTCGGACCGAGGTTGGCCGGAAGCGAGCGGTAGAGATGTTTGGCCCCGACGTCTTCAAGGGCGATGTTGGCATGCTCAACGGCAGAGATGATGCGCCTCGGTCTCAAGAAGAAGAGCGAGCGGTGAACAAGATGTTCGACGACCTCACGAACCAAGACGATGATGACGTCAAGAGGAAACAGGAGTCATTCGATGGCCCAATCACGGCGGAGAGTCTTGAGAGCGAGCGAAACGGCATGGACGCCTTGCTTGACGGTGATTAGGGTCTCCGTCCCACTGCTGACTATGCTGCCTTGTCTCATTTTGACTCCATCAGTTTCAATTTTTGAACCAAGGGCGTCGTTGGTGTTGTACCTGGTTTTCATTCGTGGTAGTAGTTTGGTATCGGGACTCGACAATTCCCTCAAGCCAGGGAGAGGAAAGGCGGGGGAGGGGGGGCTTAGGAACTGGAACTGGATCCGATGGGTGGATTGCATGATCAGGTGTTCAAGGTTACGGCATACCACTTTGCATTAGATGGAGAGAGGCGTTCTATGAGGATGCCAGATGCGCAAGTCAGTTACGGCTATCAGTAATCGTGACTCGCATCAGCACAGAAAAGTTTGCAGACACGGGAAAAGTAGTTTTATTGCCAAGGTTAATTAATCAACACAAGTGCCTTGTTGTGGTTTACTGTTACTCCTTTAGCTTTTACACACACTTATAGGGCACCGACAGGCCCTGGACTGCCTCCCTCCCTCCTCAAGATGGATAGACTTCATATCGGACTACTGTTCCGGTCAAGCGATGGTGGTGCCAGGAACTTGCCCTTGTCCTTGTTCATAGAAATCCGTCTTGAGAGATGAGATTCAATGCCCTGCAGGTGATAGTTCAACGGCCTCCTCCTGATAACAGGCGACCCTATCACTAGGTTGGGTAACACAGCGTGAATTGGTGAGGTAATATGGGGGCTAGAGACACATGGCATGTTGTATTTGCAGGAGTCGGCCAAAGCCACAAACATGGCTTTCCATGGAAACCAGTATGCTTGGTCTCGTTAAATCATTTTTAGAGACCCTAGTTTAGTAGATATCCCAGGCGGTCCCTGGTTAGGGTCGCATAGGTACACAAATGATCCTAACGGCAGGGCATAAACATGTTTCTCGCAACGGCTTGCACGAGGGTAGAGCGACCCTGTGTATAAAAAGCTCGTGGGAAATCACGGCAAAATCAACAGTTCATGAGCCATCCCAAGTGCTGATCTGGGAGCTGCAGATGCCACCGACACGAGCTCGGAAGCCCGGCATCGCGAGATACTAACTCCCCACGTAAACATTCAATCAAGGCGAAAGTATGTAGATGCCTATAAATGAAACGGCTTCTAGACGGCTGCAAACCAGAACCCGAGATCAACGAAGGATCCATTCCCAGAATTACTCTCCGACCACCCTTCAGCCCAAGGGCTTTGCCAGCAGCGCCTTTCATGGGTACTATCCTCCTCCCAAGGGAGTTGGAGGCACCATTAGTTATACTGCGGCGGGCGGCCGTTGCTATCTGAAGAGAAGAAAAAGAAGAAGAAGGAGGGAAGAAGCCGCGGAGAGGCGCGCTGGTTTTGTGGCCGTAGGAGAAAATTTCCGAGGGGGGCACGTGCACTGTGGGCTCCTGCTTAGCTAAGATAACAGCGGCTCTTTCCTTCTGTTTTGGCGCAAATCACGTGGCGTGCGAAGCTTAGGAAGTAGTCTTTGCTGATTGGTCGACCGCAGCCGAAAAGCCGAGGGGGTTTCCGTGCTTTGCTGCCATCGGAAGGCAGATGAGCAGCGCTAGAAGGGTCCCCATTTTATTCTTGTAGAGAGAGCTTGACATCAACACAATATCAACTCCCCCAACGATATCCCGCTCCGACCGCTCGTCCACGAAAGAGCGCCCCCCCTGCCGACCTGAACAAATCTCTCTGAGTTCGAATCGCTACTGGAAGAAACACCCCAAACCCCACGGCACACATATCCATCATGATTGCGCAGCGGGTGGGCGTGTCGGCCCTGCGCCGAGGTTCGTTTGCATCATTGAAAACGTGAGGAGTGAAGAGGAACGATGGAAGGCTGACGATGTGGTTTCGGTATGGTAACAGCGGCAGGAAAGCCCTCCGTCTTCTTCAACTCTCAGATTCCCAAGATCGTCGCCGCGTCGCACATGTCGACGACCCAGATCCGGTACGCAATTGATCCCTCCCCCCCAACCCTGAAGCAATCCGATGCATCCAACGTCGGAACACCGGCATATGAAATCACAAGCCACTAACTGTGCACGCATTATAGCCCTGTCGCGACTACCAAGCTCACCCCCGACGACGGCCTCGATCTCCTCGCCAAGCAGCGCCTCAACCGTCCCGTCTCCCCGCACTTGTCCATCTACAAGATGGAGCAGACGTGGTTCGGTGCCTCCATCTGGACCCGTATCACCGGCGGCGGCCTGTCCGCGGCCTTTTACGTTTACTTCGGCACCTACCTCGTCGCGCCCCTGCTCGGCTGGCACGTCGAGAGCCAGTCGCTCGTCGCCGCCTTCGGTGCTCTGCCCCTCGCCGCAAAGGGCGGCCTCAAGTTCCTCGTCGCCTGGCCCTTCACCTTCCACTTCTTCAACGGCATTCGCCACCTGACCTACGACCTCGTCAAGGGCTTTACCAAGCCCGAGATCATCCGGTGGGGCTGGATCATCTGGTCCACCTCGCTGGTCTCCGCCGCCGGCCTGGCCTTTGCGTGGTAGACGGAGCGAGAGACAGGGAAGAGCCGAAATGGGAGGTGACGCTAGGCTCGAAGTGCAGGAGTCTCGTCGGCGAAGGTGGTAATGGGGGTGAGGTGTTGAGATACAAATTGGGGAGATTGGGGGAGTTCTGATCGGCTGGCGCCTGGACTGCTGGGCGTACGGCCTCTTCCCTTATGCTTAAGGCGAGGGGAATTGTATAGAGTGAAAATTGTAAAATGAATTCCCTTGAGTAACAAGCACGTTAATCAATTGTTTCACCTATGGCGTCTTCTATTGACATACCGCCGTGATCATACCTTGGGGTGGAGAAGCACTGGGGCGAGTGGTGAATTCTACGAAAAATAACGACCAGAAAATAATCCCGCGCTCCTCAAACCCTTTCAGCGACACACGGAAGAAGAGATAGAACGTCTTGTGATTGATGCTTTAGGCGAAGCAGACGGACCTGAATCTCGAGATCCAATTACAGGGCCTTTCTCCCTGGTTATGCCCTACAATTCCCAAATATCTACCTTTTTCTGTCAAGATGTTGATCGACTACCTTCATGAACCATACGCCCCGCCCTACGAGACTATCACATGACGATGGCACAGAGCGTGGGACTTGATATACGTCGAGAAATTCAATTGAGCGTTTGTACACCGCATCGCAACTTATGTGGTATGCCTCCCTGGATCCTATTTTACCCTGCCCAAATCCAAACGCCGTGACGCCTCTTTCGAAGAATAACCTCTGCAGGCCCTCATACTATTCAATGTTCCTGGCATCCAGGACGTGCTTGATCAGCCTCCGGTTGCCCATGCTGTTCAGCCGCTCGCCCAGGATGGGGCCGATGAACTCGTTGAGCTCGGCGGCGTAGTTGCCGCCGGTGCCGTTGATGCCGTTGACGGTCGCCCTGTCGTCCTCGGTCATGGTGGCGATGGCCTTGAGGATCCCGCCGACGAGCATCTCGAACTCGACGCCCTCGCCCTTGTCCTTGAGCGGCTGCAGGATGTTGTCGTGGTACGCCCGCAGGCACTTGAGGACGAGCACGCGCACCGCCTCGGGCCCGCCGGCGGCGGCGACGCCGGTGATGGCGCCAAAGTGAGTGGCGGGCGGCTTATCCGGGTCCATGAAGAACTTGAGGCACGTCCGGACGAGCTTGGGACGGAGCAGGTTGTTGGAGGCGGCGTACTTGCGGGCGATCTGGCCAAGCAGCGAGGCCGAGAACTCCCTGAGCTGGTACTGTTCCCGCATGGCGTCGGCGGCGTCGTCGCCGCCGATCTTGCGGCCGAGGATGCACGTCAGCACGGGGGCGGCAATGGCGTTGGCGTAGGGGTCGAGGTAGAGCTTGGTGTTGGCGATGAGGGCGGCCGTGAGCTCCATGGCCTGGCGGAGGGTGAAGACGTCGTCGAGGCGGTGGGTAACCTGGTTGGCGACGAAGTTTATGAAGTAGGGGATCAGCTGGTGCAGGCCGGGGTCGTCGCGGACGGACTCGAGGGCGGCCTGGCGCAGGCGCACGACCTCCTCGTCCGGGTTGTCGTCGAGGAGGGCGTTTTGGACCTTTTCGAAGTAGAGGATGAGCTCCTTGGAGACGACGTGCTTGACGGCCGGGCGGAAGGAGACGCTGTCGTTGCCGGCGAGGGCGGCAAGGGCCGGGTTGGCGCCGGGGCCCTTGGGGACGAGCTCTTGGCTCCGCGACTCGGCCGTCGTCGGGTTCTGAGGAATTGACGGCTGGACACCCTCGATGGCGAGCCAGTGTGCTGTAACGATTGAAAGAGAGGTTAGCACAGACGCACGACTCGCGAGGAGGGAGAGGGAAGGTGCGCACCGGTAAAGCTCATATCTCTTGGCACTTTTGGCAGGGGCGCGTTGATGAGCTTCTCGAAGTCGACCTCCTCGTCCTCGATGTAGAATAGCGGCTGGCCGGGGCCAAGGCTGGCCTCGCCGTAGCGCAGCGGGCGCGTCGAGTCGTAGCCGTACAGTGGCTCGATGTTGAGGGCCTTGAGGGCGGTGCTGATGTCGTTGACGGTGAGGGTGGTGCGGCGGGAGGCGCGCATGAAGCGGAGCGCCTCGACGAGGACTTGGCCGATGCGGTACTCGACATCCTGGGTCAGGCAGCGCAGCGCGTCGTCGTTGAGGTTGGTGATGCCGACGGACTCGGCAACGTCTCTGACATTGTCCGGGTTCCAGAGCAGCTTTGGCGAGTCCTGGGTCGCCATCGCGCCTTGCTCGTGACAGGGTCGGCGAGTTGACTGATTGTAACGAGGAGCGTTGGTGGTGTTTGCGGCACGGGGAGGGGACGACGCGCGGGTTGAGAATTGGACGAGGCTGATGGGGAACTGAAAGTTGGGGTAGCACGAGCGCGGCGGAACTGCTAGCGAGCTCGGGGCCCGGCCGGTCGGGGTGGGGCCACGCTAGGTACCTAGGCACTTCGGAAATACCTCGCATCTGGCCCTTCCTCCTTCCTTCTAGCTCTTAGTAAAGTCCGAGAAATAACATCAAAATATATTATGCATGAATCGTGTCATTTTTTGCATCATCAAGTCCATGGCTCAAGAGGAAGCACTCTGAATACTGCATAGGTCTCAAGTGACACATGTGGAAGCTAAAGGGACCCCGTATCAATGTCTGTACGAATGCTCCATTTCGAATATTTAGCTAGGTGATGTAAGGCGCTAATTGCTGCCCGCAATTGACGGCCTTGTTTTCGTGCGACAGAACATTACATGATTAGAGAAATTGAATAGTGGCATCATATTCAGTAGAGAGCTATGCAAGTTTGGGCGACTTTTGTGGCGTTATTATCAGACTAAACATTTACAGTACGCTTTTGTTTCTTTTTTTGCATCTAGGGATGAACAACAAACTGCAAGATTGAGTTGGGATGAATCTAGTATTCAAACTGCATTATGACTCGGGACCCCGAACTCGTTGCTTACTTGAGTCGACGAGGTCTTCCAATTCACTCCCATCCCTGTTCGTGCTCCCGGGATCTTTGACTTGCTGATATAACCTGTCAAGACCCCAGACAGTACATACCACACAAGCCAAGACGGCAAACTCCATCAGCATGGTCATGAAAAGGTAAGTTGTCGTGTCGCCGTTCACGGCGCTAAACCTTCTCTCGCCTGTACTGACATATGCTATCGTATATGAGATACGGACAACCATAAACGGGAAACAGGAGGCGAAGCCTATCAATGAACGCCTTTCAGACTGAGGAACCTGTTTCCATTTCCGCGCTAGGAGTATAAAAAGCAGCACTCCCCAGAAGTAAAGTGCTACAAAGAGCCCCACTCCAGCTTTGGTCAGCGACCCGGGCGCCATGGCGTTGTCTGCTTTCCTGCTTGCAAGAGCGTAGTCGGCGATCGAAATGGCGAGGCCGGCCCAGCAGATTAGCTCGGGTATGCGGAAGTGCCACGAGGTGAGGATTTGGATGAACGAGTTTCTGCAAGATCAGAGGTCAGAAATCCATACGGTTTACAAAGAATGCTGGCACAAAAACAAATACTTACACCCTCTTGAGAAGATCTAGCAAGGTGAAAGTGAGGATGACGAGCCCTAGTGATTCGCAGACAAATATGGTAGCCCAGACTGCCCTGGAATTGTTCGTGATGGTGCCTAGCATGCAACCGGCGCCGATTATGCGTATTGTCGAAATGAAAGAAACGCCGAACCAGCCCATCTTCTTTTGCACGCGAAAAAGAATGCCGAAGAAAGGAAATATGGAAAATATAATAATCTGAGCGATGGCCACGCCGTCGCGGTACCGGAATTCGCGCGCCATGTTGCGAAGATAATGGGCACCAGCAAAGTCCGTATTGTGAATGTGCTCGCCGTCACACAACAAGATGAAGCTGGGATAGTATAAGACGGGCACACAAGAAAGTGTTTGGTTTGGTTTAAGTATCCTCTTGATATTCTTCGAGGGCGGCCACTGGACTTTGGAGGCACATAAATCATTAACGCCTGCCGGTGACAGAGGCTGCGGTGATGGAGGCCGCTCGAGGGTCCACAAATTGAGTAAACGGATGCGAGTGCGAGAGTCTAGGAAACTTGGCGCTTACAATCTCACCCAGGAGTAACCAGTCATTTTGAACAAGACGGCCGGCCCCGGCATTTCAAAGCGGGCCTCGACCCGTTGTAGCCTGCCCTGCCCTGCTCAGCCATGCTGACGGATCTGCATTCTGTTGGATTGCATTGACAAGGGCATACAGGCCGAACACAGCCATACCTTGTCCCGTATCTGTCATCGCATTTCAGGAATGTATCAACTACTGAATAATTTGTCGAGATGATACGATTGAACTTGGCTTGGTGCATTAAATACCCATCGGCGTAGGTAGGTTGGAAACGCTACCTCCAGAAACTATTAGCCATCGGTGTTTTGGGTTAAACTAGAGTTCAATTGGCATTTGTGATTGATTTCAAAGATATCTGCCAAGATTGAAAATCGCCATGAGTGATATACAACGTTGAACCTTGCCTATTATTAGCGGCATCGGGTCTGCGTGATATAAACAGTTCCTGTAGTTGTATCAATGAATTCACGGTGGTAGACAACTTATTGGTTGAGTCGGGGAAGAACTACACTACCACTGCTCTATAATTCTATGTGCAGCCTCGTCATATTTCTTGCCTACAAAGTTGAAACTTCCTGATCCCCACTCCAAATGCCCCAGTTCTGTAGAAGAATACTGAGTTATTACTAATAAAGCTGCTCCATGACAGCGTCATCGATTGACGAAAGGGGACCATCGGGTATTGTCGGGGTGTAATAAACGCTTTGTATCAATACCTAGTCGGTACTGTTATGCATATCTGGGACGTATAAGACGCTGCACAAGTTGCTTTCAAGATGCAGATCCATAGCGTCATTAAACAAACCATAAGTTCCATCTACTCCCACTTGATTTTCTCGTGAATTGTCTCTTTTGCTTCACCTGATTAGTCGGTAAGAGTAAGACCTTTGCTTTGATGCCACACCCTAACTATTGCTGAGGAAGCTTCTGCAAATAAGCTAAGTTTGTAACATCTCGCGATGTGATTGACTTTATGGACGGCCACGAATGCTAGCTAAGCTGCTTTCCTTTGCTGCAATAGTGTGTGATTCCTATATAATCGAGTTGATCTACCCCTTCATTACATGCACTAACAACAGCCATTGCAACAATCTCTGCCACACATACCAGCCCATCTTCAGTAATCGCAATTATTGTGCAACCAAATGGCAAAACAGAAGTCATTCAAGAGAAGGGCAGCAACGAGTTTTATCTATCCATCTCTCCATGAACGGGTTTTAGAAGCTGTGGCTGAAGACCTTCCCTCTACATGGTTCAACGAAAACTGTAGCAAGAAATCCTGCAATGAGTACAATACCTACGTGATGGGGAGATTCACTTGCGACAATGATGACTGTCCAAAGTCGACATGGACCAGTAAGATGGTGACGATCTTAATTAAAGGATACCCCAAAAACGGTTACAACGCCACTGTATTCAACCAGCACTGTTCTTCATGTAATAATCTTGGCAATTTCACTCTCGATGAGCAGTCCTACATCGAACGAGTCGCATACCGGCTTAAAACTTGGGCAGGGGTCGAAACGGATCGGCCGGTCTTCTCTGGGAAAGACGGCCCCCCACATAAGGCTGATCTCTGTGAGGGCTGTAAGCGGGGTTATTGTCAGAGGCGAAATGGTTTGAGGTTCGGGTATTCTGATATCTAAGTGGAAGTCTTTGTAATTATGTTGGATAGATAATGTATGCTATGCAGGATTTGCAATTGCTTCATAGAATCAGCGACTTTATCAAAAGCATCCATCAAGACAGCCAGTCTGAATCTGTCAAGTAGGGTGGGCTAGAATGATATCCAGGCGGATCGCATGACAGCGTTGCAAGGTGAGTCAGTGATGCCGTGGCCCAACGAAACAAGCAGTGGTAGTAGTGCAGAAGAAAGGTTCACGAGGAGAGTGCAAAGGAGAGTAGGGGGACATAGGGGGAAAGGATGCTCAACTCTGGAAAAGAACTGTACATCAGTATGGCTGATAGTACGAATATGCTTATGCGTAAAGATTCTCGGACCAAGTCTTTCCTACATTTCTACTGCTATTCCCTCTTTAGATAAGGTATGTTATGTTACAACACGTGATATCGAAGGCCATTGTTTTAGACTCATGATATTAACAACACTACTTGCTGCACAATGGAATCCTAGGAGTTCCTGATATCATGTGGCTACGCTAAGGGCGCTCCTAAAGAAGCCACAATTGCAGGGGTTATTAGCTCAAGCTTTGATAGCAAAACAATCCGAATGCACGCATGGACAAAACCAGGTGATCGCAAAATGCATCCCCCATATCTCTGGCGGAATTTAGAGCTAGCGTCATGCCTCACTAAGACAAACAGGGCGATGGCATGCCCGCTAAGATAAGACTCGCGGGGTATTCAACAATGGCGTACAACTAGTTTCGCCGATATTCAGCCCCTTTCGACCATTGGATGTGGAGCGGATCAGCCATGGTGTCGGCATTCTTCTATAAGAGTACTGCCCTGCTGTCTCTTGGCGTGGACTCCAGTTTTCATCGTTGCGTCGCCAGTACATTCTCGCCAGAGTATCCCATCGACACCTTATTCTGCGCTACCAGCCAGAGGTGCAACTGGTGAGATGGAAGCACCAAACCACGAAGCTGGTGGCCCAAAGCGGGATCATCGACGGATATCAGATCAAGGGAGCAGTGAAAGCGTCAGCATTGACCGGTTTGCTACACCAACAGGTGACGGTGCTGGACCCAATAGACTGACAGCCGCTGCGCTTGGCGTGCTGAACGCTTGGCACGTTGACAACGGGGCTCCCGTGTCGTTAAGCATTGACACTGGCCTTAGCGACGCCGATTCAGCTTTGGGTATCGATGCCGATAGAGCTTCTTCATCTGCCTCAGTGACATCGAGCATGTACAGGTTTGTAGAAGAGTTTGGCAGGACGTATCACAGATATAAGGAAGGCAGTGAGCTAGTACCATGGAAGACCGCCTCCGTATAATACCTGGCTGACAACAAGCTTCAGAATATTTCCTCCCCAACGACGAGGTCTGTAATGCTGCAAAGCCCAGCAGACCCTGATGACTGATTCATAGTTATTAGAAAGAACAAAGCCGCCTGGACCTACAGCATGCAATCGCCCTCCGTATCTTCAACGACGAACTCGGCCTGGCCCCCGTCTCCAAGCCCCACCGCGTTCTCGACATCGGCACCGGGACGGGCATCTGGGCAATAGAGTTCGCAGATAGGAACCCGGAATCAGAAGTGGTGGGCACCGACCTCAGCCCGATCCAACCCGAATACGTCCCCGCCAATTGCCGTTTCGAGATCGACGATGCAGAAGACGAGTGGGTCTTCGGGCAAAGGTTCGATTACATCCACGGCCGGTACATGTGCACTTCTATCTTTGATCTTCCGAAACTGTTCGGTCAAGTGTACGACAACTTGAATCCAGGTGGATGGGTCGAATTCCAGGAGACGGTGATCGACTTCAGGGCTGTGGATAACTCTCTGGAAGGCACTTCGCTCAGGCGGTGGAACGATCATCTTCTGGAGGGCATTCGGAAGGCTGGACGTGATGCGCTATCGCCATTCGAGTATGCGAGGTACATGACTAGTGCCGGGTTGCAGAACGTTCAGGAGAGACGCTTCGCAGTGCCAACTTCCCCCTGGGCGCGAGGCAGAAACCAGAAAATCCTGGGCGCCATGCAGATGACGAACAACCTCGAAGGAGTGCAAGGCATCACAATGAAGATCTTCACCCAAGTGCTGGGCTGGTCTCAGGAGGCAGTTGAGCTATTGCTCGTTGACGTGAGGAGGGACATGGCGGACAAGAAAATCCATGCGTACATTACGGTGTGAGTTTCCCTTTCTCAGCGATATCGACAATATTGGTGATACAGACTAAAAGCTGTATTATGCAGCATGTCCATATGGGGACAGAAACCGCAGTAGACGTGAATGCCAGCTTCCTCGAAAGGCGATTGAGGGGCTGTCAAAGTATAAATTACGCGGAGGAAGCCATGAAAAGTGCGCGATTTATTTACACAATGCAGTGCCTTCAAATCATGGCGCCAAGCACTTGAGGACACCATGTATACTCACTCTATGGGGCAGATAGAGGAATCCTACTGTATCCTCAAGTGCTGAGAAAAAGGGAATGACCTGTTTCTTATTGCAAAAATGTATGGCTCGGGATAGTGTAATTACGTTTACTAATCTTACGAGTGCGACACGAGGCATATCTTCACTGCCACTGTGGCGTCTGCCATCCAGTCTAGAGCTTAGGTTGTGCCACATTATGCAAGCATCATTCATACTTTAGGCTTCGCGCTTGAACTAAAGAGTCACTTGGGGCTGACTGCTCCATATCACGAAGGCATTTTCCAGCATACCACGCAAAGTGTGGAGCACACGGAGACCCCGACAACGTTGGGTTCAACTGTCCAGAAAAGTACATCGTAGTTTGGAGCCCGAGGCTGATCCACACTCCGAACCATTTCGTCAGGGTGCCAGGAACGGCAGCAAAGCCGGGTCTCTCGACATTGGATAGGATCATCGGCGTTATGACGACGTGCCCCATCGGCATTAAGGCCTACCTACCTCTCGTGCTCTCTTCCCAAGTCAACCGATCGCTGTTAACCCCACTCGCTGTCAACGATTAATGTCATCCTCCTGCAACCAAGCCCAGGACCTCCCCCTGATCCTGTAGCTGCTTCTGGTAAGGCATGGAAGCAGCCGGAGAGTTTATTCGTCCGTATGCTTTGACAACCCAGCGTAAAGATTTGAAAAGAAATGTGGAGTTGTGCCTTTTCTTCCAGCTGCTGAAGAAACTTTGGCGGGGTTCCCACGTCAACGAATACATGTTAGGGGTCCCTCCCATGGAACAAAGTGAAAAGAAGCACATGGTTGTGACGTCAAGCTGATCAATTGGTCCAGAGAAGCAGTCATTTCCAGCACTACAATCCGCGGTCCCTTTTCAGCTAAGCAAGCTCCTTGATTCCAAATGTGGGGTAATTGGCCAGAAATGCCATGATGGCCAGAGGGTCGATCGAACTATGGTGGGTTTCGATGCAAGTACAAAAGCGCCCAGCACCCCAGCCCGTCTGACAAGACGCACCAATTCTAGCAACAGGACCTCGAGCACCATTGAACCCGACACACAAGATACCCCCAATTATCCAAACATTGAGCTTTCAATCTACTCTAAATAATTAATCCAAGCATCAAACACAATGGCCCCCAAGGTTCTTGTCGTTCTCACCTCTACCAACAAGACTGAGAAGTCTGGTAAGACCATCGGCTGGTACCTGGTGCGTCAATGCTCTTCCATCCCCTTTTTCAGTCATTGCTAACTATCAGTTTCAGCCCGAGCTTGCCCACCCTTATGATGTGCTCAAAGAGGCCGGTGTTGAGATGACCTTCGCCTCTCCCAAGGGCGGTGTCGCCCCCCTTGACCCGGCTTCTGTTGAGATGTTCTCCAGCGACCCTTCATCCAAGAACTTCCTCGAGAAGCACAAGGAAGTCTGGGAGAACACCGAGCCGCTGTCCAAATTCGTCGGTCGCGCCTCCGAGTTCGACGCCATCTTCTACCCCGGCGGCCACGGCCCCATGTACGACCTCGCCTTTGACGCCGATTCGCACAAGCTCATCGCTGAGTTCGCCGCTCAGAACAAGCCCGTCGCCTCCGTCTGCCACGGCCCCGCCTCCATCGTTAACGCCAAGACAAATGACGGCGAGTACCTCGTCAAGGGCAAGAGAGTCACTGGCTTCTCCAACACTGAGGAGGACCAGGCTGGCTACACCGCCGAGATGAACTTCTTACTCGAGAACCGCCTCAAGGAGAACGGCGGCAAGTACGAGAGTGCTGATGCCCCTTGGGGTGAAAAGGTTGTTGTTGATGGCATCGTCATCACTGGCCAGAACCCTGCTTCGGCCCTCGGGGTTGGTAAAGCTATTGTCAAAGCTCTTGGCTTGTGAAAAATGAGCATAATGATATAATGATGAATCGGGTTATGATGGATAGTTGATATACCATAAACTATAGCATGTTTTCAATTATCCTTTTTTCGATAGTGACTATACGTATGATCAAACAAAGCCCGTTGACATCAATGATGAGCGAAGTACCAGTTTTGGCTTTCCATCATCTCCACTTGAAGTCTTGGTATTGAAACGCTGACAAATACGAGAAGAGTGTTGTCGACCAGATCGCAGATTATGATGGTATCGACGATCTTCCCGCTCCCTGCTCAGTCGAAACTTCAAACATGGGAATCGGAGATCAAGACCACATTGCATATGGGCTCGACGCATGTGGCATTTTGGGAAATAGGAAGGTCTTTTCGTGGTCGGCCAAACGCCAGAGAAGCCCTTTCCGCCTCAAATATCTTGAGGAACACTCTCAGCTCCTCCCGCTGCTAATAAGAGCAGGTGTGTTAAGCTCCCTTGCAGGACTTGCTTGTATGTGACCTTTCCAAGTTTGGAGGCTTATGAAACGTTGGTAAGGTAGTGCCAATAGTCATCAAGAAACACAAGTGTGTTCAGCATCCACAATACCTACATCTACATGTATTCGAGATTCTGGTACAACTATTGAAATTTCTAACGCACATGCGAGTTGTAGTTAAGATTGGGCGCTCACACCTTCAAACAGTACGATCAGTTTGGTTTGAGCTTGCGTGGCGCTGTAGACGCTAGTTATGGTGTGACGATCTACAATGTGCCGCTATCCGTTTGCTATGATAAACAATGCCGCCACAGTAGAGTTCATGTTACCTGGTCAACACATAGATAATAGCAAAAGTCAGGGTCCAAGCGGTTTCAAGAACATTAGTAGAACTACTAATCATATAGAGATGGGCGGACTACCGCCGAAATTATCCTTTTCTGTTGGCGTCCAGTGCTGTCACCCGTCGTATGTTTCCCTTCAATCGTTCCTGTCGCCAACTTTTGATCCAATCTGCTTACGCATTGTATTCCAGCAATAGAAAGGCAATGGAGGATACCAAGAGTGCCGCCGTTTCTGTCCCTGTTACGCCTGGAAATTCGGAGCAGGTTACAACTCCATTGTCCATAACCCCGTCAAATCTCACTATTATTAAATCGCGACGACCTCCCCGCATTGCGAAAGCTAAGAAAACCCGCGAACTGTTACGGCTAGCTATCACAAGACTAAGAGTACGCATAACCGAGAGGAACAGCACCAGCAAGCCTATCTCAAAAACAGGACTCTTCGCCTACAACTTTGCTGAGCCCTTATTTAACTGGTGGGGCGCCAACTCCCGCGTTCTTATCACTCAGTGTCTCGGCCGAATCGAAGCGCACGACGCCTTCGGGTCGGTAAGCAAACTTGTGAATGGAGCATCCCACAATTACGCCGGCTTCTACCGGATCACACCGGAGTCCGAGGCGCTCCAACAAATGTGTCTGGAGTTGTTGCCGGTTTCTGATAGCACCGCTGTACCATTCCTCCGAGACGAGACGCACCGCGCGATTGCTAGATTTCTAGGTGCAGACTTTTGTTTTACGACGGGCACTGGATACGGGTCGAATTACATTGCGCTGCCAGCCTTGAGTGATGGTCCCACAGTCGTCATCATGGACGAGTACTGCCATAACTCGATGTTTACTGGAGTCTTCCTCGGACCATCTTCGAGCCTGAAAAAGTTCAAACACAACAACATGGAACAACTTGCGATATTGCTTAGCGGCTGTGTTGATGATACTGTTACTATAATCGTCGCCATTGAGGGACTGTATAGGTTAGTATCCAAGTCTTCTACCGCAGAGACTTTGCGTATGCCTGTTTCTGACCAAGCTTTTATATAAAAGCACGCATGGCGACGTTCCGCCGCTGGCCGAGATCTATCGCTTGAAAAAAAAGTACAAGTTTGTTCTATATTGCAACGAGGCGCATTCTTTCCTATCTCTCGGCAAGACGGGCCGTGGATGCCTCGAGTATTGGAACGACAGCCATCCGGAAAGGCCCTTGCCTTGGGATCTAATCGATATCCGGACTGGCAGCCTTTCAAAAGCTGTTGGTGGTATTGGAGGTATGATTACGGGCAAGAAAGTTTTCGAACAGGCGGTGCTGAAACGCATCGGCAACCTGGACGACAAGAACATCGTCTCCTTGCCGAGCTCTACGATGGCGCAAACGATATGGCTATTGGGCCAGCCCAACCGAATTAAGCGCAACCTCCAACGGCTTACTGAAATCACACGTTTCTGTCGCAAAGAGCTGGGACGTTTCGGCATCTTTGTCTACGGCGACGCTGGCGTCCATGTACTTCCTATCTATACTGGCAGGCCGACTGTTGCTGCGAAGCTGTCATACGCACTGCGCCGTCATGGATTGCTAGCAACTCCTGTGTGTACCCCTGCTGTACCATTCTGGGAGAGCAGGGTCCGTATCAACTTGTCGGCAGATTTCACCGACGAGGAGGTAAATCAACTTGTCCATGCTGTCGTCCAAGCTGCTGCCCACGCGGGTCTTTGTAAGACAGCTGGAATCGCCCGCATTTCTTTCAAGAATGATACCCATTCTTTCTTGATTGTAGAAGGCATCGATGAAGCACCAAAAGTCGCCAAGCATGTTCAACATCTCATCAAGAGGGATGCTACAGGAAGCTCAGCCAGTCAGCAGAGGCAACTTTTCGACAAAACCTGCGGCCAGCGGATAATCCAGGCCGGACACGCTTCCCGGGCCCAGTATGGAATCGGTGCTGGAGGTACAAGATTGACCTGTGGCACGTTCCCACCCCATATCTCAGTCGAAAGCCTCATTGCTAAGGCGACAGGCATGGAAGCTGGACTGACTTATCCGGATGCATCCATTGGACTTGCTTCCACGATTGCAGCTGTTTCACGTCCCCTATTGGGGCACGGAAAGAACTACATGCTTTTTGAACGCGGTGTGTCTCAGTTCGTCTGCGATGGACTTACGATGGTACCGAAACAGGATGCCCCGGTGTTGCTTGGCTACATCGACCTGTTCCAGCTTGCCATCCAGGTCAGAAAGCTCGCTGAAGGAATTAAAAAACTGTGCATGACAGTATACGTCCGCGTTGGAGACGATTCACCTCACGATCTCTTGTCGGCCACGCTTGCGGAGATGGCTGCTCTTGTGGGCCCCGAGTCTGTCATGACAATCTTACTTCACTGCACCTCCCAGTGTCTGGACCCGAGAGACCTCATTCTTTTGCCCTCTGGAAAAAACGTCCATTTTCTTGTGTGCGGGTCGTATGACCGCATATTTGGTTTGCCTACGGGTTTTGTTACCGGCACAGAGAGTTTGATCCGAGAACTTCGGTACACAAGTCGGGGTTACACGTTTACCACGTCTCCGCCACCTTTCATCATGGACATGTTACGCGCCGCTCTAGAGTAGGACTTGGCAACTAATGAATGGATATGGATGTTGCACGGCTTGATTGTTGTTGTGTACCAAGAAGCCCAGAGTGCTGTGCTCTAGGCTTGAACATTCTTAACGAAACCAAAGCCGGGCTGCGTCGTGGCTTTGTCGATGACATCGGGCTTCTGGGATAGAGTTCTGCAGAGAGAGCTTTTGCAAACAACCTTTTTGGAAAATTAGGCCAAGTAGTAAGGGGGGGCCAGCTATTTCTTGATTTTGGGGCCTGTGATATATAAGCTTGCCCGGTCTTGAGTGCGTCTGGTGAAATTGAGATAACTTATCCGTTTGATCTCTCGCCTTGATGCTCTGTGCTGAAATGATAAGAATCTCCCGAGGGAATCATCATGTGCATGGGTTCTTCTTTCCAAACATCTATTTCATTCCACTTGGATCAGTATTTCGGTAGGACATGGCAAAAGATCATGATCATCCCTCTTTTCTCAAAGGATGATCTAGACGCCAAGACAAAATCAGCCCCGGGCATTGCGAGTCACACCTTTTCAACATTTAAGGGGTTATTATCGCTATAATAAGAGGGACAAGGTTTTACTTTCAGCAACGTATACTTGAAGCTAGAAGGCGCACGACGAAAATAACAATCCCACTTGGCCACCACATGTCCTAGAAGCGCGCGGCATCGCGCAGACAGTCAATCGAAATACAAAGACTTTATGAGTATATGCATCGAAGTGACAAAACTGTTTATTTAAGGATTGTTTTCCACTCGGACTCAACGCCCATTTCAACCAGGCTAGAACTACTAACAAGTACCAGCCGGCGGGCAAAACTGTGTATGGAATGTGCCCCGATGATGTTGTGGCAAAGGCTTTTATACAGCACTGCCCGCGACTCCCTTGCATCGGTCGATTTAGCCTCTGGTTAGTCAGAGTCTGTTTAAATCTGGTCAAAGTCCGCTGTCACCATTACCAAAGCCATGGTAGCAAATCTGCTAGGAGAATACACCTTTGAAAATGATATCTCATTCGCCAGTCATGCAGCCACCCTGAGCCCTTTTTACAGGCACTTGGTCTTAGACTCCTAACAGGGACGTGGTCGTGATATTGTATTCCTGTTACGCCTCCCTCTTCTGCTAGTTCTGGCCACCCGCTAGCTTTCTTCTTGAACTTTGATTGCACTCTTGCCATTCAATGGGCTGCACGCTGAGGGCTTAGACATATGCCGAATTTCTACCCGGGTTACTGGCCGAGGTGTCTGTGCTATGGCACTCAGTAGGTGCAGCAACCCATCACAATGTCTTAAGGAATGACGCTCAGCATCAAGTACTGTTATTATAGTCTGTGCCATGAAGAACAAGAATGTAACCAGCCCCTTTGTGAAAGCATGGTATCTATTCTCGGTGTAAGGTTGGCAATGGAGATGGGTTATGACAAGCTGAGAATGAAACCTATGTGATGCTCTTTTACAGTAAGCTCAGTCCCCCAAATCAAATGGGTATGATATTATGGCTTCTTTGTAATTTAATTTGATTGCTTCCAAAGTACATATCCTAGAACTCTGGTGTCTAATATGGAGATCTCAATGCGTAGATGCTTGTCTGTGATAACCTTCTTGTAACCCTGAAATGTATTAAAATTGAGCCTGACAAAGAGAAAATTGCTTATAGAAGATTGTCATAGCTTATTACTCAGATTTTCTGATTGAAAATGTAGTGCTAAGTTGATATCGCCATATCCGAGGAGTTGCCAGAGGACCAGGTTTTCGTCTCTCAAGAGCCCCATGTCGAGTGGTGGTGCCGAGTTTTGAGATAGCTCCCAGATAGCATATTGCCTCTTGTCGGCATTGATTTAGGCCCAAAGGGACAGAAGTAGAAGTGGAGAAGCCTTGGTTTCAAAGGCAAACAAAGGAAGGCATGAGTGATGCGCCACGGCGCGATGGTGTGAGGCGATGTCAGTCAGGATGTGGCTAGCACTTATGATATCCGGGAGATATTGGGTCCAGAGGAACTTAATGCTCTAGGAGTCGACTTTATGTTCTAGGAAAGCATTAATATTCTATGAAGAGTCGATATGAAGGGGCAAATAGGCAAAGCCTCGTCGAAATAGGAGTGACTGTACGTTCGGCTAATAGCTTTTTTAGTAGATTGACAAAGTTTCTATCTGGAGATCGGGGAATACCGTTAACAGGGTTAAAGAAATCCTCGGATATACAAAGTCAACGCGCGTCTAGGTTCGTTTTCTTGCGTAAACGACACTGGTCGTTAAGTAAAGTTTTCCTAACTTTCGGAGCCTAGTACTTGGAGACCTACTAACCCGCCCTACCGGAGATTCGCGGACTGCGGACCGCGACATTGCATAAGATAAACAAGGCCGGGGCCCCTGCCTAGCGATTGACTTTGAAAGCTTAGAAGGGGCCAGGCCGGCGCGACACGGTATCGCGGGCGGGGGACTAGGTATAGGAGTTCCACATGGCGAGCGCGGAGTCCGGGACATGGGATTTGACCGATAAAAATCGCGGGGGCATTGGGCAAACGTATTCGGTGCTGTAAGGCGCGATCGACCCAAGATTCGTCTATAACGTTAGATGACGCGTACGTGGCGGCTAGAACTCTACTCTTCTCTACGGGAGTCTAATGGCTGGATTATGCAAAGCGCAAAAATCATGTTTGGCAGAAGTCAAAAGTCGAGGCCGGGAGTTAGACCACGTCGGGAGAACCATGACAATATCAGGCGGAATTATAGAAGTCGCGCTTCAGCCATGCCGATGAGGCTTACATCAACAACGGCGGGCGAAGAGTGTCGTCAGGGCATGGACGGCCTTTCGATTGCACATGGTGTCTCTGCGCCTGTCCAAATGACCATGCCGTGCAACAAGGCATTTTTGGTGTCAGCAGTTTTTTCTAGCGAGAAGCGAATCCGATGCCGAAGTCTTGGGCTTCCTGGGTCAGTCGGTCGGTGGATGATGAGGTGGAAAAGATCACCAGGAGGGCGACAAGGCGGACCGGACCCTTGCTTGATGATCAACGGCTTCCCGTCGTCCATTACCGCCCCACCGGGATCGCCAGTAGGCCCCCCCCCGCCATCATTCTCTCGTGTGAAGAAAGTTATTTTTTTGCCTACGAAGCCACCGGGTGGTACGTGAACGTACCGCAGCCGCACTGAATCTGGGAGATTATCTTTTGAAGCTTCTGGGAGGGGCTATGCCGACATATCGGGTTGGGGGACCCCTTTGAGACTAGTGCGGCAACCCTCGACGAGTGTATCTGGCCGGCTAGACGCGCAACGGCAACCGGGTTCAGTACTCTCTGGACCGAAGCTGTCCACCTCATCGTTTATTCGTCGCATCTTTCCTCTTCCCTCACAGGGTAGTCGCTGGTACACGTCAGCCCTGCATCTTCAAACTCAGCCAACTCCGATTTCCCATCACGCTGGCGGTATTTAGGAACGGCGCTAACAGGCACCCCGCCTGACTGATAGGGCTATTCCTCAGTTGTCGTAATCCTCTTGTATAGAATTGGATCGCATAAAAGTGAACGAAGAGGAGAAAGCTTACCTCCGCCCCCAGACTTTGCTGATCGCCGTGCCCGCCGGGGGGAAGATTCTCGGGGCTTCGTCCAAACTTGCTACTGGTAGACGCGCGCTTCTCGAACGACAGGGTGCCCAGGGCGTACTTGCATTCGTCATCCATATATGAGCTTCCAGCGGTTGGGTCGACGAGTTGTGAATGCCTTCCTCTCCTCTCCTGGGACGCCCGGCCGGAAACTCTCGTGCTCCTCGTCGCAACTTTAAGCGGTGGAGACACCAAGCTGCCGGCGACGGCACGGGGCTGAGGTGATGATGTTGTCACTCAACCAGGCCGAAGCATGTCGGCAAAGCCCATTGGCTGTGCATGATAGCGGCAACGGTACTTTTCTTCCAACAGCACAAGGGCTAAAAGGTGTAAGTCCAAGAAGCAAGCCTCGGAATGGGCTCCGAATTCGAGCTCGAAGAGTATAAAAGGGGACTGATAACTCCCTTTTCAACGGATCATGTTTCCTAGTAAAATCAAACAAGTAGGCCATCTCGACAGATCCTCAAGCCACACTTCATCATTATCTTGTCCACCATCTCCTAAGGAATCTCTCTCCCTCTCCATAAATACATCATGGTTTCCATCAAGAGTCTCCTCGTCGCTACTCTCGTCTCAAGCATTGTTGCAACACCAATCGAAAGTTTCGATGCTCCAGAGAATGATCTTGAGGTCGTCAACAAAGTACCCGTCATTGAATCCAGAGGCAATGGGGGCGGCTACGGCGACGGCGGCGGCGCAAGTTGCGACTACAACACGAAGCAGAGGCTCGATTCGGAGATCCAGAACAGATATCAACTCAAGAGCCGCCTTGACGATGAGATCCAGAGGCGTCAGGGAATTAAGCAGCAGCTTGACAATCAGATAAATCAGAGACAAGGGCAGCTTGGGCATTGTTAATTTACAAGAGGCAAGGCGTGGGCATGGGCGTGGGGGCTAGGAGATATCCACAGTTTACCTTCCTTTTGGCGAATAATGACTTGGGGCATGCGACTTGGAGAATGAATTTACTGCTGGGGATGTACAGCAGAGATCAAAGGGGGCCAGAGATGCTGTGGAATATCAGAGGAAATACGAAGACATTTCCTAAATCGTCTATGCCCGGTAGCATATGCTATGGATAATTTACTTAAATACAAACCAATTCCCGTTCAAGACTGGTTGCAGGTAGCGAATTTTATGTTAGCGGGGTGAGGATAGCGAGTAGAACTCCATCTGCGAGAAGAAGGCTCAAGTTTTGAATTGTTGATTCTAAGATGAAGATAGAAAGGAACACGGGAGTATGTGACCTGCGCAAGTATGCATGAAAATTCTAACTTCCTTGGACTGAGAGTCTATATGAGAGATCATGGACTCATATTATCCATATTATATGGATGAAAATGCAGTCTTCATCCCCAGACCTGAAGCCCCGTTCTCTTTACCCTTTCTACATCTATAACAGAGCTCAAGGATGAGTTCTTAAATCTGGCCACCACACTACTCGGGAAGGGGGAACGCGCCACGGCGGAGGCAGGCCCGGCGGGGTGATGACTCTGCTAAGCAAGAGCATATAAAAGGTGGTACAGATGCGCCATACGCTTGTGCGTTGTTCTTCATTAATAACTCCCCTACAGACATCGTACACGAGCGTGGCCGGCTCTATTTCTGCTTGCTGGCGGCGCCCTCCTGCTTCATACCGTCGCACCCCAGGGCCTTTCCTGCCACTTCCTCGACTTTGCCGTACCCCTGTGCCGTGGGGTCGCGCTGTTGGCCGGCGGCCTTCATCGTCGACGCGGCGTGCGCCTTGTCTTGCTCGCCAGACGAGGTCCAGGCATGAGAACCTGTGACGCTACCGATGGCGGCCTATTTGTTTTCGCACTTGATGTCAGCTACCGCCGTGGATTATTTCCCCAGATCCTGAAATGGGACTGTAGAAGGGGATTGGGTTTGACTCGAACTGTACCTCGGCAGCACCCTTGATGTACTCGGCGTGGCCGGCGACAAGGCCGGGTTGTTGATTGTTGGTGTTCTGGGAGGACATTATGAGTGACTTGGTGTGGGGAAAGTTGTTTACTCGAAGTGATTTGAATCGTTCTGATGTATTGTAACTGTGAATTAATGACCAGTATTCGATGGGTGGTCTTCTTAAAGGAACCTGATGGTGATGCACGGGTGCAGAAGTCGCTGTGATCCCCATGACGTCAAGGATTGCCGACGTCATTATGCTGTGGCTGCATCACATGATTCTCCCGCCAACACGTAAGGCCTCCGCAGTCAGTGGCAACCGCCATATCTGGAGCAAAGATACACACGGATTCGGTGGGCTTAACAATAATAAAAAAGGTGGCTTGGCGGACGTTCATCCTGATGGCAGGGGCTTAATTAAAAAAGACACGATCGATGAAGCAGCTTCAATTACAGTTTATTGATTGTTGGTATTGTAGGGGTATCACTACCGTTTGGAATAGCGTCAGCTCCTGAGGCTCGTATTGCACAAACACTAAACTTCAACCCTCTCTGTGTGAGATGCGTCGAAATCCGACTTCTTCCCCTCGGCATCAGCAACGCGGTCCTCGAAGCGCACACCAGCGCTCTTAGTGCGCCAGGCGGGGACATTGGCGTCAAAGAGCTCATCAATTTCCTCGAGGGTTTTGCCGGATGTCTCGGGGTATGTTAAGAAGATGTGTACGGTCATGACAGCGCAGAAGGTGCCGAAGATCATGTACGTCTTCCACTGGATGTTGGTGAAGGCGGGCGGGACGAAGAAGGCGAGGGCGAGATTAAAGGCCCAGTTGCAGGCGGCAGCAAAACCAACACCAGTGGCGCGGTATTTAAGAGGGAAGACTTCTGAGGCGTAGATCCAGCCGATCGGGGCCCAGGTAAGGCTGCAGCAAGTTAACTGTGTGGTCTTCATGATGAAGGGCTGTGAGAGCATTGCAAAAACTTACCCGTAGACACCGACGAAGATGTAACAAAGGGCGATGACACCTTTGGCGGGAGGGCCGGAGATGGCCCACCTAAGGTTATCGTCACCGTCTACACTGTCGACGGGATTGCCATGCACCTTCATTACGGCACCGGTGGTAAAATGAATGACACAACAGATGATGGCACCGCCGATGAGAAGAGGACGGCGGCCGAGTCGGTCAATGATGGGCAGGATGGCTCCGGTCGTAACGAGGAAGATGACATATTGAATGATGGACGATGTCAGGGCAACATTGCCAGTCTGCCAAGCCGGTGTTAGTTTTGCGCTAACATGATTGAATCGTGGGGAGGAAGCAGCTCACGATGCCAGCCATATTGAAGATATAGATGAGGTAATAAAGAATAATATTGCCTCCTAGGAGCTGTTGCCATACCTGAACGCTGCAGCCTGCTAATGTACGTTTCCAGACGCGGGGACCGAAGAGACCGAGAACACCAATATTCTTGGACTCGGCAGCAATACGGGAAGCCTCCTTGACTTCGTCAAGTTCAGCGAGAACAACGGGGGCATCGTGGTCACCGCCGGCGTGCAGATGAGCCAGAACCTCGTGGCACTCTTCCCAGCGATCCTTCTGGCCCAACCAACGAGGGGACTCGGGGAAGAAGAAAAGAGCAGCGCCAAGGATGAGACCGGGAATACCCTGGACACCCCATGCGATACGGAACGCACTAGGACCATCAATGGTGACGGCACATCCATATGAGATGAGGTACATGATGAGGATACCCCATTCGATGGACCACTGTTGGATGCCGACGATGCGTCCACGAATGCGGGAGGGGGCGAGCTCTGCGAGGTAGACGCAACATTGAGAACTCGTGATACCGATGGCAAAACCACTGACGACACGGCCGACGATGAGATGGGGGACGTTCTGAGAAGAGCACTGGAGGATGGCACCGAGGATCCAGATGGCGGAGGCGAGCTTCAAGGCGCCGCGTCGGCCCCACCAATCGGCAAGGAAACCCGCTATAAGAGCGCCAACCAGGGAACCGCCGGACATGGCGGCGGTGATGCCGCCCTGCAGGGTCGAGCTTGGATGGTTGAAATACTCCTTGTAGGAATCGGCACCGATCCAAGCGCTCATGGAACTAATATCGAAGCCGAAGAGCATACCGCCAATGGTGCCAAAGGCGGCAAGCGCTGGGCAAGACTTGTCAGCATCAAAGACGGGTGGTAACGTAGCCCCATGACAGAAATGAATGAGCTAGGGCCGGGTTGCATACCGTAAATGTTGTAGATGCGAAACATGATGGGACTTGCAAAGAGCGGGACACCACGTTGCTACAATGAAGCTGAAGTCGATTCCACGAGGAGGGATGAATCGATACCTATGGGCGAAGGGGGAGGCGGAGGATTATATAGGTGAATGAAACCGTCTGCGTGGCCCTGCTCCGTCGCAAACATGCGGCTAACTGATAACCATCAGCAAGGCATGGCTGTGGAAGGGTAAGGAAACATTGAAGGGAGCCCAACCCCATGCTCGCTCAATGAAGGCGAGTGGTTGGACAGATGGTGGAGTCGAAAGTCATTGTTGCATCTTTGGGTAGAGGGCATTTAGGCGTGACCCGAGTCGTCCAAGGCAAGGCTGCAGCTGCCGGCAGCGGAAGACTGCAAAGGTTTGCGGTAGCCGACGTCTCGAGTTAGGCGCACGTATGGGAAGGCGAGAAAATTGATGGCGCTGGAGCAGCGACGTCATCTGAGGGTGGGAAGCCAATGCCATGGTGTTTGCCGTCTGGGGGTGGATAAGGCGTGAAGATGATAAACGATAAAGTCGTCCCACTCCCGGCGCGGCATGGGATTAATGTGCCGTGTTTGGTTGGAAGAGGAGGGAAAACACGTGGCCGATGGCCGAGAGAGAGACGCCGTGGGGCGTGAGGGGAAGTCCGGGGGGTGAAAGAGGGGGGAATGGGGGAAGACGGTTGGGGAAAATCGGGGTTACAAAGTACGTATCTGCCGTCTACGTAGACAAAGGAAAGAAAGAAGGAACTTCTCGGGTGCGATTGTGACCTTCTGTCTGGGTAAGAGAAGTTGAAAAAGGGCAAGGGGGAAGGGGCAGAGGGGGCGGCGGCCTTAATGCCGGACTCAGTCACGAATTTAGTAAGAACATTGATTTCCTGCAGTAGGGCAGAATCTGACACTCTGGTATCTGTTTCTTCGTTGGATGTGGACATGCAATGTACGGTGTATCCGTACTGAGGCTGTAATACTCCACTTCTAGTCTTGGCATTCTTCGCAAGGACTATTGACAGGCTCCTCCGTACATAGTAGAATAAAAGAGTGGGGTAAAGGCAGAGGAACCGGCGTGTGCCGTTTTCGTGTCGTTTGTGCCTTGGGCAGATAGACGCAGGTACAGATAAAGGTACATGAGCACTCCGTACACACTAACTTGATACAGTGCCTCAGGTACCTGCCTCGTTGCAGTCACGTAATGTAATTCGGATGTATCCGTACCTGGGCTCTACGATGTGCGATTACTCAATCGACGTCATTCCCTGCCTGAACCGGAAAGACGCCGACAAATATAGGGCCCACCTTCCCCGTGGACCTGGTTCGTACGGAAAGAAGGGCCGGGGACGGGACATGCCGGGACGCGACGGGACCCCCTCATCATCTATGCCGCCCAAAGCAGCCACTTGCTCTGACGTCCAATACTCAGTCAAGCAGGCCCGGGGTAGTCTTTGTCGTTTCTCATGTACAATGAGTGAGGGTATGAACATGTTATGGAGGCTCATAATTCCCTCCACATAGCATCCTCACCAAGACACGGTCTATATTCACCACACTAATCGTATGTGGCTAGTTGCCCAACTCTGAGAAGTGGCATACTCTGGAAGCATCTGATAGCGTGAGACGGCGAGGAAACAACTATGAGGCTTTATACCTCTTATCTTGGCTATCTGAGACCGAGATCGCTGAGCGACCAAGGAGAAATTGCACGACACCAAAGCTTGCGCCGAGCAGTGGGCTTCACTGCGACTAGAGACAGCTCGGTCTTTATCGGCTCATATGCTGGTTCTCGGCCGACGACGAACAAGTTGGGCTACGGGGCTCACCCCTGTTGCAGAGCCACTACGCCAAGGCTTAGATAGAAAATCTGACATCCCAGAAGGTACCTTGGTCCGGCCATTCGCCGTGATAAGAATACCTAAATGAAACGGCGATCATCATAAAGATTAGAACCCCATGCAACTAAAGTTGACATGGCTGTGTCGATTACCTAGGTGACTTGGTTACTACTGTGTGGCAGCGTCGTTATTCATCAAGGGTGATGATGGATGTTACGTACACATTGCTGACAATAGCAAGAATAAGATACAGGTCGAAACCCGGCGATATTCTGCAAAGACGAAAAGAGAAACTACATACAATATTCGATCATTGATAACGTTAGGATATACTCGGAGACCTTCAAGATAGAAACAGGTAACAGATGTTCAAGGTCCCCACTCCTTGGGCCCAGCGGAATATCACAAGTATTCGAGCCCGACGAAACACCGAGTCAAGAATGAACAAAATAGAGACCCGAACTAAACAAAAGCTTCGCGAAGCTTGTTCTGTGGCTATAGATTACGTACTGATGCTCATACCCTGGCTTACCTGGCTCCGTTTGTGCACACCCATGCGCGTATGGGTGGGAGGAAGATCTCGCCCTTCTGATGGATCAGGGCGGGTATCTTTCTCCCCCAGGCAATTTGCATTAAAAAGCGCACACTTCAACATACTAGGGCAAGAGACTCACAACAACAATGTGAACTCAAACCTTACCCATGTCAAATAGGAGAAAAATAAGTATCCAGGAACGTAAAAAGACTACGGCCTTGGGTTTGTTTTTTCTCTCAATCCATGCTCAGGATACACATGTATCCACTAATAAAACCCTGCAGTAACATCTAGATTATGATGTTTACTTCGCCACGCCTCGACGTTGACGTTCCATTACATGCTGCATATGCGATACTGCAAATCCGGTAACACATCTTGGGTGGACTTAGATATCGGATTTGCATTGTTGGAGAAAAAAGAACAAACCAATAGATATCTCTTCGCTATCGCAGCAAAGCTGCTAGTCTTGTCGAAAAACCATCAAAAATGTAACTCTGGACATGGTGTACTTTTACTTTCATGTAATGAGAAGATCCGGACTTCCCACCGGTTCCCGACAATCAAATAAGCTGCCGCCAAGCCTACAGCTCCTTCCCTTTTCATCTATGTCCGTGGGGAGTACCGGGTTCGTGTGGCCCACAAGCGCAGTGAGTGGTTCCAGAACGTGGGATGCAGCCAACTGTCAGCAGGAACTCGGCGCAGTAAGCGCTCGTAGTATCAGTCAGCATTCCACGCTCCACCCATTCCCTTGCAACAGATAAATCTTACCTTCTTCTAAATCATGGTAGTGAACTGGTAAGGAAATCAAGGCCTTTGGATCTCGGCCGTTAGTCGGGTTTACTTTGTGGGTATCCGTGAGACCAATATGCGGAGTGGAATCTCTCAACGGGGCTATGTGCCTGTCCTCAAGGGACGGTGTCTGCTCAGAAAAATAAACCCTTCTAGAAGTACAAGTATATAGAGGATAGTACCCATTGACACTCTCGTTTAGTTACCAAAACTGGTTCAACGTTTCAATACTCATCATCGGAGTTTTCAGCACCTCAACTTATCATCTGACATAATCATAATGCGTTTCACTACTCCGGTTGCTTTGGGCCTCATGGCTGGAGCCGTCTCCGACGCCAGTCCGACTCAGAAAAGGGCAAGCATCAATCTTCCTACCGCAGCGGCGAGGGACCTCGTGGAAGCAGGCAAGCAGTTGGCTCAGATAGCAAATCTCGCCGAAACCACCTGGAATCAGGCCCTAGCTTCCAACAGCAGCAGCGAGCAGAAACAATCAACCTGCAGTCCTTCTACTGTTGCCATCAGAAAAGAATGGGGTGCTCTCACAAACGCTGAACGCAAGTCATATACCGATGCCGTCAGATGTCTCCAGGCCAAACCAAACAGGACTCCACCTTCTCTTGTCCCCGGGGCCAGATCCAGATTCGATGACTGGGTCAGTGTTCACATCAACCAGACAAAGACTATTCACTACACCGTAAGTCAATCCGTCTCCCTGCACTGTCGATTCACTGCCAGTTCCATATACTGACTTACATAAGGGCACCTTCCTCGCCTTTCACCGCTATTTTACCTGGGAGTATGAGCAAGCCCTCCGCAACGAATGCGGTTATACTAGTTACCAACCTTACTGGGACTGGGCCAAGACCGCTGTAACCGGGATGGAATCATCACCTATCTTTGATGGCTCGGAATTCAGCATGTCTGGCAACGGCGAACGCATTGGCAACCGCAGCCACTACATCGTCCTGGGAGACAGCAACGGCGTTGACAAGATCATTGCCCCAGCTGGAACCGGAGGCGGTTGCGTCACCTCGGGACCATTCAAAGACATGGTGGTCAACTTGGGCCCCGTGGATCTCGTTGTTCCGGGAAACAAGACAGCAGAGGCCAACGGCGACGGCTTGAGTTACAACCCGCGCTGCATGAAGCGCGACTTCACCTCCGCCATCAACAAGCGCTACGCAAACGCCACCACAGTGGTCGACACCCTCATCCAACCCAACATCGCCACGTTCCAGGAGATCCTTCAGGGCAAGCCCGACAGCCGCGAGCTCGGAGCTCACGGTGGCGGTCACTTCGCCTTTGGCGGTGACCCGGCACGCGACCTGTACCTTTCGCCCGGGGACCCATTGTTCTACCTTCACCACGCTATGGTGGACCGCACGTGGTGGATGTTCCAGAGCATGGATTTAGAGAAGAGGACGGGTGCCGAAGGAATTGCGGGAACGGGAACGTGGTTGCATGACCCAGAGAGTGCCCCTACCACGCTGGACACGACAGTGAACTTGGGATATGCGGCGGGCGAGGAAATCGCTATGAGGAACTTGATGAGCACTATCGAGGGTCCTTTCTGTTATATTTACCAATGAGAGGTATGTGGATATTGGAGAGGATAGATAAGATCGTATCATCCGAATCTCTCCTGTTCCCACTCAACCATATGACTTTGGAACATATGTTGAACATTCAAGGACTTGGGGCGGGGGCTTTAGGGAAACCCCCGAAGCGAGCGACTGCGTATGGCGGCTTTAGCCTCTGAGCTCTGAGTGACGAAGAGAATCCCGCCCATTTCCATCCTGGGACCATATATGCTTGTCCACCCCACGCTTATCTCTCTCTCTCTCTCAACTCATCGAACCCCCTTCGTTCCCCTCACCCCTCAGTATGGCTTCGTCTCAGAGGATATCACAACCTCGCTTGCTGATTACCGCTCTTTCATCGCAGCTTAGAACTGTCGCACTCTCAAGGTATACGCACTATTTATCACAATTGCGGTGCCTGATAACCTGAAAGACGATGAGGTCATCGAAGAGCTCTATCTAGACGGCCTAAATATGCTTCCTGACACTAAAGTCAAAGACTTTCGCGTTTCAGAGCCTAGTGAGGTTCTCACGTATTGCGATGAGCTGACGCCGAAGATCGGCCCCAACAATACCCATGTACTGCAGAAGAGCGCCTCTGACGAGTGCGCAGGTACCTCTCCATCATCAACAACCAGGGCCCTTGCACCAAGCAGGTGATGAGGCCTGAGGAGCTCACAGGACAAGCAGATCTCCCCAAGTGCTGGCAGGTCGCGGAAGAGTGGCCATCAGGCACAGAGCCTAGTGCTAATTTCAGTATTGTATGCAGCTCCAGATCCGATGACAACCCTTAGAAGTGGAGATATACTTTATCCACGGCGGAAGACAGCTCGCAGATCTTTGAGACGATTCTATAGCTTTGGGCCTGATATACTTATTTTGGGGAGGATAAAAAGGTGTCTAACCATAATGAATTAGATGCTAATAACAGGTCGTGTCATGGTGAAATTCAAACCACGTATTCAGGCCCTGTTGTGCCACTGAAGTCAAGACGATGAAAGAGAAATGGATGGCCAATTACATCAGTATAATATGCGTAGTACCTCTCGCACCTCCAGAGCGTGTTACTACTGAGAAGGACGAATATCATGTCACGCCAGTGGTGAAGAAATATATCAACCATGGGCGAACCATTATCCTTATCGTCTTGACAGTAACTGTCAATGTTGCATTTCAGGACATAGTTGAGTTCGCAGAAGAAGTCGAAAAGGCGGGAAAAGAACTCTTGGTGTTCTGATTAAGCCAGACTTGTTGGTCACGGCACGGAAACAAGGGATAAGCTCGCTATCTGTAACTTGGTTCCTCTGAATCTTGGCTAGTTTGTCGTTTGGTGAACTACCAAAAACACAGGCAGAATCTGGATCTTGAATTCATTGATATTAGCCGGCGGGTGACTAGGAGCTGGGGAAACGTGTGGGAGGACATAAAGAGTAAGGCAAGAATCAGATATCAAGAGTGCTAGTAAGAGCTCTAGGTAGAACTGTCTTTACTTTGCAGCCACGTAGATACGAGATTTAATTTAACTCATGCGATAGTTGACTTTGTTCTTACACCATCCACAACATGTCAGAACAGGCCATGGATGCATGTAACAGTCAAGATTCATCTAAGAGCTCCGTAGATTTCTTTAGTTAAGAAGCCGTAAATGGTATAGCAGCAAACATCCCCAGCCTCGAAAAAGCCTAGTTGTTTCGTGTTTTCAGAGTAACCTTTCCCTGTATGAAGCCACCGACAGCCGAACTCAACCAAATCACCTCATCGTCGCTAATATCCATAGCTGCAATCAACTGTTCCTTTACACCAACATTATTCATTGCCTATCTTCTCGAGACGCCCATCTTACATCCAGTTGCGCTACTGGGAGTCACTAACCCATCCCTCCAGAAGTACACCGTCCCAAATACTTAATATAGCTATCCTCATTCTGTAAGAGTACGTCACATTCAGCAGGCGAGATCGTCTCGTCCGAGCCTACGCGTTCCCAAGCAGCACTATAAGGCTGAAGATACGTTGTCTTATGCTTGGTGAACAGTGAGGGCGTTGTCGGCTCTGTGTCTAGGTACACGGGGATTATCGGAGTATGGAGAGGGATGTTCGACAAGGTTGGTGGGTTAAAGGGGGTCCGTTGAGTTAGGCCGTGGGCCCGACATGATGCTAAGGGCCCCGTCCCTCTTGAAAGCCAATCGCACGATGAAGCGTCTGTTTGGGTCTTTGGATGCTTCGCCGTGGGTTGAAAGCATGTGGGCGCTGACCTCCTCGAATAGTGATTGCATACGGTCGACGCTACGCAAGTCCTCAGCTACAGCAGTCTATGAAATATCAGATGCTGCAGCTTGGAGACGATCGATCCCGTACTGAAGCAGGTAGCAGTGCGACATAGATGCCTCGTTGTAGGGGAGACCTGCTGAGTAGGCAAATGTTGTAATGATCTCGAAGTTGGGATCAGAGGTGATCGCCTCAACCTGGTCATTAGAGGCCATGGCAAGATTCGGCATAAGAATACAACCTAGGAAAAGTTGTACGATTATCATTCAGATTCAGAAGTAGCCAAGGCTGGGAAAGGCTTGGTTATTTATGTTGACCGGAAATCGGACCCGCAATTCATTAGCTGCAGACTTGCGGCGCAGCACCAGGGGTCGGAGTCACTCGTGTTCCTCTAAGTCGGCTCCAGGTTAGAACACAATGTCCGTGTGGCTGGACACCCATCGGTCCACCTTCAACGTTATAAAATCAAATAGCGTCAAGTGCATGCACATTCAGTTATAGTAAGTTGAATACCCGTGCCATGATTTAGATGTCAATAAGCGCTTCACGATCCTACTTGGCGACGTCAGAATTCGTTCGAAGATGAGGAGTCCTGTGGACTTGGTAAGAAGGACAGGATCTTCAGGCAGGTCTACCGCCGTTTCAAGTCGAGTATCCCACTTGTCGGCGTGTTCAAGGGTGATGAAGTATGTCGGCTAGGGAATATATACTTGTAAACTCTTGCTCGATCCGGCCGAGTAGATGCGTTGGTGTGCGCTGTACGCTCACAGATCCAGGTGCTTATCTAATCCTTTAGCCTGTTTGATGACGATTTCTATGCTTGCGAAGTCGTACATTGTGACGTAAAGCCTTTCACCAACGCTTTCCAGTCGATTCTCTAGATGCTGTCGGTTCGATTCTTTGTACATTGTCATGGAGGCTATGAGGTCTAGTAGTGTCTTCCGAGAAGGGGATAAACTCATTGTTGTGGCCGGATCTAGATCTCGGCTGAAGTCGACGATATAGGCATGGTCGTCTCGGAAACCGAGACTAATATCGGTCCTCATAGTGTGGGCAAGAATGGAACACGATACAGATGATACAGAAGCTCTTTGCAAGTTGAAACTTCTAGTAGTATCCTTCTGCTGTCAAATGTTTGCAGGTCTACGTTCTTTTCTGCCACAAGGTAGATAAGGCACGGCTACAGCAAGGCCACTTATGTGTCCAAGTGCCTCTTTATCCTTTGTCATATTTTCTTCTTCTTCCAGACAGAATGAGCAATTTATTTTGCTCCATTCAGTAAGTTCTGCTTTGGAGTGAAGGCAATGTATCTCTTCAGGCACGCTAGGCCGTACGTTTTATGCGAAGGAAGATTCGGAAATGCTAATGTGTTGCTTCGGGACCTTCGGATCTGAGCATCTTATTTCCACAGTACGTCTAATCCATGCCTAAGTCTCGTGCCGTCAAAAAGCCTTTTTCGACTGGATCTTTCTCTTTGGTCTCATAGTCTTGAGAGTTTCATAGCCTTATTGGCGGCTGCACCAACAGCCACGGCCCGCTAAGCAAAGTAGTCGAGAAATCTTGTCAACGCCGAAGTTAATAACTCCACGGCCCTTGATGTGTTCAACAAGGTTCTTGGGACGGTCGTCGAGTGCCATCCCAGAAACTGGATCTCCATCAGAACTAGCTTGAAGAGTCAAGAACCTTATTCAAAATACGACTCAACTGAAATACAGTTCGGCATGGGCATCATCGAGTATAATTATGCCAATGTCACTTGTGGCTCATTAAAAGTACTATGGTAGCGCTATGGTCACTTAGGGTCGACGGAATGGATGAACGCAAGGTAAAGCAGTAAACGGGTGAAGACATAGTCTTGATACCCTACACAACTATGGCATTGATCAAGACTTGATCTGTTGGATGCTTACGTCCCGTAAATCAAATCATCACGGACACAAGCTTCAGCAAATGCCGGCGGACCCTGGAGACTAAGAATAAATTAGGAGGCAGCCTTTCTCAAATAAGAATATCAGACACGTTGACAAAACTTTCATATATATCAACGCCGCGGATTGAGTTTATAGCATAATGATGGTTAAATACCGAAGCGTTAAGGACGGAAATCATTGATACTGAGCTTATCTAACAGCCAATATGAACGGTTTACAAGTAATTCAGCAGTAGCATGCAACTAATGAGGCTGGTCATTGCATGATGAGGTGGAAGAAGGATGCGCAGACCAGTGAATCACCTTTGCCCGGTATAGAGGGGGACAGGGAAGTCGTGGTGAAGGAGGAAAGAAAATAGCTACAGAAAGCTCCCGCAACCTTGAATTGTGGTCCAAGTCTTTCTGAAGGTGTAATACTCCACGTGATAACTCTATACTCTAATCCTCCCTGAAACTTGGGCAGCGGGCGCTCCTAGAGCTCGCAAGCTTTGGTCCTGTCTTGGCAATCCGAGTGTCAAATTAAGCTACCGGTCACCGCTAAAGTTTTTGCATCCAACTGTTCTGCTGTCAGTGCTTCAACACAAGGTTGTACACCAGCTGTAAGCCGTTGAAATGAATTTGCGGTTGTCACTGGATGACGGATGAAAGTTGGAAAGTGTAAATATGAGTACTTATCAACCGCTGATGTCAACATCGCACGTGTTCTACGGAATGGAGCCCAGACGTCATTACTACATTCAGGCCAGCTCTAGGTTATGCTACGACCCTGCTCATTCAAAGGACCGAAACTAAGGCAATGCAGTCCAAAAGCTTCTGGTACAACTGTCAGGAGCCTATTCGAATCTGATAATACACGCATTAGCGTCTGCGGGCCGGATGCAGGATGCAGATGCGGAACAGTGTACAGCAGTCCTTCTTTAATCAGCCACACAGGTCAACCAACATTTTTTAACGTCGCATGACGTTTGATTTGGCATGATGACTTTCTTGAGTAGTTTTTTTGTGCATGTCTGTCCCGATGCTCCCTTCTTTACCACCACGTTGTAAGCTACTCATTCGTGTTCTCGGGCCGAACCGTGCAGGTTGACAAAAACCCTAATTCGTACGGGGATGAATTATAGACAAAGCGCTACCCAGGTATGGCAAGGCCTAAGAGCACAAGGCGGGACTCAATTGCAGAATTAGACTCCTATTTACTGATGTGAAGTTCATCTGATACAATGTCGAATAGGCGCATGCAATCTTGTCCGAGGGCCCGCAATGTCACTGCACCGACCACTTGGCTACCTACCGGCTTGACAAGAAACGACTTACTGGTGCTGATTGTAACTATGGCAAATGCTTGTCGTAGTAGTCAAAGCGGGCTCGGTAAGGTCCGGATTGCAGATGACCCCGCGAGGGAATGAAGTGCCCGTCATCACGGCTTGGTTTACTAGACGAGGCGATCATGATACCTCGGCTTGCTCTCTGAAGTGTTGTCTGCTAATTATTGGTAATTAAGTCTTTCGGTTGTTTGGCTGCAATGTATAGCCGAGGGGCAGTGAGTTTCCCAATTCCTTCGCCAGCGATGTATCGCCCGAATCACAGCACTCAATGTTCGGCGAGAATTAGCTGTTGAGCATCCGAACTTCAACTGTAAATGACACTGTCTTCATTTATTGACTGCTCGGCCACCGACTCAATTGTCAATATGAGTTAGAAAACCACACTTGAGTTAAAACACAGAAACTCACGCTCAGGTCTGCCGGTGACAACTAGTCCCTGAGGGCTATGTTCAAAAGCTTGCTTGGTCCAAGGCTCAGACTTCACAGCACCCCCACATCCCCGAAGGTGGTGTTCTCACAGGAAGAATATTTAGGTTGTCTGTAATATCTCAATGCTTAGACCGGACCTGACCACACCTTAAACCGGCCTAACGATGAGGTACGTAACCTCTTTCGTATACTAATTGTGCACTGCAAACGTTTCCCGGCACGTTGCAAGATAGCTCGGACATGCATGGAATGCTGCATGGAAGCCACTTCAGGGCAATCCGAGCGCATCTCCGCAACGTCACCAATGCGCTGAGGCTGTATACCAAGTAGACCGTTGTGTATGATCATATAGGCTTTCTGTGCAAAGCAATCGCACACTCGTGTATACCGATTGAATCTTGTGATGCGATCGGATTAATAAACTTTTCTGCTGAGCGGGCGGCAGTGGCAACGGCCGGTGAACAGCTTTGATTGATAACCGGCTGTGTCGATTGCCCGTGAGACAAGACGAACCGTACCTTTCCTAACGAGATGCCCGTGTCTGTCGAACCAAGAATACAGGCCCCAGCGTCCTTGCTCTGGAGCGGGGTGTGATGACCCTTTTTTGCTCATCGGGACACACTAAATCCCGAAAAGAGTTTTCCGACCGGATGAACCTCGTGGAGGAGCCTGGGCCAGAGGTTCCAGGACGGCCATGTGGTTGAATTCGCGATCCGTCACATAGGGAGTCCGTGAACTCGGGTGTGCTCCCCGAATGAGTAGGTTTGCTATACTGAGTCCCGAGAACCTTTCAGGGATGCTTTGGGACGAGACTCAACGTCGCCGTTGACTGCATCTCAAAACCTGTGAGCTCTGGACGCAACTTGGGCTCTTTTGTGGTTTAAACGCTGGAAAAACTTCTATAAATGAAGTGAAATCCTTTCTGAATCAATCTCCCTTTTCTCTTCATCCAACACACTTCATTCCATCAGCCTCACTCTTACCACTAGCTTCCACACACCCGCATCTTTTCTAAGAATATTTCAAAATGAAGTTTCTTCAAACAGTTCTCGCCTTATCGGCCCTGGCGGTCAGCATTGACGCTCTCCCGTTCTCAGTGACCAGGGAACAGGATGGCCTGGTCCAGTAAGCATTCACCCCCTCCATCATATGGTTTGGCCAGCCTAACAGATTGTTAGCGATATGTCTCTGCACGCAACCAGTCTCATGGCTCGTCAGTCGCAACCGCCGCCCTCTGATTTGACCCCCCAGCCAGCCGCTGAGGCCGACATGGATGAGTTTGAAGAAGATGAGGTTGATGATGTCGCCGGTGACGATGAAGTGGATGCCCAGGGCAAGAAGAAGAAGAAGGGCAAGAAGGGCAAGAAAGGCAAGAAGGGCAAGAAGGGCAAGAAAGGCAAGAAGGGCAAAGAAGACGTTGACGAGAATCCCGACACCGCTACCCAACCGGCTCCGGTCGGTGCTACCATTCCGGCGGCCGGAGCACCGGCTCCGGGAGGCCCCTCCGCTGCCGCGCCACTCCCGGCACCTGCCCCTGCAGTTCCTCGCTCCGTCGCCGAAACATTCAATGCTTGAAGCATCACTTACTACATAACGGATTGTGGGATGGCCGAAATTGGTAGATCACGAGCTGATTGAGAGCGACATGAGCTGATGGTTGCTGGTTTCAACATTGGTATTCATTAGGGTTTTTCTTAGAGCGATAAGTTTCTCTAGATGTGACATCTCCTGTTTGAAACAGCGATGACATCTAATATTAATGTACAAACGTTTTACCATTCAATCTTAACGCACCATATTGTATTTTCTCACTTTCAGACTTGCCTATAGAGGGATCTGACATTTCAGGTTGAGGCTTGGAACAATTCGATCCATCTTAGTTCAGGCATACAAAATAACGCTTTGAAACGCGCACCCCATTGCCATTCTTCTACGAATGTCGTACCTACCCTGAGGTTTTTACGATTGTGGAGTGAAAACTTCAACTTGACAGGAAGGTAAGAGTATCTCAGGCTGCTGCTAATCTATCCGTACAACAATTGGTTACTCTGGTATGTAACACCTGTTGGAACATTAATGTCACCTGACCGTATGAAATCCCATGATTCAGCACATAAAGAAACAAAGGTTATTGGATTGGTGTTGCAGAGTTAACAGCGTACTTTTTGTAACAATCATAAGCCTAGTGGTTCTATGAGTGTTTGTGTTACAGTAGTTAACGTCTGTGCTTTATATACCTTATTCGAGTTCGAGATGGACCCCTGGAGTTTAATTCCCAGAGGAAGAGATGACTAGATCACCTAGATTTTGACGAGATGTACCTAATTAGAAGGTTGGAGGCAAAGGCTATTAAAGCCTTGCAGTTCATACCCTGCCTGTAGCGGTGCGAAACTGGGGGCGTGTGTCGCAGAGTATATTAGGCGTCAATTGCTTTCCGCAATTCGTAGCGTTGTTTTTGTGACAACCGGATAATTGGACCTCGGGTAGAAATCAATGTACGATCGGGCCGAACTGACTCAACCACATATGACTGAGTAAAGAACTATTGTATGCCAGCTATAACTTGTAGTTACAAAGGGCAGTCACAGAATATCACTTTGATCAGCTCCTACGTTTTGAGTACATGCATGTACAGAGCCCATTCAACAACACCATCAATTTGTATCCACAGAACGAGTAGTGGATTGAGACAGGGACATATATTTAGTACCTTAGTGGAGTGTTTCTGAGCGAGCGTGAGTCATTCCTTTGCCCTGCAGCTGATCTTGGCACACATCACACGGAGCTGTTTCTTATGATGATGTGTTTGTCTACATCTATCTATATCGTTGAAATCACTTTCGAATGTCGACTCAAATCCCATGTCGACTCAAATCCCATGGCCACTGAAACATGTTAGCAGCATTGCATTACACCAGCTCAAGAGCCAGGCTAGAATAAAGACAACAATTGGTGTGTAGGAAAGTGACACCCTAATCTAGAATCTTGACTTTCTCAAATCTTCTGATCCTTCTTTCGAGGAGAAACAATTACTTTCCAGACCCTGATTTCAACTGATGCCTCGTAACAGCTTAAGGGTTGCAGGGTGGCACCTCAAGATTAAGTCGCATTCAACCTTGACACTCACATTTGCAATATGGGCCGACTGCTGTAACTCCATCAGCCAATACAACTACTGACAAGCCACACAATTCCAGCTTGTTCAAATCGAGATCAGAGAGAAAGTATCCAATCCTGAGACCGCCTGCTGTTCCTAGCGTGAAACCTTATTGGAATAAAGTTTTCTTGCAACAGTGAGCGTTTTGCAGAAGCTGTGTCTACACCTCTCCGAAGTGGCATCGTCGCACTAACCAAGGTAGTCAATGGCAGCTTACTGCCTGTAAGGTTACATGGAGAGAAAAAAATTGATCCGGTTTTACCTTTAAAGACGGCGCGATTCAGGTTCGCCTGTCATGAAGCCGGTAGCATCGAATGAGATTGCTTGCCATTGGGTGTCTTAGTACTGCTTCTCCTGGGCCAAAGCTCCAGTGGGTTGTATCCCCATTAGTATATCAGTTAGCCCGTGTCCCGTACAACTGCCGTCTACCCGGTGTCGTCTGCCACGCTCCCACAACTCGACGGAAATCCCTCGGCAAGTTCTCAAAGCATTTTGTCTGTCTCCAACATGCCATATCACGAATCACCGAACATGGTTCGCGATCGGGAGATGAAGATTCGGATGGCTCAGGAGGCGCAAGCCGTCATCGAATTCGAAGAGGACCCTCACCGGGCGGCGCTAGAGGACAACCCGAGTGAAGTGCGGGTCAGCATCAAAACTTGGATTGCGATTTTCGTATGATCTAATGCGTCAAGAACTATGAGAGAACAATCCGCTGACATAAATAAGTCTATGGCGCTCTCCTTCGGTCCCCCAGTCGGGCTTGCTTTCCTTGCTGTCGCCTCGGTTGTCGTGCAAATTACCAATGAGCTTGATGGGCAAGATCAACTAGCATGGGTCATTGGATCATGGTCGCTTTCGACAGCCTGCTCTTTCTCCCTTGCTGGGCCCCTCAGCGATGTCTTTGGGAGAAGAATGCTGGTTCTGGGCGGCCAGTTTGTTGTTGGCCTCGGCTGCATTGCCGCCGCCACCACACATGATATCTCGACTCTCATTGCGGCTGAAACCCTCATAGGCCTTGGAACTGGGTTTGTCTTCGTTTCCTACGCAGGAGTACCAGAAATGCTGCCAAATAAGTGGCGAACCCTAGGTCTGGGGATTTTGGAAGCTGGCATTGCTGTCCCCTGGTGAGTCATTATGTCTGGCTTGTTCTTGTGCCCCGTCCGCATAGTCCAAAATCTTCATCAAGTTAAGAAAATCCGGTTTCTCTCTCAGAATCCTTGACGTATGTACTTTAGACACCGATTCCGGGCAACGTGTCAGTCGTACACTCCTGACGAGAGGGAGGTGCCGTAATATCGGCACCAGATGCAAGCGATTGGAATAGCTTATTCGTCCGCCAGATGATATCAAAGATGGCTGACTTTAACTTTATAGGGGCATCTTATCCGTACTGCTTGGAAACGCTCTTTTTAAGTACGCCTCATGGAGATGGATATTTGGTATTGCTACCATTATCGAGTTCATCTCTCTCACCGGCACTGGGTTCTCTTACTACCCAACCCCTCGACCCCGAGGCGACTTTGACAAGACTCGAACCCAGCAACTCAAAGATATCGACTGGGTTGGGCTGCTCCTTTTTACGTCGGGGCTAGCGACAGCTCTCATTGGCCTTACATGGGGCGGCACCTCGACCCACCCGTGGAACAGTGCTGGGACTATTGCACCCATAGTGGTTGGCTTTGCGGTCTTGGCCCTTGGCTTCTTCTATGACTTCAAGGTTGCTGCGCACCCGATATTCCCATTGAAGTTGTTTATCATGTTTCGACGCTTCTCTGTCCTGCTCATTGTCATGTTTGTCTCGGGTATGAACTTCTACGCCATGTCAGCTCTGCTACCACAAGGGTTCTTGTACATGTTCACCACCGATGGCATCCGGATCGGAGTGCTTTCTCTCCCTAACACGCTCATGATTGGTTTTACTGGCGTTCTTGCGCCTCTGATTGCACACAAAGTCGGTTATATCAAATGGCAGCTCGTCATCGGGATGGCCCTCCAGGCAATCTTCATTGCCGCCAGTGCGGCCACTGTCTACCCCAACATGAAACTTGCATACGCCTTTGTCCCTGCTATCGGTGTGCCCATGTTCGTCTGGGTTACTATCTTGTCTTACTCAATTGCCAGTCTTCATGTACCCCATTCGAACCTCGGCGTGGCTGTGGGTCTGATAGGCACCTTCCGATCAGCGGGCGGCGCCGTTGGCAACGCAATTTTCAATACGATCTTCCAAGAGAAGTTCCGTAAGTTTGCAGCAGATATGGTTGCCAATGCTGCCATCAGTAATGGCCTGAATCCTGCGGACCTCGACCTTATCATCCCAGCAGCGATCGAGTTCGATACGGGAAACCCTCGAGCATTACTCAATGTCCCTGGTATCACGCCGGAAATACAAGAAGCACTTAAGACAGCTGTGAGAGCTGGAGCTGGTCACGCCTTCAAAATTGTTTTCTACGGAACTATTCCATTTAGCATTGTTGCGCTCTTGTGCACATTTCTTGTGGAGGACCCAACAGCTTACATGACGAATCATATCCAATCCGGCATGGACGACCAAGCTATATCAAAGCGTGTTAGACGTTTTACTCAGCCTGAAGAAGGCCATGTTATTGAGTTTGAGACCAGGAAATTTCAAGTGGGGCCTGCGGGAAAGATCTGGCAGCAGCAATAAACGCTGTTGCTGAAGTGGCCTCGTTACAATTCCATAGGTTACAGGAGAATAATACGGAGACAGATAGCAGCTCTAGAATGTTAATTTATTGTAGTTTATATTAAGCCCATAGGGGAAGCAAGCTTGTAATGGGAGTTATGTCTCTCATAGCTGTAGATTTCGACCTTGAGCGGAAGATTAGAAGTATAACTCTCAGTCTATGGAGTCGGATTTTCAAGAGGCATGCTGTAGGACCCTTTCCTTCATGCCTCATTCACCTCTCGCTCTTTTCGTAAAATATCTACTTGGATTTCAAGAAAACGTATCGGCGAAGCCGAACATAAGGCGAACAAATAGTACGGTGCCAACAACTCAATATGCAGATGTCGAGTCTTGCATCTGTGAAGACTACTGACCGAGATTCGTTCAAGTTAAATTGTAGATTCCTCCATGTGAAGAAAGGTATCATTTGCCGGACCAACCAAGTCTAAGCCATTACGCATGTGCTCAAATAATCCAACATAATCATGTTTCTCAATTCCCGAACAAACCACCAAGTCTAAGCCATTACGCATGTGCTCAAATAATCCAACATAATCATGTTTCTCAATTCCCAAACAAACCACCAACATTGTGAAGCTCGCTGTCACTGAATGCTATGTATATAGAAGTGGATATTTATATGCCAATGCTCCTTTCCTACGCCACTTCTTTGTAACAATTCCACGAGAGCCTGATCTTCTACCCTATGTGTATTGTCTCGCGTTGCTAACATGCAGTTCGTTTTGGGCGTGGGTATGAGTAGGAGCACTCATTCCAGAGTCTAACTCGTATCGGGTATCGTTTGGAGCTTCGTATATTGGGTTCGCGTTGGCTTCAGCAGCATGCGCATGCGATTGCATATGGCCTAGCACCTTGGACTCCGGCGTGGACGAACTAATGGTGGAAGCATTCATAGTTCCCGGGCTCATCTTTTCAACGGTGCCGCCGTCATGTCCAAGCTCGTAGCGATAGTCGTTCTGCGGCCCTGATGTGTTTCTGGAGGCCTTTCTGCGGCGCCACCAAAAGAAGAACGCAGCGCCCAAGATTGCAATGACTCCTAAAGAAACACCCACTCCGATACCAGCAGCAGCACCTGATGAGAGCTCTGCAGATGATGAAGGGCCAGGGCTTGAGCTCGGGGTAGCAGAACCATCAGTAGCTGTAGGGGTCACTGCTCCACCGTTGGTTCCTGTCGCGGTAGCAGTCGGTGATGCTGAACTGACGGGAGTTGTCTGTGGACTGTCAGTACCTTTCAGACCGGATCCGCGATTTCAGAAGTAAACATACGCCCGCAGAGTAGATGGTGGAGTACGCCCCATCATCAACCGCCTTGGAACTCGTCATGATCCAATGTTGGGCAGGCTGACGTGCTGACACGCCGTTGGTGCCCTCGATCTCACTCGACATGAACAAGTTGCTCCCAGGGTGGACGTCAAGGACATATCCTGTGCCGTTGGCAACATTGGTGAACTTGAGTGTGCCTTTCTCGTTTTCCCATTCAGTAATGTCCCACTGTTGACTCTCGTCCGACTCCGTTCTTCTCAAGCACCCTCTCGTTCTGCTAGGGTGAACCTCCTCTGAGGTCCAGCATACAGAAAGCTGTTTGCCCACGCCGGCAGAGTTCAGCCTTACGAGATATCGTCCGTCCTTATCGCCAGTAGGTTGAAATTGCCACATTGCGTCCGTTTTGCTGAATACTCTGAGCCCACTATCCGTATCCTGCAGATTCGTCGTGAGAGGGTCCGATACGTTGGCTACACGCCCCTCTGAGATGGCGTACCATGCGTTTGAGTCCAACTTGACTGCCGACATTATGACTGCGCTGTCGGCATGCAGCTATGCCTAAATCTCGATTCGAGGTGGGAGATGTCGCTGAACTAGTATTGTGCCAGGCTGGTCGGGAGATGAGTGCTCGCAGAACCTTGAACGAACGAAACCTTAATTGATGGCAGCAAGGTCGAAAGAGGCATGGAGCTCACGGTAAAGAGGAAAGGGTAGAAGGTAAATGGGCTTGCAGGGAGGAGTAGAAAGCTGGATCACAACGTTAAATGGGCTGCTTTAGGGTGACACCATCAGACTGGAGGAGCGGAACGGGAGAGGCGCCCCAAGAGGCGGAATAGTCAAGCTCGTTTGGCACACCACCCCTTGCCGCTCACGACTTCGAAATGATTGGAGGATCATTGTCTGGCACAGTGGCTTTGCACTCAAACGGCTTCTCAGTGGCTGACGGTCGCCTGGGGACCATCTTGCGAGACTGTTGCACACAAGCAACACAAGAAGCCAAGCTCATCAAAGTTCTTTAGGCAGTGAAACAGGCATGTTTTAGTACAATGCTTTGCAGTGCCTGCCTAGCTTTTAGGCCACAAGTTTCTCAGAATCCTTCGGGCCCACATTGACAGTTTCCGCCTGGAAAGCCTTCTGCTTGGCAGCGCTAGGCGCCATCCTCCAAGTTCAGCGGGCTTGAAGGGGAAAAGATTGGCGCGATATTCGTGATATTGATATAGACTTTGGGGGCGCTAGAAGGCAACCCAATCCAGGCTCGTATCAACTGACACATGTCCATAAGAAACTCGGATGGTTTGTCGAGTTATTGTTTCAGAAAGAAAACAAACCCCTTCGATGCTAAACTCCACGGCGGAGGAACACCAGCAAAGTAAACTTGGTTACGCACGAAGTGAAATCTAGAGACGGGATGTCGACCGACGACTTGGCGCGATCATAATTATAAAAGAGTAAGCGCTAGCAGCTCAGCCCCTGCTGCACCCACCTGCGGGCGCAAGTTGCCGTCGTGCAGGTCAGCACAACTCGGTTGCCATTCCTCGCTAGACTTTGTGACTTGATTGGGTGAGATGGGCCTTCCCGTCCATCCGTGACCGAAGCATCCGCCGATCTACATAAAGGCCCGATGGAAATTTGGGGAGGATACTCCGTCATCCGTAATGGGTTTTCTGACACGACCATCCACACGGTGGGGGTCGTTAACATTTCGTCAGGTCATCACGTTCATGCATGTTTCGTAGCAACACTTCGAATACATACTAACATAGCTCTATGATGGCGAGGCAGTTTAGACAAGTTGCCTCTGCGTAAGGGCGGAGTGTACCAACAAATACATGCCATTCGTGTGTGTTGCAATGTCGAGCAACGCGACTCCGTTGATGCACGGATAAGACATGCATCCCTGGCCAAACCAACATCCTGTCCGCTCATCCATCGTTTCATTTGGTTTGGCTTGGCTGCTGAGAAATCAACTGCCAGCCTGGCCACTCTGGTAACAAAAACCATGGCCACTTTTCCTTCCGTACGGCAACCGGCCGTTTCTTTCATCACCGGGGTGCCTGGGCATTCATAGATAAAAGACTAGGCCAGATGAGCTGACATTGACGGTCCGACAATCTACTAATCGGCTTTTTCGCCCGGATATTCAATCTTCTCAAGCCCAACTTTGAGCCCTGATGTGACATGCACCCGACGAGGCAAGCACATCACCTGGCGGAAGCACTCTGACCCCCTGGGAGAGTTGTGTCTAGGTCCCTCAGAGGATTAGATGTCATCTCAAAACCTATGTTCTAGGGAGCGCAAAGCTTGCCGCTGCCGTAAAAGACCGGAGCCGCTTTGTATAGAGAGCATCGGTCGGCGAGATCATGATGAGCCCAGTTGGAGAATACCGACTTGATTCCCAGGGATGAATGCACAAGCAGCCGCTTGTTCATAGGTTGGCTATAAACCGTGTTCAAGATTAACCTGCAAACAGCAGTTTTCAAGCCAGTTGTTCTACACGCGCAGGGACAGAGAATCGGTTGTGCCTTCGCCATCAATTACAGCAGTAATAATACAGTTATCAAACCCCCTGCTAGGGATTCGCCATCTCTTTCTAGGTTTCAATAAAACAATCGCCATGAATCATCAGAGCATTAGGAGCCCGGTATATAATGGAAACGTATAGGGTAAACGGGAATCTATGCGGTGCGGTGATCTAGGTAGAAACACCAACACTTACTAAGGCAACACAAGATGCTTCCCCAATTAGCTCAGTGGAATACTCTAATCGGGACAAATAGTCACCCAAATCCGACTATAGCCAGAAGCTAATCGAAGCAGTAAACGCTCTCAAGATTCCTTTTTATCAAGATCGAAGTTAAATCACAGAAAGGCTCTTGCCCGATCAGAGGAAAATTAGATATGAAAAGCCCGTGTCAAAGTTCGTTCTTGGATCCTCTATCTGTCTCCATCTCATCAATTCTCCTCACAGTGGTATATCTACCTCAAACAACATTGATGATTCGCTCGATTCTATGCGAATTGCCAACATTCTCCTGCTTAGCGTCGAAAGTAATCTTCAATAACACCATCTCTGCCGCAAGATGTTCGGATCAAGCAATAAATGCAGTTGTCGACTCTAAAACGTGCTGGAAGTGGTGTTATATATTTGATCTACGAAGTACATTTCATCGATCTACAGATAAAAGCTGGATGAGACACAAGAAACTAAAGCAGGGGGCCAACCGCTAATCTTATACTTTAAAGCCATATATTAACAATACTGGAAGGTTAAATCAGACTTCTAAACCTTAACTTGGGGCACCGGGCTATTAGCCGTGGTCACTTTCGTGATGCAGCTATTCTACCTGTAATAGTCCCTTTGTACCACGTTGTACTTCAACATCCGTAGATGAGAAGCATATCTACTTAACTCCGGATCATGTGTAGTTATTGGACTGCTGTGGAACATCTTACGTTTGTAGTACCTCTATCCTAAGAGGTACTCTTGACCACTATGGTTTAGGCGTCACGTAGTCAACAAGGCAGGTACCCAGATATTTCCATGGTATTTCTTCTTAAACCTTACATTCTGTTGAGTATACGGCATGGTTATTTCACTGCGTTCATGAATGTGTATGTTCAATATTGTGTACCTGTGCGATCCCACGGGGGCCTGTTCTGTATTAGTACTTCAGCGCAGCATCTTACTGTCGGTAAACCTAACTTTATTAAGGGTATGCAATATTAGGTGCCATTTGTTTATCTGACTTCAAGCAGGCCTAGAGTCAATCTTCCCCTGTATCATATTTAAAGCTTCACTATACTTGTCTCCGAAAAGAGAACATCAATATTGCTCGCAGACTACTTAAAGATTCTATCCCACGACATTTAATGGTCCCATCTTTCTCTAAGACTCAGTCTTTGCACTTGGAGAACTGTACTGTTCCATATCTTGTTACCATTTTATTATAAGTCGATACCATTAGTGTTGCTCGGCACTCAATATGACGCCCGCTCGTAGCTTCACTTTGTTAGTAATATTTTCTCTGCCCTGTGTCCTAGCAGGGCCCGCTGCCTACGGGGTTTGCCAGAGAGGATGTTCATCTGTGGTCATGGCGTGTTACAAGGCCGCTGGTTCGACTTGGGGCGCCACACTGGGTCTTACAGCCACTCCATTGGTGATTGGCTGTAACTCGGCATATGGTACATGCCAGGCAGCTTGTGCCGCGGTAGTATTCACCCTGACCCCATAGGTTGGCGAGGAATTTGCCGGCCATCGGATAACTGGTATGTGAATTTCGCCCGCTTACAATCCACAGAAGCGCCAAGACACGCAATGGGTCTAGTTCGGTCTGGATAGTGATTTAGAGGGTTCTAGCAAGCAACAGACAGACTAAGCTAATATATAACAGGGCTCTGCCTTTAATGTCACTATGGTTCTAATGCGGACTGCTGGTTAGGCTGGCAACCGGATCTGTTTCTGTGATTGAGGGGTGAATTATGCGGTTGAAAGCCCTATCTCTATATTATGTTTAGGAAATGTATTCTACCTGCGGTATGAAAGGAAAAGGTACCCTCTCTCTATGGTCGGTTGGATTGAATATCCCGCCTGGATTATCTAACTAACAACAAAAACCGTATGTCCTTGCCGACGCAAGGTCATCATGCGGGATAGAGCCAGGATATGGCAACAGCATGATCTAGCGCCGTCTCAGTCTGAAATACAGTTGCACATGCTCGACTCAAGAGAGGCAAGCTTATACTCTGGTCACTTTGATTGGCGCCCAGGTACCCCAGACAACCCCGTAAGTTCTAGTATCAGCTTTGTCGACGCCCGGACGACATGTGCAGTGATGCGACGTGCTAGCAAGTTTCTGGCAGCACCCGTCGAGCAAATGATGCCAGCGGAAGGAAGGGGAATGGTTGAAATACAGATTAGCCGTTGGAAGGTTAATATTAGGCTCAAAGAATCTCCTTTCTTGATGCCATACTCCTTGACCATTTGTCCACCCCTTTATCACCACATGGTGATTATATCATTCCGTCAAAGGCCCGCCAAATATTCTCTGGCATTCTTTCTTTTATATACTGGTCGAAACCAGAACTTTGTAGCCTTTGGCTTTTCATGCAAAGTAACCGCCATTCCCAGACAAGGTTATAAACTGAGTACACCATGAGATTTCCTCCAGCCACAGTAATGCTCACATGGCCTTCTCCCAATCATGTTAACCCTACTGAGCGGGGTCCGGCGCTCATCATCGTCGAGCTGACCTCGTTGAGCGTTGCGCTTTTATGCCTGTGCTTGCGACTGTACGTCAGATTCTTCATCATCCGCAAAAGCTGGTGGGATGATTGGCTCATGATTGCTGCAACTGTGAGTCCGGAGGCGGATCCGATTAGTCGGAAAATCAACTGATTGGGTTTGAAAATAGATGTTCTGTATATTCGTCGCTATGTGCATCATCCTTGGTATGGCTTTTACACCGCTTCTGATCACAATTCCGAATTTGATGCAGGACAACTGACGGCATAGCACGCGATCAGCAACACAGCTATATGGATGGAAGTTACATGTGTGGGACTTGACCCCTATCCAGATAAGACGAGGTCGTCAAGTAAGGGCCATCCGATTTTAAGTAAATCAGATGACTGGTTCACTGACCGATGATGATGTGATAGATATCCATTGCTGCACAAACTGTCTTTCTTTGTGCATCATCACTATCAAAACCCTCGATACTTGTCAGTTACTTGAGGATAGCTCCTCTTGGCCCATCATTCCGACGGTTAACGTGGACGGCCATTGCTGCCACCTTCGTCCTGTTATCGGTTTCCTTGTTGTGCTGTGGACACAGTGCATGTAAGTTTCACGCGTGTTTTCTGCCGAACTTTTTACAGATGCCTAACATCATATAGACCGGCTTGGCATTATTGGGACCTCTTTGTGGAAAACCGAAAGTGCCTGGATGAGTGGCCGCCCCTGGCTGCTCAAAGTGTTTCAATGGTGGTGATTGACGTTATCGTTTACATGATACCTATACCGACACTAGTCCGATTGAAACTTCCTGCAGCGCAGAGACTTGTGCTCATTTTTCTCTTTAGCCTTGGCACAGTTGTTGTCGTGGCTGGAGCCATGAGAACCTATTGGGTTCACCACGTTGGAATGCAAACGTACGATGTTACGTGGGAAGGGTTTGAACTCTGGATATGGACGGCTCTTGAAGCCAACCTTGACGTAGTTTGCGGCTGTGTCCCTGTTCTTCGCCCCCTGTTGCTTTTGACGTCGGGTTGCAAATCACCAAATTTGGTGGAGATATCGTTTCCTCCAACGATTGGGTCTGGTGAAAAGGAAAAAGGAAAGCATGGTAACTTGGAATACGATGCGGGTGAACACATGCTAAATACACCATTGTCAACGCCCAGCAATTCGTTGAGTACGCCCCTTCAACTATCAAGTCCCGGTTGGTCACCGATTCTAGATGAATGGGCAAGGCAACAGCATCAGAAACAATTCAGACGTTCATGATGGAATCGAGGACAGTCGCGTGGTATTCTGTCGTCACCTAGCAATATAATTTTAATGCTACTTGGAAGAAATGGAAAACAACGTACAGCTTTATATCCAAAGAATTTATCCGTATGGTACTCTTAGCATAGTTGTTTGTCTACATAGTTACTGATTTTCACTTCTCATACGACTGCAATCGCCACTTTCAATAAACTCGCAATTTACTATACAAGAACTGCGGTTGCAACGCAGTCAGCACCATCCCAATATTTTTAAGATTTCTATTTGTCTTCAGATCATCATATGTACACATATGTGATTGAGGAGTACACGGGAATTAGAAACTGTCACTGGCGTTGAAGAAGCATTGATCCGCCTTCGTCACTCCACGGAGCCTCTGCCTATTGTGAATTTTCTACCCCCAATTACAGCGCTAATTGTTTCCGAATTTTTTTTTTGACGAAATGGCGATTGCAAACGGCATCGATGTCCCAGAGAAGAGCAATATTGAGTACTGGGCCAGGATGGAGTTTGGTTTGGCTGCTGATGCCCCCGTGCCAAAGTCGCGTTCTTCCGCGAACTAGAAAGATCTTGGTGTCTGCCACGTGCGAGGTGCGAGTCTTAGCATCGAGTAGACTTGTCTCGCCTAAGCAACCTGAAATACGCCTTTAGGGAAGAGCATCACTATTATCAAGCAGAGTGGAATTTCTATAGAATCGTTGCGTTGTCTGGTCACGCCAAAAGAAGGGAAGCGTATCTGCTTACTAGAGTTGAAGGCGTTCGCAGAGTAATCAGACTGCCACCTGAAATCCATGAATCATACAGTATCGATTAAGCGGTGATTGTGAACCAATTTCACATTTGGGATAGAATTACGTTGCAGAAAAAATGCCAAACTCATAAACTTGTCAACAGGTTTGTTCGCTTTTAGATTTTCCCCGCAACAGTTGCAGATATCACGAGGCGAATTACCATGACCAAGTTGGATTTCAATACTGACATGTGAAAACCATAGACTGCGAGAGTCTCGTGACGTGGAACCGCAACGTCATTCAAACACAGAGTCGCAGATATTCGCCGGCATAATGGAAGCCATGGTAGTAACATGTCACATGCAAATCACAGTTTCTCTCGCCCCTAGCCCAGATATGGTTAGGTTTCGCGATTGATTCCGTGTATATGCGTTCCACCTCCAGAAACTTAAGAATGCCAGACCATTTTTTGGCGACCGAGTACTATACCCACGATACCAGAGTAGCTGAAAAGTAACCAATGCAAGAGTATCAATACTGCCGCGATTCGAGGGCATCACTTCGCTCAAAGATTGAAACAGTCTCGACAAAAGATTCAATAGAGGTCGCCGAGGCTCTAAAGAATAGTTTCTCGTTAGGGGGGGGCAATTCATGTGCAGGTGAGGACTCGCCAATGATTATGCGGCCTGTGACTTGACCGGCACACACCACAATATTCCGCGCCGCCCTGGTGCCCAACATCTGCAGCCGCTGATCTACCCGCGTGTACAGCACACTAGCAACATAAAAGGACTACGCCTTCCCGCAGCGCGTATCTGACGGTTCTATCCTTCAATTACCTCAATAAGTACAGAGTATTCAGGCTATCTGATCGCTGTCCATCCACAACACAGCATCTGCCTCATAGATGCGGTCGCCCTAGTCTTTTGTACCTGGAAAACTTCTTAAACCTACACATGGTGCTGTCTCTGCCATGGCTCCCTCTCCGGATCAGCAGGCGGGACTGGACGGGAAGAGTCGGGAGGGAATGATTGCCGAATCCATCAGAAAGAACAAAGAGATCCAGAGGTTATATCCTCACGTCGATTTCAAGGAGGATGTCATAGAGCCCACGATCAACTTGGCGTTCGATATACAGGTAAATCCATCCCAGATCTCGCTGCATGGGCGGTTCGTAACTTGCGCACAGGAACACGTCGACGAGACCAACCAGAGAAGATACAACACCCTCATTGACGAGATGCTCGAGCGCACTGCTGAGCCAGACCTGGCGGAGAGACTCCTCTGGGAAGCAAGAGAGTGTCTTACCGGCTACCCAAGCATCCTGACTCAATTCGATGCCATCTTTATTGGACAGCGATCGGCCTCGAACGTGATTCGGGAACTGCACGAGTGCATGATAATGAAGAAGGGGGCGGAAAGAAGGATGAGCCAGCAAGTCGAGGGGGCCCAAAACGGAAATGGGCAATGAGACTCGCTGAGCCAGATTGTTGGATCACAGAAGACCTGGTTCAGTGTGATAATTGTGGAAGGGTTTGATTTTGCACGGCTTCGACCCCACTGCTGATTTAAGTACACCCACCCTTCCCGCGCTCACAATCCGACGGCCTTCTGCGCAACCCCCGAGACCAGCAGCTCCGCGTTCGTCAGGCTGCTCTTGACGTTGCCCTCGACGAACATGAAGGTCGCCGCGACGACCTCGAGCCCATTCGTCTCGATAAACGCCCGCGTGTCGAACCCCATGCGGTCGACGATGTGCTGCGCGTCGCCGCCGAGCGCGCCTGCGTCGCCTGCATACTCTCCGCGCAGCGTCGCCGCGTCCAGCGCCGCCGGCGGGGTGGCGGCGGACGAGCCGGCGTGCCGGAGCAGGAGAAACGTGTACCGGGACGGGCGGGCGCCGACGCCGATCAGGTGTGCGGCCAGGGGCGCGGGGCCGACGTACGGGGAGACGGCGACGGCGCCGTCTGCGTCGTCGACGAGGACGTCGCCCGCGTTGTTTAGTGTCGCATTGGCGACGAGCCAGTGCCGGACCTGGCCGAAGGTGCCGTCGTTGTAGTGTGTAAGGTCCGGGTCGACCATGAGCAGGACGTATTCACCTCGGGATGCATCGTCTGGCTGGTAAAGGGGAGGGGGCAGAGGAAAAGTTTCAGCAAAGGAGTCCTTGACAGTGGGCCGTCTAGCGACTAGAGGGGCTTCTTACCTTGAAATTTGTCGTCACTTTCGGCTGCTCTTGAACTCGATCTCTATGGAGCCTCTCTGCCGGGGTACGGAGGCTGACGGCCGGCCAGTGCACGCCGAGGTTGTACGGGATCTTCGTCCCTGCGGGGAGGACATCCGGGATGACGTTATGCTCTTGGAAGGTCTTCGCAACGTCAGTCATGTTGGGTGGTGGAATCGCAAGATGGAGGGTCAACAAATATAATAGAGCTAGTAGGTAAGAGATAAAGTTTAGATTGAGCTTGAAGGAATGCATTGATAGTTATAGCCCAGGGCATCACCGAGTGGTTGATCACCAAGGTCGTGAGGGAGCCATGATGATACGATGACGCTTCTATTCCATTACACTGGGACCGACTACAGGTGGTGGCACACCAGTGCCGGTAGCACATTTTCCTCCGAGTGAAGATGCCACGAGAACATGGCAAAAGACAAATTGCGATTGCCCGCCTCATCTCTTTGACAGACATGGTGAAATCTTGTCTGCCAAATTCTCATTTATAGGGTGGTATACACACCCGCGCGCGCGCGTACAATTGTTACCAGGGCATTGCCTCAACCGTGGACCCAGTCATGTTTACCAAGTAACCCATCTGAGGCCACCGACTTTTTCTTTCCTTCTCATCTAGATAATACTGAAGCCATGTGTTTGCCGGGCTGGGGCCGACGAAGGATCATGACACTCCAACACGTCTGGCACACGAGATGGTAATATATCCCTTTTCGGTATAAGGCAGAACCCCCATTTTCGACATCACCCGACGGCTGCTCAGGTTCGGCCGCAGCTTCTACCGGCAGCTTTCCGGACTCAACTCCAGTCACGCCATGCAGCCTGGTCTCTGATAAACGGCGACATTGCGTCGAAGGATCGGGAGTTGCAGAACGGACGTGCCAAGAGAGGAAGGTCGTCAGCCGCAACATCGCGTCCTCATCGATCAGATTCCAGACCCCTTCCCGCCGCCATGCATGCATGCATAATGAAGCTCGAATCCCTCCGAATCATTCGAGATTGCTGGAGGGTACCGTACTTGAACGACCACCCCCCTTTCGTGCAGAAAGCTCACCTTATTATTCTCTTCTTACATTTTCTGTCCCGCAATCTTTCGTCTACGGAACGGACATCTTTGATTTTCATAGAACAAGTCTTGAAACAGGGGGAGGAAGTATATGATGGATCATCGGGAATCATCGCCAACGCGGGCTGACACCTGGTCGAATCACGCCGTCGAGGGTTTCGACAACAAGACGACCCCGAGCACCTATCCCACGACGGCATGGACGAGGCGTCGTCGATAAGATCCCTCTTGGGCCCCGGCCGCCGCAGACGCACCTCCGCGACGACGACGACGGCCTCGTACCCGCTCCTCGCCACCGTCGCCCTCATCTCCCTCCTCCTCGGCGCCCTCGCCTCTTCAGCCGTCCGCGTCCTCGCCTCCCACGTCCGCGCCGCCTCCCCCGCCACCGCCCACCGGAACGACAACACCCTCGCCTCGCCCTCCCACGACCCCGACTCCCCACCCGTCAGCTTCCTCCACCCGGCCCCCTGCGGCGCGACCCCGTCCGAGGCCCGCGCCGCCGGCTGCCTCTTCGACCTGGTCTCCTTCAACTGGCTGCCGCCCCCGTGCCACGACGCCGAGCTCGCCGCGCAGTTCGAGGCGGAGCTGCGCGACGCGGACCAGCTGGCCTGGTACGAGAACGAGCGCCGCACCAGGTCCCTGTCCAGGAACCAGGTCGCGGCCGGGGACCGCTCCGGCGTCTACGTCTCGCCGGGCTACCACCTCCGCCACTGCACGGCCATGTGGAGACGGATGCACCGCGCGCTGATGCTGGGCGGTGGCGGGCTCGGCCGCCTGGACGGGTACATCTGGAGCTACCACCATACCAGGCACTGCGAGGAGACGCTGCTGGCGGGCGGGGAGCGCAACGGCACCGGGGCGGGCGAGCGGTTCACGACCGAGGTGAGGATCAAGTACCCCGACTGCGGGGTGGTTCTGGAGGGAAATACGTAGTCCATAGGAGCCGGGGTATTCATCAGAGAAGTGTTCAGGAATGGAGGAAGAAGATGCATGCTGAACGTGCGCGCGATCCGGACTTTTTTCTTCAGTTGTGATCGGGGGCGTTCTCGGGCCTCGCCCCTTCCGTCTGCTCGGAGTCAGTCCATCTCTGCAGCGACTTGTCCTTCTCAACCCTCCTCTCCTGCCGGCTCTTCAGCCGTCCGCTCCTCGGCCTGCTGCCGTCCCCGCCGTCTCCGCCGCTCCCCGACGACGCCTTTGGCCTGGCGAGCAGCTTCCTCGAGAACGGGACCCGCCAGATATGCGGGCCGACCTCGGTCCCCGTGACGCGGTTCGTCTCGATGACGGTCTTCAGCCTCTTGGCCGCCTCCCAGTTGGACGTGACGGTCGTCAGCCCGGCCCGCCACCCGTACAGGAACGAGCTGACGTTCATCGCGTTCAGCCCGGACCCCTTCCGCCCCGCCGCCAGGGCGACCTCCGGGAGCTCGCCGCGGGCCACCATGCTCCGCGCATCGTCCCAGGAGACGCTGCCGATGATCTCAATCGGGAGCCGCAGGTCCGCAGGGACGGGGTGGGCCGAGAGCTTTTGCAGCGCGGCGACGCGGCGCGCGCGGTCCGCCTCGGCGGCTTCGGGCGTGCGTGCGTCGTCGCCGCCGTCGTCATTCTTGTCGTCTTCTCCCTGGTGGTCAAAGATGATGCGCGTCCGCGCCTGCTCCGAGTCCGTCCCGATCCCGTACACAATCTTGAAAAACGTGTCGGCCGCCTCCTGAGTGCACACCAGCCTCCGTCCGGCCAATGCCGGGTACAGCGTTTTCGTCAGTCTCGGCCCGTTCTCCACCTCGTCCGTCGCGTCGATGCAGTGCTGCTTCGACCGCAACAGCGCCGAGCCTGGGTCGATGGCCATGTGACTAAAGTCGGACGACAGCGCCATGAAGACGGAGCAGTCGACGTTGAGCGTCGCCGTGAAGTCCTTGAAGTAGTCCGTATGGACGAGGTTCACGATGGCCTCGTCCAGCGGCGGCGTCGGGTCCGTCAGGATACCGCCACCGCCATCGCCGGGCCCGTTGTTGGCGGTCTCGACGACGAGCTCGACGTCATCGGTGCCCATCTTGCGCACGAGGCGGAGCAGGTGGTCGACCGCCGCGTTCTCGCCCTCCCTGATGCGCGACATGAGAATGTGCACCCGAGGCCGGCGGTAGTCCTGGTACGACGTCCGCGCCGCCGCGACCATGTGCCTCGCGAACTTGGCTACCTCGATGCTGTCATCCTCCTCGTCCCGGAGGATCTCCAGCATCGCATCGTCGGCGCCCTCGTCTGTAAAATCCTCGTCCCAGTCCCATCCGGCGTCGGCCATCTCGTAGCACAGCCTTCGCTCCGTTGTCGTGACGACCTTGATCCATGCGCCGTTGGCGACGAGGTCGATGACGGCGCTCACGGCCTTCCCCTGCATTGTCTTGTAGGGCAGCTCCCTCCGCATGCCTGTCAGATCGGAGCAACGCTTGGTGACCTCCCATACCGTCTCGTAGAACTTGTAATTCGACGCGTCGAGCCTCAACCGCATCTTGCTGTCGAGCGCCTCGAGATCCTCCTGGTCGTTGGCATCTGCGTTGTACGATTGAACCATCTTCTCCAGGTGCTTCTTCTCAGACACGATGAGCCGTTCGAAAAGACCGAGTCCCGGGACGGCCTGGTTCCACGACAGGGGCTTGTGGCCCGACGCCGGGCGTCTCTCGATGGCGGACTTTAGCTGCTCTAGCTCTTCAAGGATGACAGTGATGCGTTTGATGATGAACTGACATTGCTGTAGCAAAGTGGTGTCGGGATCCGGCCCGAACTGTGGGAAGACTGCCATCCCGGGAGCCTTTTCGTGACAAACCCTAACTCCGAATGTCGAAGTCTCCGGGCTCGGGGACGAGGGACAGCACAGACCCGTTTGTGCTTTAATGATCTTCGTACAGATCTTTCTCGTTAGATTGCCTCATGTGCAACTTTGCCGGGTGAGACCGGGGGGGGCGGAGGAGAGAATGAATAGGCGGCAATGACGCAGATTCTGGGAGAGCAAGGCGGCGACCGAGATTATGGGGGCCTAGGATTTCAAGGTCGTAAGAGACGACGACTGAAAGATAAGAGAGCCCCCGGATTCCGTGCTGGCTTAAGCTCATAAGAGAATATCGGATAGTCGGCAAGATATCCGTTGCGTGTCGTCCAAGGCGTTGAGAGGCCTTCCACACTAAGTCACGATTAGCGAGTGCTTCTCTTCTACCTTGGCAGACGTTTAAGAGTGTGATAGGCACTAGCTTATAGCCACTCACCAAGGAAGAAATCGGCGTTCTCAAAGATAAACGCAACCGAGCCACTTAATATTACAGGTGATAAACACAACAGTACGCATCGTTTGGGAGCCCCGGCGCAAAGAAAACACAGCAGTACACCGTGTGGTAAACCCGCCGAGGCACGTGAGCCAAAAGCGTCACTTTTCCATATAGGTGGGGCACCAACGCAGGGCCGAGCGTCGCCGGCTTAGTGCCATAGGCCCATAGCAGGTCCGCGGCGCCAGCGAGTCGCGAGCAGGCCAGTCAATAGAGTCAATACATGCCACATGAACAAACAAACAATGGAAAGCGGATTGGCAGTGAAGGCGGAATACCTCAAACTTTGCATTGCACTTATCCTCTCCGTTGTCGTTGGTTCCCCAGTCATGTTCATTAAGAGCACCGCCTGTCGAACCTCATTATCCAATATGCCATGCACTGCAGCCTACAAAAGTCTTTGTACCCGAAATTCCATGCGATCCGGCGCTGTCGTCTAACCAAAGGACAGTAAGGTATAATAATGCCTCAATCCAATGCTTCCTCCCAAACAAAGCGCACAAGCTTAGAAAACAGTTCCATCGCTGTCGATGAGAATGGGAGGCTCCTTCGTGTTTGGTCGGCTGTACTCGGCCATCTCTCGCCCGCCCTAACTCGTCATGTCAGCCGGAGTCTCACCAAAATCGCGTGGTTTTTTTTCCCTCTTTTGTGTGTGTGTGTGTGGGTGGGTGGGTGGGTGAGAGGAGGGAAGCTTACCTTCCAGCTACCAGCTTCCAGCAGTTGAGCCAGAGTGAGCTCGTTCCCATTCAACTCATTCTTCAAATACTTGTTGACCTCGACGCAAAGCTTGTCCAGGAAACCGACCGTCACACCACGCCACTCGACAATCACATCGTCGCTGGGATCGAACATGGGCGCCACCTCCACCGGCTTGACGCCCGCCTTTTTGCAGTAATCATCGTAGTGCTGAAGACCTCTTTCCGTGTCCTCGGATCGCAGCGTGAGGACACCCAGGTCAATGAAGAGACCGCCGTTGCGGTACTCGGGCAGGCCCGTCAGCAATTCGACGCCGGCAAAATGAACCCGCAGTAGGGACTGCATGGGCTGCATCACGCTGTAGCAGAGCCACTGCGTGAGCTTGTGGAACGGCAGGATGGATTCCCACGCGGCGGTCGAGTTTTGCGCAGAAGGCGGGAAGGGAGAGAACTGCGAGGTTGTCGGGCTCTGCGGCGGCTGCGGCATGGACTGGCAAGGCCAGGCGTCGCCAAGGGACACGCCGTTGATCGAGGTTCGGGATGGCGGCCAGATCGGCATGAGACCATTCATGAGAACACTCCACAGAGTGGGGAGAACGACAATCGGCATGGAAGAAGCCTGCGTAGAGGGATGTGACATCAGGTAGTCTGGGCCGAGGTTAGCTTCCGTACTCGATCGACGACTGTGAACGGCAAACAAACATACCAACCATGTTGCCTGGCCGGCCATCCTCGCCAAAGTACTCCTTCTTCTCGGTCAATGCATCCGCCAGACGCTGGAGAAGTTGTGTTCTGCCTTCGATTCCAGCCATTTCATTTCCAGGCTTGGACTGGAGGCCGGCGGCCATCTTCTCGACCGTCAGGTTACGTAGTCCCTCTTTGTCGACCTGGTATTTGTTCTTGCTGTTGCTAGAAAAGATGCCCTGGGGAAATCATTAGCAGGTGCATGGGTAGCCAGCTGGGAGGCTCTCCATGGACCTACCGTCTTGAACATTTCCAAGCTTGCCACTGCAATTCCTTCTGACCGACGATATACGCGGCCATTCTCCGAGCTCGTGTAGCTCCACTTTGTGCCCGCGCCAGCATCTAGCAGCACGCTGACGAGGAAGAGGTCGATCATGCGGCGACACTTCTCGGTGTTGTCGACCTCCTCGGGAAACGTAGAAAGAAGTTGAGCGATACGGTCGCGCCCACCGACGCAAAAGTGCTGGTGTCTGCCGTGGCCGGGTATCGTGTTGAACGGCGCATCGTAATCTCTCTGTGGTACATTGTCTGGTCAGTATACCATGAAGAAGCAAGACACTCGGACGAGAAACCGCACAAAGGACGCGGCCACGCCGAACGGGGAACAAAGTACCTTGATAATCTTGGAGACAAATGATACGACGTTCGGGAACTTGTTCATGTCCACATCGAAGTGCTTCAACTCATTCCGGAGGGCCTTCTCGGTGACGATCTTGCTTCGTTCTCTAACGGCTCCCAAGCTTCGGAGGTATCCTGCGGGGTCGAGCTGCGGGTCGGGGGGACGCGGCAGGTCAACCTTGGGCAAGGAGACGGGCGACAAGGGCGTCAAAGGTGTGCCGGGTGCGGAGCTGTTTCCTGACATTCTGTTTATGATGGCACTGCGCGGTAGTGGTGATCTGATGCTGGATGTACCGGAGTTGATGCTGGCGTTTGACGTCTTGATTGTTGGCTTGCTCGAGGCTTTTGGCTTGCGGGAGAACAGGCCCATTTTGGGTGAATGGGGGGCGGTCGGCGGCGGCGGAGGGGCTCGACAGATAGCGGTTTGTGGGGTCGGGTGGAGGGGTTCAAGCGGTGCTGAGCTGGCCTGGAGTTACTCGTCCAAATCAATGCGAAGCTTCCGAGTAGTCAGCTGGCGCGTTTGGTAGGGCGGTAGGCTGTAACACGAGTTGTATTATTGGCGGCGGTCACCGAGGCCGGGGGGCTCCGAGCGTGAGCGTGCGTGAGGGGAAGATGGCAGGCGGGCTCCTAGCTTCACTCCGCGACGAAGCCGAGACGAGGAGCTCTGAGACAGATATTAAGACGCAGCAAGCAGCAGGGGGGGAAGAGGAAGAGGACTGGAAGATAAGAAGTCGATGTCCTCCCAGGAAAGTTTAATAGAAGCGGCAATTTTGCTGCACCCTCGGAGAACAACAACAGTCAGACACTTGCTGGGCTGGAGCAGCAAGCGAGCGGTGATAGTAAGGTAGCGGGCACCTGGGACTGGTTGCACCACGCAATGGCCAGACCCTCTCTCCTCTTTCTTCTAGTGGTGCTGGGGTGGGGGCTTGTCCTGTCGTGATTGTTCGGGGGGGGGTCTGGGTTCAGGGACCGATTCCCTTATTGGTATTAGAGTTCCCACCGACGTCGATCTGGATCAGGGATAACCGCTGCAGCAAGACGAACTGCTTTTGGTCTGGTTAGCTCGAAAATGTCAAGCCACTTTTAGCCATTCCTACTCCACCATGCCGGACACAGACAACGGGGAAGGGGAAAAGACACGCATTCGACCGGAAGAATGCGTAAGAGAAGACCGGGACCTTTTGAGAATGTGTGAAATGTATGCAGTGGGGCATGAGATGATGCAAAGATGTGCTGACAAGGCAGAGCAGAGCGAATTCCCCATGTTGGACTGAAGAGCCGCAGCGGTGCAACCAAATCCGGGTCCTCATCTGCCCCTGCTTCTGGTGGGTTGTCCGACTACTGTGCTGAGGTATCGCAGTGTCGGTTGTACAGCAGGGCTAGATGGGTGGCCTCGCTGTCCAAGACGCTGTGCAGCCATGGTGGCGGTATTTCCGGGGCGCCTGAGGGGAATGGAAAGCCATATAGATGGCGGGCTTGAAAAGGGTATACGAGGGGATGACAGAGGGCGGAGGAGTTGCAGCGGAGAGAGATTTGCTCACTTACTGGGTTCTTGGTCGTGGAGCTAGCTCCCTTTTCGACTTGAATCTGGAAACTGGCGAAATATCCTGTCCTTCTTGCTAGTCACAAATGGTCAGGAGCGAAGAGGACAGCGTGTCGGGTCGTCTAGGGAAGAAGGAGTGGCAGAATAGGCGAAGGAGAGGTCGGAGGGCAGATTTCAAGGTCAAAAGTCGAAATTGGAAGGCAAATGTTTTGATGTTTGATGATGATGGAATCAGAAAGCTGAGAGCTTTGGGTAGCGCAGTGCGGTTGCGGATGAGGCTTGACAGCGGGAATGCGGATACTGGTAAGCCTGTTAATGACCTTGGCACTGGCCCGACCGGATCTGAGCTAGTCGGGCGGGATCTAGGAGGCGTCCAATGTTTGCAGTAGTGGAAATGACGATCAATGTGCGGCCACTCTTGACCAGGGTAGGCTGGCACAAACACGCGTAGACTGAGGCACGCACGGCACTGCTGGCGGAAAAAGCAACAATAGGCCGCGGCACACGATGTCAGTGGTTGTTGGCCGAGCTCGAACCGCGGGAAAGCGATTTGTCGTATAAGCTTCGTCTTGGGCCGACGGAGGCTAGCTGCCGTATGGATCGAGGGCTGTGTGGTATTGCAGGTGTCTGATGCCAAGACAATGAATGCAATGGGCGAACTGAGTGCAGCCGGCGAAGCTAAACTGAGGTGTGACGACGTATTCGGAAAGTTGCCGGACGTGACTGGGGGTGGAAAGGGGAGGGAGAGTACTCCGTTTTGGTGATATCCGGAAGATGCGGAGAGAAAGGAGAAAAGTGTCCGTCTCGAGGCTCGGAATGATGTAAGGAAAAAAAATATGCAAAGGGGCAAAGAGGAGAGGGAAGTAACGGCGAAAACAAGGCAGCGCAAGCCTGGCGTAGAAAAGCTTTGTTGCACGCGGGTCGAAACGAGGCCGAGAACGTGGGGGATTAAGATAGGAAGAAGGTGTGGATGTGGATAAGGTAAGGTAAATGAGGTCGGTACCGGGATGATGGAAGGTACGGGAAGGAAGGGTCACGACGTGCAGCGGTGGATCAAAAGCAGAAAGCGGTACGGATACAACACAGCACAACAGACAAGAACACATCCCAAGAATTGGGACGGGACACTGGGAAGCGACGGGGGATAATGACGGGGACAGATAACGGAGGAGGAAGGTAGGGACGAGGACGAAAAAATAAGGCAAGAAAGGGAGGAGCAGGAGCGGGAGGAAGGAGAAGAAGGAGAACGGGGGCAGAAGAGGTAGGCAAGAATGGAGAGAGAGAGAGACACACACACACACACGGGGAGAGGGAAGGAGAGAGAGACACCGACTCAGACTCAGGCTGGAGCCGGCGGCGCAGCAGGAGCAGAAGCAGCAGGAGCAGCAGGTCAAGGTCGAAAACCCAGACAACCGAAATACGAACCGAGACATGGAATTAGGATTTCCCTCTGGGCAGCCAGCGAGTTCCAGTTGCTGGGTATTAATCAAGTCTAGCTAGGTAGGCAGGTAGTGGAGGGGTTTGTTTGGTTACGAGATGAGATGATGGCAATGATATAAAAAGAGGGGCTAGACGATGAGGTGTGCAACATCTAAGCAGGGAAGAAAAAGGAACGGGACATTATCGACAATATCTACATCGTACCAAGGTAGGTATGCGGATGGTGTTGCTGTCCCAATCCGTATCTGACCGTGCCTGCCTCTGGTAATGCCTGCCTGCCATACGGTATGGTATGCCCCTTCCCTTCCTGATCTTGAACGTAACGTAACAACCAGCATCCATCAGCCGCTCTATTTCTTTCTTTCTCTCTCTTTCCCTCTCTACCTCTCTTTCCCTCGCTCCCCTTCTCTCTCTCACACTGGACCACCAAGGCCATGGGCAAACATTTGTCTTGCAGATGGATGGGTACGAAGTGGACAACGACTACGTGACAAGCCACCCTCCATTCTGAGACATGGTGAGCTCCTCTTGCCAGGGACAGCACGGGAAGGGAGAGGGACAAGAGGATTCAGTGGAGAAGGCTCGCAGGGAACTCCCGGGCCAACAAACACCGGGGACTTGGTTGGTGTGCATCATGGAGGGGGTCCCATATGACAGGTACCGGTACCTACAGTACGGATATATGGCCCATGTGTACTGCGCGTGATTACCCCATAAGTATCTACCTTGGTAGCAATCAGGTAGCCGAGAAACGGTTTGATTGAAGCGACCATGCTGTGCCATGCGGTGCCGTCTGATATCCATATGCAAGCGTCTGCACGCAACTCATGTGCCCCCATGCACCTTGCCTACCTAGGTAAGTAGGTAGATGGGTACCTATGTATATATTTTGCTTTCACTACTGTGTGTGAGCGTTCGTATCAAGGTGGGAAGGTGGGAAGGTGGGAAGGTAGGAAGGTAGGTACCTAGGTAGGTACCTAGGTAGGTACCTAGGTAGATAGTCAAGTAGGTAGTGTACGGTACGCAGTTGCCTGGACATCGGACGGTTTGGCCATGAGCCGCGCGGTGGGCGGAAAGGAAGGAGGATTATGATCCTTGTCTTCTCCCCTGTCTGTGGTCTGAGCCTTGCCGTGGCACCTGTAACTGCGGCAAGTATCTTGTGATGGTAGGTACGACCGTCCATTTACTGTTCGTACCTTCTTCTGTAGATTCCTGGTAGAACCTCTTTCTTATCCTTTCTTTTTTCTTCCCTGATTTCCTTCTTTTTCACCTTCACATATCAGATGCGAACTCCTGGTCGTAGCTCTGTCCCCCCCCTTGCCGTATCTTTCTTTCTTGCAACCGGCGAGCATCAATCATCACCAACAAACACCACCATGCAGATACTCCGTATACCTACTACAGATACTGGTCTAAGCACTCTAACCAACACCACCACGACTGCAGCCTCGCTGGTGATCTGATCCACAGCTGCAGTCGCAAATCACCAGCTGATTCAAGTCTCCCTCCACCCAGTCCGCTGCCAACAGGGGAGGGGGCTCCTCCCGGAATCGCTCCCCGTAGGCCATATCATGCCACCCTCATATTACTAGTATAACACTGTCTATCAGTCGCGCTTCTCGCATCTCTTCTCCCCAAACCACAACAACGCCATCAACCACCATGTGCCGGGCTCGACCCTCTTCTCAAATAAGTAGCATTACGTGCTTGCATTGTGCGCCTCTAGGTACGCATGCCTTACAGTGCCATCTATGATAGTGTACGTGCGGTTGGACCTTGGGTCGTTGGCTTGGCTAAACCATTGCCCATCTCCTCCTCCTTTGTCTTTTGCCAGTCGCGGCAACAGAAAAGCCGACAGAAGATCCCATGGGAAAATCCGGGTACAGAAAAACTGTCCATCACAGCAGACAGCACATCCACAATGTACCTGTGCCCACGCCATGCAGCCGCGCCGCCCACCCAACCCTATCATATCGTCGTTGATCCAGCGCCTTCTTCGTCCGGCTCTGTCCCTGTTTCGGGCCGTGAAAAGGTCTTGACACGGCTGCGCAATGCCGACTTGCAAAGTGCATACACTACAGATCGCAATCTCCACGGCCCGTCCAGCGACAATCGCTTCATTTTCCCCGCTAAAGCATCCCCATCTCCGGTTCGTGGGAATACTATCTACGTGGAGAAGGTTGCTTGCTGCTCACATGTAGCGCCGACCGCCTAGCCAGCAAGCACCGAGACCAATCCATTCCATTCCGCTTGTCCGGCCCTGCAGCTAAATATAATGGGTACGGATACAGTACAACAGATGATTACAGACCACTGATACAAATTCATCCTTACACATTACAGGCTAACAAACACGACTGCACACCAGCAGGGATGCCCCCCTGAGAGCCCCAAGGCCCCCAAAGGGGCAAGGGGAAGCTCGAATATTCTCTGTCAGGTGCCAATCTCTAGGAAATCGGAAGACTGGAAGAATGGAGTAACGGTACCGGGGACCTGGGCTCTGCTCTTTCGCATGGGGAGGGGGGGGGGGTGGCATGTCGGTGTTGCAGTGCAGCCAAAGCCTGCAAGGTACGGGAGACTATATCGCGCTGCACTGCACTGTTGCCCTCACTGCCTTGAGGTGGTGGACCACCTTCCACTTCACCGTATCCGTACGGTACTGCGCATTACCGCGCGCTTGCAACACGTATTTCCTTATCGATGGATGCATGGCGCCTCGCTTCCAGATCGCAATGCGCCATGGTCCGCTGCAACATTCATCGCCGGAATCGTCCATGTATCGTACTGAGCCTATCCGGCTCATCAATGCAATCGTTGTGGGATTTTGAAAAACGACGGAAGCGTGCAGGTGGCGGCAGGACAGCAACATTCAAGACACTCGGTCTCCACGCGCGCGCCATGCCATGCAGCTCAGCTCCCCTCTCGAATCTTGGTTCGACGCCGGTAAATCAGCATGAAAGCAACTTTTTTTCTTCCTTTTCTTATTGTCATATTTTACATTGCTTTTGCCCCATCCCCTTTGATCCTTTACCAAGCCAAGCCAAGCCAATACTCGTCCACCAACAGCGATGGAAGCATGGCCAATACCGAATGGGATGCACCTCCCCATCGTCCATTGGGGTGTCGGCACTCAGCCCCGACCACCCCGCTTAAGGGACTGAACGAGGAAGACAGAGACGTGTCAAGGCCCCCCTAGCGGTGAACGAGAGGGCTTCTCGGGATCCAATTTCCATAATTGGAGGCGACCAAGGCGGTTTGCTTCCGTGGTAGTGTATCCGTACAGTAGGTTGGTTACAGGGCATGGTTTCAAACCCATCGCGTCCAATAGCTCGCTCGTGACTCTCTCGGACGCCTGCGCTCAGGACCTCAGCAGCGGGAACTGGTTATCTAAATCTAACCCTGCTTAGCGCTCCTCCCACAGCTTAAGCCTCGCGCAGCCGGCGCCAAATGTAACTACAGTCCTCCCCTCCCGAATGTCAAGGCAAGCAGTGGCCTCAATTAGAACGGAAGCGCCTCGCCAAATGGCGGCAGTATCGGCTCTTGCCATTTTCTTCACCAGCCTGCGCGAACCCATCGATGCCCTTCGTCTTCGCCCACCCCTGTCACCGAGCTCTGGCCGAGAGGTGTCCTGTGCCGATCTGGGCTTGAGTATCCGTACTTTGAGGTGTAACCTGGATCCTCTCTAATATCGTCGATTTCAGGATGCCGGGCGGCTGGCTTCATGTGAAAGTTGCTCGGCAGGTGGTACCATTGAAAATTTGCGCCATGGACTTTGCCATGCGTTCGTTCCCTTTGTGTCATGCCCAACAGGCCAAGTCGGACGTGGCCCTGCTCCCGGCTTTCATGTCCGCCAAAGACATCCGTACTTCACTGCTGCCAGGGTCGCCTCGGGCCTCTTGCACAACTCCCGTCTTCGGGCCACAGAGGCTTGATGACCGATGGGGATACCGCCCTCACCTAGCACCATTCCGGCGGATCAGCTCTGCCTCGTGTGACGATGCCACGAGGTAGCCATGCTGCGAGCGCCAGTTATGCTTAGGGGCGCCGTAAACCCTATTGAGTCTTATGGCGAGGTCAGCTCGCGGACAATCCCGCCACCAGCTAGCCTCCTGGCTCAGATGCTGGCCAATGCTAGATCTATAGGCACCTCTCCAGGGCGTGGCAGACGCCATTATCAGCGGTCAGCGAGAGAGGAGCTTGACGGTCCCGATCGATTGCTGGCGCTCGACAGTGAACCTCATCCGTTGCTGAATCATGGGTGGCGTAAAGCTCCTCGGCATTTACGCCTCTTGGCTAGGCCATGTCTCAGTGCGTTCCGGAATGAGAAGGCCTGGGTAATACCGCCAAACCCCAGAGCGAGTGACCTTGAAGGTTTACCTTCTCCCCTTTCCTTCTTTCCTTCTTTCCACGTGGAAGTAGCCAACCGCTGGCTGGGCCCCATCTGACAAACTTCTTTGCCAGTCGGTGCGCAAACAGCACCACCCAAGGCGCCGGCCGGGATAGCCTCGCAAAACACGACGACTTGGCTGGAGAGCGGACCAAACAAATATAAACAAACGTCTTACCTACCTACTACCTATGTTAACTATAGAGGGAAAAAGGCAAAAAGATGGACGATCAGGGAATCGAACCCTGGACCTACCGCATGCTAAGCGGTCATTATACCACTAAACCAATCGCCCATTAGATGATCTAGCCCGGACTTGAACCGGAGACCTTCAGTGTGCTCAATCGAGGGGGAGACCTCATCCTGTTAGACTGACGTGATAACCAACTACACCACCAGACCATTTGTTGGATGAAGGGCTCGGATTGTGGTACTATCAATGGAGGGGGCAGAGTGGTGTGGGCGCGAGAAAAAAATTTGCAACCGGAAAGCCGTCAGCGGGGAACCCTTGCGGACGGGGTCGGTGTCGGGGCCGGGGGCGGCCGGTGTGGAGAAGCATCCCGAGTGGTTGCCATCGTGCAGACACACCACAAAAGCGGCAAAGAGGGTTACTTGGGCATCTGTCAGCAAGAGTACCAATCGGGAATTAAGTGGTGAAATGGTGAAACGCAGTTTGCGAAATCACAATTGGCAAACCATCGCGAAACAGCCTCTTAACGTCTCGAATATGGCCGCCCCAGTTCCCGCGCTTTCGCAGGCGGCCGCATAACAGCTGTGCTTTCTGTCTCTCTCTCTATCTCTCTCCCAAGCACACAGTCTTTCGTTAGTACCGCCCTTACAAAAGCGGCCCCCCTTCCCCCGTCCTCTCTCCTCCGGCCCTTGAGGTCCGCGGCACCTTCGTGGGGACAGAGGTCCAGTGCTCGCCGCGGGTCGGGAGAGAGTCCATTATATGGCGGATATCAGTCGGAGTAGAAGCGGATGTTCGGGGGGTGGGACGGCGGTGTTTTGCCGGGCTGAGGATAGTTTTACAGAGATAGGAACGGGTAGGTGCGGTTTGTTCAAGACCTGGTATGGAGGCTCTGCTGTCGCGGGGGCGTTTATAGCGAAGGGTTGATAAGGGGGCTGTGCCTGCCTGGGCACTGGGTGCGATGTTGAGAGCGGTATGGCCTTGGGAGAACTGAACCCGGGATAGTTTGTTCGTTGGTCGACGGAAGACATCAGGTAGACTTGCGTCGGCCTGCCGTTATGTCCTTCACGACGATCGGGCTTTGGTGTTCTTTTAACGTATGCCTTTTTTGCCATGTGACTATCCAGTACGCAACCTCGCTCAGTGTTTAGGCGCGCGCGTGTGTGTGTAGTTCGGTGTTTGTAACACTGGAAGAACCTCGGGGGCGTTATGTTTCCCTAGCAGGGTACACCGGAGGATCAAACTGTTTTATTTCCAGGGCGTTTCGGTACAGCCCATGATTGCTGTCAGTTGCTGCCAAGCTCACCCTCAGTATAGCCGGGCTCAGTGGTCGTAAGAAGCAGTTTCGAATAGCGCAGTACCGCCTGGACTCCAGTGGGGATGACTAGATGATGTGTACTCGTAAAGTCCTCTCTCAAAGGGGATTTTCTTCTTCTTCTTCAACCAGCCTCGTGTTCACCCTGCTGCGCCGCAGACATCACGCACAACGGGGCCCTCAGGACCCCAGGTGAAAGCTCAGACAAGACGTTGAAAGGGGGGAGGGGGAGCAGGGCCCATCTCTATTTATTGTGAGCAGTAGCTGGGATGGTGTTGGGCTAATGTACATAAGGTGAACTGCCCCCCGGTCTCCAGGTTAATTATCCAGCAGGCCGCTGCCTGCTCGGATCTTGTCCCAACACCCCTCCAAAAATTCATGATTAGGCCTGTAGGACATTCCCTCGGGGACAATGTGACTATAACCCTCGCGTAACGTCTCGAACTGTTGGGGTAGTCACATCCTAACGATTGTGTTGCAATTCACCATCGACACAGTGCCGCCTTGATTGGGAGAACGGTTCTCTATTATTCCTGCGGTGCAGTGTCCATATGATACATGAGCTGTTTTTTTTTCTTGGTTTGCTTCTACACCCGTATGGTACAGTGTCTTTGGCTCCTCTCTCCTCGAGTCGTGAGTCTTTGCCATCCCCTGTTTTCTCTCTTCTCTCTTCTTCCTCTTCCTCTTCCTCTTCCTCTTCCATATATTACAAGGGCGAGCTCTGTCTTGGCACGAAAAAGCTCTCGGGTGCTCTTCTCTCCCTCTGCCTCTCATTTCTTCCGCATCTCGCTCCAGAACTTCTGCCTCTCCTGCTCGCCTCTCCGCTCGGCGTACTTCTTGGCGTAGTTGGCCTCCTCCTTGGTGCGGTTCGCCTCCATGTAGTTCCCGGCGCCGCCCTTGGCGTCGTGGACGGTCTGCTTCAGGCTGTTGATGACGCCGCTGATGCTGCCATCCTGGGCGGATGTCTCGGCGGGTGTCGCGGCGGCAGCGCCGCGAGGGGCCTGGTACGTCAGGCCAGAGCTGGCGGCGGCCGTGGTGGTGGTGGCGGTGGTGGGGGTCGAGAGGGGCATGAGGCCGAAGAATTTGCGGAAGCCGGCCATGTTGAAGAGCCAATTCTGAAACACGCCGACGGCACCGGCAACGAAGAAGTACCACTGGACGCCGGCGGGGAGGTAGGCGGTAAAGATGACGGAGATGGGGCCGAGGATGTACATCATCAGCTTCTGCTGGGCCTTGGCCTGTGGCGTGGCGTAACGGGAGCCGAGCTAGGGGGAGGGGATTTGCGCGCTTAGCGATACGACCATGGAGAATGGGGAGGGAGGGGGTGAGGTGTAACACACCTTGACCATGGCGAACATGGCTAACGGACCGGCGATGGGGAGGAGGAAGAGGGGGTCAGACACGGTCAAGTCCGAGACCCAGAGGAAGCCGCCCGTCTCCATTCCGGGGACGGGGATGGCGGCGGCGCCGTTCAGGACGCGGAACATGCCGTACCCGAAGGGGATCTGAAGGAGACCCCAGAGGCCTTTGAGAGGGTTCACGCCGGCGTTCTTGTTCATGACGGACAGGTCCCGGCGCATCTCGGTCATGGCGGCCGTGTCGCCGCGGGACATGGCCTCCTGCACACCCTTGCGGACCTCCTCGTACTTGGGGTTCTGCTGCAGCTTCTGCATGCGGGCCGATGTCTCCTGGGCCATGAGGAGGGGCTTGAACATGACGAGGCGCAGGAGGATGCCGGTGGCGGCGATGGAGCCCCACCAGGGCAGGCCAGAGTAGACGTGGATGTGCTCAAAGGCCCACTGCATGACGCTCGAGGGGCCCCAGCCGAAGTCGAGGCCGAGGGTCTTGAGGAAGCCGATCTGTTCAGGGAGGTCGAGGAGGGCGGCGGCGTCGAGGTCGGGGATGGAGCTCGAGGGGGTGGCGAGATCGGCGGCATCGGCGAGGACCGGCTCAGAGACGGGTACGGAGGCGGAGGCGTCGTTGATAGCGGCGGCGGGTTCGACGGGGGTTTGCGCGGGAGCTGCTGTTGTCGGTGTCGGTGTCGTTTCCGCAGGCTTGGAGTACCAGAGGGAGAGGGCTCGTCTCGTCTCGAGGGAGCCGCCGATGGCTACTGTGCCGGCAAGGCCGCCACTCAGTCTGGAGTTGGCGGGCCTCAGGGCGGTCCACGGCGCGCCGCTGCTTCGGAGGGAGGTTCCGAACTGCCGTCCATCGCCGAGCCGTCTGGGCGACCGGGACATCTGGTCATTTGAAAGTTAGCCTTGTTGGATGCGAGTTGTGCCGCGATGCTCTCAGCCCGGGACCCGGTGGGGTGAGGATGATGTTTACAGATTGGCTTGAGATGCTGCTGGTTGCCCTCACCGAGGGGAGGGAGCGTAGGACGCCTCTGCTGGGCAGCATGGTGGGCTGAAGTTGAAGGGGGGAGGAGAGAGATGGATGGTTTGTCGGGGATTGAAGATTGTCTCTCTCCAAAGTCTCGACGACGGATGCGCAGGTTGGTTGCTTCGCTGGGAAATTTTTGGGGGGACTGCGGATGCGCCGGGGAAATATCGGGTCACACTGAACGGGTTGGTTTACAGGCAGGCCCAAGCTCCGACTCCGTGCCGCGGTCGATGGCCAGGAGGGGGGTGAAGGGTGAGGGAGGTCGGCTTTTGGTCAAGGTATTGACGAATGAAAGCTGATTCAATCTCAGACTAGGTTCGTGTTTCGGTTTAACTGCAGATCGGCAAATATTCTTTGCCGGCGAAGGAGGGAAAAAAAATGTCTTGTTTGATTTGGTCTGCAAAGCTAGCATACGTATATATACGGATTGCGAGCCTGGTGCTCATCATCACTGTGACCTGGCCCACCCACGCTCACGCCCACACTGCCCATCTAGGGGTCACTGCTTTTACTAGGTACTTCTGTAGATGCCTTCCATCTCCCTCTACGGAGATGCGTGTTTTTGTTTTTTTTGTCTAGGCTAAGGTGAGCAGGTTCGGGCCAAAGCGGTCCCAGGGTCGCACCCAGCGGCGGCCTCACATCCGCTGCATAGCATAGTCTCTTGCTGTCTTGCAGAGACGGCTCACGGTTGCCACGGGTCGAGATACTTCGTCATTTCTACAGCATTCTGGCCCTTTATTCCCATCCGCCTAGTCATTCCAGACTCGTCAGGTCGTCAAGACCAGTGGTGGGCCTTCGCTGCTTCTCTCGAACCTCCAGGCCGGGGCCAATGGGGTGCGCACGTCTCCGGGACATCGGGAAGACCTACACAGGTACCACGTTAAATCGTATTCTCATCAGTGCAGGTGACAGCATCATGTGCATGTTGGCGGGAGCACCCGCACACGCATACGAGCCACTCGCGGGGTATTCCAGCCGTACCTTGGTGCCGCCCCATCCTAGCCTGTAAGCAGCCTCGTGTGCAAACAACTCTCCAAATCCGAGCATCATGCCATTTATGAAGGGTAGAAGCAGGTTGATGGCGGCGCCGCGGACCAGGCCCCAAAACGTGGGTGGCTTGTAGAGGATCACCGGCGAGTTCGACGAGGGAGGTGATTCGGTCAGGTCTTCGCCTTGAGAGTACTGCTCGCTGTCGGACCGAATCGTCACGCCGGACTCGGCGAGGGGGTGAAAATCGTCGGAAGCCATCGTCGAGGCTGGCTTGGAGGGGGTGGAAGGATGGTGACGGTTGTGAATGGGGAGGGTTTGCCGGGGTTGGGAGACTACCTATGTATGTTGACGACCAGGTTTCCCGAAACTCGGCGCAGATGAGATGCTGGAACAGGGGAGCTTCCGGCTTCACCTCGGAAAATCATCACAGCCGCCGCCGCCTGACAGGAACAGCTTCAGCCACCGGAGATTAGATAAGCGAGCAGCGGCACCTACCAACCATGGAGGGGGGAAAGGTACGTACCTTCATTGAGGCAAGGTTGAGGCGGGACGTGGAAGGTGGCGCCTCCTCACGTCACAGGGAAGGTGCCAGAGAGCAGAGAGGTACCTACCTACTACGTACGGATACATCAGCAAAGAAGCTCCAACTGACTGACTGACGACCATTAAAGCTGCCTGCCTGCTAATACTCCCCTCCCCGTCTTCATATCCCGCCCTAGTTCCGACTTTGCAGAGCGCGCAATCTTCAAAGGAAAGGAAACCATACACACCACTTTTACTCCATACGGGACATCTACTCCCTTCCTTGCCTTGCCTTGCCTTGCCTCCTCTCCCATATTGCATTTCTCACCATCTCTTCTATTACCCAACTTGCCGACTTTCAAGACACCATCACCACCTCCACCACCACCCCGTGCCGTCATCATGTCGGGCAGCAGCAACAGCGCTTCGCGCAACAACATTCTGCGGGACTTTAAGAACCTAACCGGTATGCCCGAAGCTCGCGTAAGCAACGTTCCATCCATCACCTGGATGATTTCATCCTGCTCACTTCCCCACCAAGTGCACAGAGTACCTTGATTCCGCGAACTGGGACATTGGCCTCGCCGCCCAGGCCTACTACGCCGACCACGATTCCGAGGGTGACGTCCCACCCGCTGCGCAGGCTCAGCCCGCTGCTCCTGCTCCCGCCGAATATACCGGTCCCCGAACTCTCGATGGCAGACCCGCCCCGGAGTCTGCGGGCGGTTCGAGCAGAGCTAGCACGGCCAAGAAGGCCGCACCCAAGAAGAAGGGTGTTGCGACGCTCAGCTCCATCGGCGGCGGTCACGCACACGACGACGACGACGACGACGATGACGATGACGACGACGACAGAGGCCGGGGCGATCTCTTTGCCGGAGGAGAGAAGTCTGGATTAGCTGTGCAGGACCCGTCCCAGGAAGGCGGTGGCGCCAAAAAGTTCATCAGTGACATTCTCGCCAAGGCGAAGGCGTAAGTGACCGATTCCTACGAGGTCTTGAGAAGCCCCAACTGACAACTGCCAGCAACGCCTCCCGTCCCGAGACTGCATCGCCAGCTGGCCCTTCGCGCTCCAGTGTCTTCCGAGGAACAGGCAATACCGTTGGTGGCGAAGGAACCGACAGCCGCAGCATCCCCGACCCCAACGCCTTCCAGGAGGGTTCTCAAGGTCCGCCCGGAGCAGGCGGCGAGCCTCAGGAGCGCACCTTGCACTTGTGGCAGGATGGTTTCAGCATCGACGACGGCGAGCTTCACCGATTCGATGACCCGGAGAACGCGATGGACCTGAACATGATCCGCGCCGGTAGAGCTCCTCTGCACCTGATGAACGTCCGCTACGACCAGCCGGTCGACGTGAAGCTGCACCAGCACCAGGAGAACTACCGCCCCCTGCCCAAGAAGTACAAGCCCTTCAGCGGAGAGGGACGCCGACTCGGCAGCCCGGTCCCTGGGGAAGGTAGCTCCACCACAGCCGCGCCGCCCCCCGGTGCTTCGGCTAGTATTCAGACCACTTCGACGAGCTCGACGGGCCCTCAGCAAGCCATTGACGAGTCCCAGCCAACCCTGACTCTTCGCATTCAGCTGCCCAACGGCACGAGATTGCCTGCGCGTTTTAACACGACGCACACTGTCAATGACGTCTACGAATTCGTGCAGCGGGCGTCGGCCGACACCCGCACCAGGCCGTGGGTCCTGGCGACGACCTTTCCGAACAAGGACCACACCGATCGCAGTCTGGTCCTAGGTGAGATGCCCGAGTTCAAGAAGGGTGGTACCGCTGTTGTCAAGTGGGCTTGAGCGGCATCATGAAAAAAGGAAAGAAAAAAATGGCGCGGGGGTCGGGCGGCGTTTGGTACTTTGGTCCCGCAGTATGACCGGGTGGCCGGGTGGCCCTTGGATCCAGGCATCGAGGCTATTTGCCTCTGCGTGACATGTAGACTAGCTTTTGAGGAATAGACATGCTTGCAAAGTAACTGGGACGGGTGGTTGCGTGTGAGACCTTTTGATGCACTTTTGAACTGCCACGCACTAGATATAGATAGTAAACCATACTTGTTCCTGTTTTTTTGTTGTACAGTTTCAAACTCCCATCAACGCCCTTGGAAATGGTATCATTAATCATCCCTGCCATACGCCACTGCGGCTCGCTGTCGCCCAAGACAACACGCTTGTCTCCTCCCTACGCGAAATAGATTTTTACAACCTTTACCAGCCCCGCACGCACGTTATGCGCGTTGGTTCCTTTTTTCTTCTTTTTTTTCCCTTTTTTTTTGAATCATGCGTGCCCGCCACCCTGAGATATCATGGTGGCCGGTCCGTCGAGGAATTTGAAGTGCTCAATGGCGATCTGGCAGTTGAGCATGGCGGCGTTGAACCTGGCCTCGCCCGGCGGGAGGATGACCATCAGGTACGTGTTGGTGGTGAACTTGAGGATGAAGAGGTTGAAGCGCGTGCCGGCCTTGTGCTCCATGCGCACGAACTGCTCGGCGTTGCGCGGGGTGCCGGTGAAGCGGCTGATGGTCTGCTTGAAGTGCTTCATGATGTTGGACATGCGCTCCAGGCGGTCCTCGGTGGGGTTCCGCTGCCCCTCCTCCGAGGTCCAGGACGAGACGGCGAGGAAGGAAGTGCGCTCGAACAGCAGCAGCTCCTCGGCCTCGATGGCGACGCCCAGGTTGGCCAGGTTCCGCTCGATCGTGGACAGGTTGGGGACGAGGTCGTGTATGATGCTCGCCCATGCCTTGTACAGGCTCTGGTCCCAGATGCTCGTCGCAAAGGGCGTGATGTCGAAGCCCTGTGCGGCGAGCGCCGCGGAGGAGGGGCTGACGGGGTCGTCGTCGTCCGGGTGGTGGTGGTGGTGCTGCTGCTGCTGGAGGTAGCCGATGCTGTTGGCGTACTCGGCGGTGCGCTGGCGGACGACGCGGAAGCGGTCGTCGTAGACGGACTCGCGGTGGGCGGGGACGACGAGGTCCATCTTGTGGATGAGGACGTAGACCTTGGCGCCGGGGGAGAACTGGAGGAGGGCGGAGATGATGGAGACGTAGGTGGCGAGGTCGCGGTCGATGTCGCGGGACTCGATGTCGAAGACGTAGATGAGCACGCCGACGTTGGAGAAGACGTGGACGCGCTGCTGGGAGAGGTAGTTCTCCATGAAGGCCTCCTGGCCGCCGCAGTCCCAGAGGTTGAGCGTGAGGTTGCCGAGGAACTTGACGTGGGAGAGGTCGATGTCGATCGTGGCGCCTCTGGGAGGTGGGTAAGGAGAGGGGAGAATGTGAGCCAACGATGGCGGGAACAATGCATTCGGGACAAAACAGGTGCGGAGGAACGCTTACAGTCTCCGGGTGTCACGGGCAATGTAGTTGCTAAAGATGATGCTCCTCATGCTAGACTTTCCCGAGCCACTCTTGCCCATAAGCAAGACCTTCTTCTTCTTGGGCTTCTTGACCTCGGTCGGGGGCGCGTTGCCCGGGCCGTTGTCGAAGGAAGCATCGGCCATTGCGTATAGGTGGCTAGATATCTATCGCGCACTCGTGTTTATCGATGCAGGTCGTCCCGAAGAGTAGCACGTCGGGGGAGGGAGGGAGGAGATCTCGAAGTATTGAAGCTCCGTCGTCGGAGCTTCGGGTCAGACGATTGACGCGTCACCTGGGAAGGTTCTTCAAAGTGTCAAAGTAGCGACTAGCTCGGCACGTTCGAAGGAGAGGCGGGGGCGTGAACAATTGATCGAGCGTTGCGGAGAGGCTTTTTGCAAGGTCGATTGGCCGACGAGATGCTGATGTTGGGTTCGCAACCCCCGGTTTCCGGGAGGCGCATGATGCGGTACGTACCCAGACGGATTAGAGGAGCGCCATCCGATAAGATAAGGCTGCTGAGGTAATCTCGACAGATACTAACACCCCGCCGTTGGACGTTTCTTTTTCCCACCAAAAAACAAAAAAGTTCCACATGTTCATCCCATCGTCAGTCATCCGCCTACGCAATCGAGACCACAATCGTTCAATGCCACAATGACAACGACCGGCTTCAGTGGCCATGGCCCTTGGCAGAGGAAGAGAGTGCTATGCTTGTCTTCAAGCCACTCGGGACAGGCTGCGTGAACAACTCCTTTCTTGGGCTGTGCGTCTTTGAGCGACGGTAAGACCTTGAAGTAGTACGAACTTGACTTACACACAGACCCAACGTGACAGCTGATGGAGCCCTGGAGACAGCACATGGGCGAGGTTTGATTCAGGAGTATACACGAAAGGATGAGATCGTCGATTCTCTAGGCCTTGGCCATTTCCAGGCCAGGTGAGTGCTTCGAGCAGAATACGAGCTTTTCCCATCAGTCCATCTTTCGGCTAGGCTAGTCAATGCAGACACGAGCTTGTTGTCCCCTCCTGGCGAAACGCACTTGTTATCCTCTCGGTGCACGTTTGAACGAACATCTGGCAGTCCAGAGCAACACGGCCCACCTGGAACATATCCCCCGTTGTCAAAGTCGCCCTGGATACGGTTTACGTCGTCGCGACCCAGCCACCCCAGGGAGTCCAGCCTCCCACATTGCCTACCGCTCAATGGAAGGGATATACCAGCTGCCCAATAGTGAAAGACGAAGCCCTTAAAGGGACTGCTCTGTTGCCCTGCCGCTGGTTGGGGTGTAAGACGTTGTCTTAGCTTGTCCATCCAACGCCCGTGCCGACCCAAACCTCGCGACTCCCTTTGACTAGGGGCCAATGAACGTGATGCTGTCATCGGTGTTGGGTATGGCATCCTGCACTCAAGGGTCGGTTGGTGATACCGGCTAGCGATGGACTAGTGACACCGTGTGTGGTGGAGCTGAGTCGACCCATTCGCCCCCCTGAGTCCCGACGACCAAACGCGTGTTCATCCCTTCCCGAGATACAGGTGAGGCTTTTACACATATTACGGCCCGGCTCCCGACTCATGCCCGTCGATGGTGTATGGAATCTGGATGTTGCCTCGCCGACTAGGAAACTTGTAAATCTTCAGCACATGACCTGTCTTCGCGGAGCATAAGATTGCTCTGTTTCCCAGATGATGGAATCGCTTGTCGAGTGGAACTTGATCGAATCCGAACACCAAGGAGACGGCCCCAGGCCGAAAATGAACACGCACTTCTCGAACCCGCAGCGAGGCTCTCATCGCCCGCCCGAGCACCCTGCGAAGAGCCGATTACCTGGGACGAGTGCACCCACGCAACGGACAAGAGTTGAAACGCAATATCGTCCGCCACTCCCCAGCAACAGGCCTCCGGTTTTCACGAGATACACTACATCGGGAGAAGCACCCCGGCCGGCTGCCCCCTCGAGGCCGCCTCACCGATCCACCGGCTCGTCTGGACGCGTGTACAGCTCGCCGGACCGGACATTCAATCGGTGCCAGAGTCCTGTTATGACTCTGCGCATCTTGTCTCCGAGCAGAGAGAGTGGTAGCCGTGCCGACAAGAAGCAGGACGACCAAGAGAGCCGATTGGCGCACGGCGGCTCGGCAGAGAATGCACCCCCGTCGTCAGGTCTCAGACGGTCCACAAACAGCAAGCTGGTCTGCCCGAAGCGTCCAAGGCTGCAGCTGCGAGATTCTATTCTGCTGACGCGCAAAGACTCGGCCGAGTCATCGAACGGCGCTACGTCGACGGATGCGGGTACGCCACGGGAGTCTCCAGCGCCGTTGAGGCAGCAACGAGCGCCATCTGAGACGTCGGAGATGAGCAGCATGCCATCAACGCCGTCCAGGTCGAGAATACCAGATCTGCCGAGGTACGCAGCGGAGGAACGTGAATCGCTGTTGATGTCGCATGCTAATCCCATACTGCCTGCCAGGCTGGGACTCCGTCCTCGCGATCACCCACCCAACATCCCGCAGCCACCGACTCCTCCCGCACGTTTGCCGCCTACGCCCCCCGCGCGTCTGCCGCCGAGGGAGCTTAGCTTGGATAGCCGCCAAGTGACGGTGAAGAATTCCGCCAACAGCCCGCGGCCGGTCGCCGAGAAGCCACTAGTGTCTCGCATATGTTCCATGATCTTGGATGAAGAATTCGGCGCCGGCGCCGATCGGTCTTCCACCCCGCTCAAGGTCTGGGAAACGGTGGTTCGGTGTCTAGATGACGTCTCGCAACTCGCACCACCAGCAGCCGCTAGAAAGCAAGGCGAGCGGTCCTCCCCTGAGCATCAAGCTCCGGAGCAGAGACCTCCTCTTGAGTCGTACGATACCGCGATTTGCAACGCCGGTGTTGCAGGTGTCGCGGATGACAAGGCTAGTGACGCAAGCCTTGAGGCTAAAGTAGCTGAGCTTGAGGACAGGCCGGCGCCCGGACACTCAACACTTTTTCAACCCCCAAGCGGCCACAGCCGCTCGCATGCGCTGCCATGCCCATACAGACTTCGTAACCCGACACGGTTTAACGTCACTGACAAGTGGCAATGCGCCACTGGCAAGTGGAAGAGCCTTGATGAGTTACAGTACGAGCCACAGCGTATGTGGCAACTAGAAGGAAAGGCTGACACCTTCCAGGGCACATATCGTTAAGGAGCACAAGCATTCGGGCGACGCCCAACTATTTCAATGCCCGCGGTGTGAGAAAGGGTTCTCGGAACCCGCTGCTTTCAGGAATCATATGATGTTGCCGAAAGACAAGATGTGCGACCCCACGTCTCAGGAGCCCTCTACAGGCGGCGATGTGGAAGACGGCCTCACGGATGCCAGGGCCCGAGATCTTAGCGACAGGGTCAAGAACGAGACATTAAGGTCCTGGGACGAACTCTGGCGATGGCTGTTCCCAACGGACAAGGTAGCGCCGCGGCCTGGTGAGTTTCCCCGGCGAAGCGGGAGTGGGCGGTGGCCCAGCTGACCATAAGCAGTAATCCTCCCCGCTGTTGAGCTCCCGCAGGTGGAACAAAAGGTATTTGCAAGCAGCTGCATGTCGAGTCTCAAGGCCAGCCTGGAGGAGCGTCTCAGGCTCTTGGCGCTGCAGTCGGCCAACGACGACTCATTCTCGGCGCAGATACCCTTCATCACCGGGTCTTTGGCTCTGGTCGTAGAAGCACATCTTCGCAGCGTGTTCATCGCCTGCCGCAACGAGCCTCCTAGCACCTCCAGGAAGGTGTCTTCAAAGACCACAACAACAAAGGACTCGCCGACCGGCCGACCTCGAAACTTCTCCTTGTCATCGACGTCCAGCGCCAGGAGCGTCGACAGGCTGGACCACCGCGGTCTGGCCATTGGCCTCCACCCAACGCAGGGTACGGCGGCGAAGGATACATCTCGGGTCCCAATAAACCGAAAGAGAGACAACAGCAATGGGACGAGGCCCGTCAAGTCACTGCGGGCGGTGACGGCACCGGTCTCGACGATGCTCACGGTCCCGTTCCCGCGCATCTCGACGCTGACGGAGCTGTCGGACGTGGGCCCCAACCTGCTCTCGGAGGACTGGGACCGGTCGCCGAAAGGGCTGGCCACGGACGCCGAGTACTCGTCGGGGGTCGACTCGAGCCCGGGCAGCGACAGCAGCTTCCGGCAGTCGACTCCCACGGACATACGCTGCAGCAAGTGCAACATGCGGCCGAGCCTGCGACCGGACGAGGACATATTCACTGGCGGCGGCGGCTGCGGCATCGGCAGGGGGAGGCAGTCGATGGCGCAGGCGCAGGCGCGGGACCCGACATGCCGGTTCTCGGACTCGGGGATTGGGATCCTGTGCAAGAGCTGCCGGATGCTGGAGGAGCTCATCAACTCGTACTCGAGGACGTCGTCGCCGAGCAAGTCGGCCAAGAGGCGCAGCGGGGTCACCGGGAAGGGAGCCAGGGAGACGGAGATGGAGGGGCCGGCAGCGACGGTGGCGGCGGCGGCGGCGGCAGCCGAAGCGGAGATGGCGGCAGACACGGAGACGGCGGTGCCGCTGTTCTCTCCGGACTCGTCGGGGACGATTGACGAGAGCGAGGAGGAGACGCTGTTCGACCTGATCCTCGACTCGGCGACGTACCTGGACGAGGAGGGCAACCGCAAGACGGAGATTGTCACGTCCATGTTTCCCCTTCCGCCGGTCGGGTTCTCCAATTATGGGCGTTTCGGGCAGGACGACAACTTTTTCTGATTTCCCTTTTTTGTTTCTTTTGCATGGGGGGGGGGGGGGGGGGGGGGGGTAATAGGGAGGAGCCCCGCTGTGTGTTGGACGAGCCGCGTAAGAAGTCTCCTAGTTAGCTTGCTTTGGACCTATAGGCTACGTACAGAGGGAGCACGCACACGCAGGGAAAACTCACTGGTATCGGACAGGTCTGCGCCTTAGACCCGACGCGAAAGCGACTATAATGGAAGGAGGCAAGGCACGTGCTGTCGATCCGGTCTTTTGGGCGCCGCGATTCCATGAGATCAGACTACAATCTTTGCCTTCGCTTACAATACGGGGGGGGGGGGGGGGGGTGGGGGGGTAATAGGGGATCAATCACGGCGTTCTGGTGTCCTTTGGCCGGCGTCGTAAGGGGGAGGGGATTACGGATACCATCCATCGGTTTAAGTCGATGAGGGAGGAAGCTTTCTTTGGTTTCTTTTGGAAGATGGTATCATATGTCATGGTCTCGATTGAAAAGGGGAATAATACCATGAAACCAGGCGTGGGCGTTGGGGATTTCCCTCATTTCTTTTCCTTTTTCTTTCCTTTCTCTTATTCTTCGTTTGCCATGGACGAACTCATGGCTGTTTCGCGACTATGCACCATACCAAAGCAGTCAATCCTATTAAGCTATCAAGACTTTCACGTGGGTTCCTCTGCAGTCAGTTGCTTGAGCTCAAATCACCCGAGAGAGAGGGCGTAATATGCTCTTATTCCCTTGCACAAGTCCTCACAATGCAGCGCCGTACTTATCCTGTCCGTCCAATATTCGTAGGCGAAACCTGGCGCTGGAGGAGGCCTGCGTCCGGGAACGCAGATAATACTATGTACCTACCTACCTACATTGTATGTCCTGCAAGCTGCGCGCCCCCGGCTTGACGATCTGCACCCGTCGGCCCCGCAGGAGTGGTTTGTGGAGGAGGATTGTGTACCTGAGGTGGTTCCACACTACCTGGTGTAGGTGACATGATGCAAGACCTAACTCTCACTCACTCTCTCACTCACTCTCTCACTCACTCTCTCACTCACTCTCTCACCCACTCTCTCTCCCCCTCACATGACCAACAATCAGCAGCTAGGTGCCTACACCAACCCGGTCCAGCTCGGGCAATTGACTTTCAATTTCAAAAGCTGTGTACACCAGGGGAGTGTTGACCAACACGGAGACACATGGCTTGGCAGTCCAGTGAAAGGAGATAATGTGGCTGGTGACCGCGGCCCCTCCCAGAAGATGAGACATCGGATCGGGGAACCAGTGACGTAAAAGGTGAGGTTTGACGCGGTGGATCGGCCGCACACGCCTTTTACGGGTAAAGCAGACGTCATTCTTACAGCTTCAAAAAAGCTCACGGCGAAAAGCTCCCTCGGAAGCCCAGGGCCCAGACTCTCCCTCTCTCTCACTCCCAGTCTAGGTACTCTCACTCACACTCTCACACTCTCTCACTTTCACTCTTACTCTCACCCCCCCTCACTCTCTCCATTGGTCTCCCTTGGTTTCCCCCAGTCTTGTCTCGATCCGATCATGTCACTTTTACATATGTCTCTCCCCCAGAGCTTCTAGATCCGAGCAATCCCATCAATAAAACCCCTCTTCCCGCCCTCCCTTTCGCATAGTTCCTCACTCAATCCCTCCCATCGCATCACCAACACCCACTCTCTCTCTCCCTCCGAAACCTCCCTCACACAAAACCATTGAGCCCCAGCCAAAAGCACAATGGCCGATCGAGGAGAAGGCTATAACGCCCGCCTGGGCGTGAACACGAACGAGATCCCGACGGCGCAGCACCTGCCCAACGCGACGTCGGGCGCGGAACAAGACCGGTACGGCGGCTGGTTCGGCGGGCGCGCCGCCGAAAAGGCCGGCGAGGAGATGGACCGGGTCGCCGAGAAGGTCAAGGAGAACATGCCCCGTGGCTCCGGCGCCGAGCAGGACCGTTATGGCGGCTGGTTTGGTGGCAAGGGCGATGAAGCCACCGAGAAGCTCCGCCAGAACATGCCCCGCGGTTCCGGCGCCGAGCAGGACCGCTACGAGCGCTGGTTCGGCGGCGACAAGGGCCCCTCCGGCGCCTGGGTTCGGGACCACCTGCCCGACGCCTCGGGTGCCGAGCAGGACCGCTACGGCGCTCACTGGGACGGTGCCGTTGACAAGTTCACCGACAAGATCAAGGAGAAGTTCCCAGGTGGCGCTGCCGCCAAGGAGGAGCGCGTCGCCGGCTGGTTCGGCGACAAGGCTGACAAGGCCGGTCACAAGCTCGACGAGGCTGGTGACAAGATCAGGGACAACCTCCCTCGTGTTCCCAGCCAGGAGCGCGTCGCCGGCTGGTTCGGCGACAAGGCCGACAAGGCCGGTCACAAACTCGACGAGGCTGGTGACAAGATCAGGGACAACCTCCCTCGTGTTCCCAGCCAGGAGCGTGTTGCCGGCTGGTTCGGCGACAAGGCCGACAAGGCCGGCCGCAAGATCGACCACGCCGCCGACAGCATGCCCAGGGCTTCGGGAGCCGAGCAAGACCGCTACGCGTCCCACTTTGAGGACAAGGCCCCGTCGGCAGACCGCATCTACAGCAGACTTCCCAGAGCGTCCGTTGCCGAACAGGATCGGTACGCATCCCACTTCAGCCTTCACCCGAGCAACCCCATCAACACGGCGACGACGACGACGCTCGGCCTCGTCCAAAACGTCCTCCTCCCATCCTTCGGCCTCCACGCCGGCCTCAGCACCGTCACGTACGCCGTCGCGCGGTACACCAACCGAGCCGAGGCCAAGGATTGGCTGTGGCCTTCGGGCCAGGTCGCCAACGCCTGGTGGTCGGCCATCGGCACGCGCGTGCTCTACGACGGCCTCTCCTTCTCGTCCGCCTGGAGCTCGCTCGGCTATACCCAGAAGCTTCTCCTCACTGGCGTCAGCGCCTGGGGTCTCCGCCTCTTCTACCGCATCGTCACCCGCAGCGCGAAGCGCGGCAAGGATGACGCCCGCTACGTCGAGGCCAAGAAGGACCCCCAGTTCTGGGACAAGGCCTTCTTCACCATGTTCCTCCCCGAGGCCGCGCTGCAGGCCCTCATCTCGCTGCCCTTCACCCTGCCCTTCCGCGCCCCCCTCACGAGCGCCGCCGCCTCGCCCTTCACCCACTATCCCGAGACCTTCCACAGCCTGGCCGTGTTCCTCTTCACCACCGGCTTCGCCCTCGAGACCCTCGCCGACACCCAGCTCGAGGACCACTCCCGCAAGAGCCAGCAGCTCAACCGCGAGGGCGTCTGGAGCATCGTCCGCCACCCCAAGTAAGTCTTGACCGACCCACTGACCCTCACCCCCAGAACCTGGACCTCTTGAAAGGGTATGCCCGCTAACTAAGCCGACCAACCAGCTACCTCGGCGACGCCCTCTGCCATCTCTCCTTCCCCGTCCTCCTCTATAGCGCCGGCATGATGCACCCGCTCGCCGCCCTCGGCCCCGTCTTCAACTACGTAATCCTCCGCTACCTCGGCGGCGACAAGCAGACCGAGGCCAGTCAGGAGGTGCGCTACACCAAGGAGAACCCGCTCAAGCTCCAGCAGCTGCGGGAGTACAAGCGCGACAAGAACAGCTTCTGGCCAAGTGTCGCTGAGTACGATAACAAGTGGGTGTGGACCGTCGCCGCCGTCGGTGTCGCCGGCGCCGTTGTCGAGAGGGGCCTGCTGGCCTTCTTCCAGGGTTGAAAGAAGAAGATAGGGATATGATACCGACTTGTTTAATTAGTTGTAATAATCGCCCAACAACAGGTGGCCCTTTCAGAAAAAATGAAATGAGTCAAGACTGTTCAACGTGTTTGATGTTTGACTGATATTACGTCGTCGCTTTATGACCGTATAGACTTTCCACGAGTCCTGGGATCCCTTGGGTTTCCCTTCTTCATATAATATGTACCAAGAATTAAACTATTAAACCAATCCCGGATGCCAACCATCCATCCCCCTCCCTACTTCTCCATCTGGGAGCACATCGCAAGAGACCTTGCCACACCTTTTACAGCAGCTTCAGGTCGAGGACGACGCTGGGCGTGCCCTTGAAGCCGCTGGGCATCGTGTAGGTGAAGTTCCAGAACTCGAAGTCGCGGATCGGCGAGTCGGTGCCGCCCAGGGAGCCGCCGAACGACAGGGCGTACGACGTGTTGACGTTGCCCGAGACGTTGACGGCGAGGCCCTGGACGTCGGCCCAGCCGGTGACGGTGGGCTTCTTGAGGAAGGTGCCGACGACGAAGGTGAAGATGGAGTCCGCGGTGCCGTTGGGGTAGCTGAGGCTCAGCTTGTTGGGGGCGACCTCGACGGCGAGCTCCATCTCGGTGGGGTAGAGCTGTGAGGCGTGTCAGTTGGGCCAACAACAGTTCTGGTCGTCCAAAGGAGAGAAGAACAAAGAAAGGGGAGGCGGGGGGGAGAAAACCTACCGAGATGAAAGAAATCTCATCGCCGGTGTTCCACTGGATCACGGCCGGGTTGAAGGACGCCTGGTTGATGGACGGCCCGCCGATCACGTTCTCCCGGAAGGACTCGGCGCCGATGGTCAGGTTGTCCGAGAGCCAGGAGGAGATGTTGCGCGGGACGAGGTCGTAAGGGGGGTAGAAGGTCGACGCCTCGAAGGTGCGCTCGCCGGAGAAGGTGGTCAGGTTCGCGACGAGGCCCTCGGGCAGGAGGCTCTCGTGGAACTTGGCGAGGACGGCGAAGAGGGGCGCCCAGGCGTAGTCGGCGGAGTGGGACATGACAAAGGGCTGTGGGGCGGTTAGTATATTCTTCTGTTGTCCTCACCCGGAACACCGTCTTCCCGAATGGACAGAGACAGAATGGGGCAAGGCTTCACTCACTTTGGAGATCATGGATGAGTTCTCCTTGCCGATCAGCGTCCAGAACCAGAGCGCCATCAGACTGACGTAGCGGTTCATGTCGTAGCCGTACGCGCGGTCCCAGGGGCCGGCCATGTTCTTCATGCCCGGGTGCCACAGCTGCGAGACGGCTTGCCAGGTGTGAGAAAGCATCTGCGGGCCCTTGACCGTCATGACGGAGTCCTCGGGGAGGTACTTGCACCAGAGGATCAGGCCGAAGAGCGAGACGCCTGTGTAGGTGCCCGAGTTGAACTCGGAGAGCGTGTTGGCGCGGTCAAAGAGGTCGATGATCTCCTGGGCGTAGGTCTCGCCCGACTTCGTCATGTTGGCGTCGCCGAAGCGGCGGCCGGTGTAGCCCGAGACGAAAGCGCGCATGATGGCCTTGGGGGGGGGGGGAGAGAGGTTAGCTTCTCCCGGCGGAGAAAAGGATAGAACATGAGGGACCACGTACGGGGTTGCTGTAGGAGGGGTACAGGTTGTCGTCGTCGACGCCGCCGACGCGGTACTCGTCGCCCTTGGTGGTGTTGTAGAGCGACTGCAGGATGAGGTCCTGCGTGTCGTTGCTCAGGAGGTGGGGGAACTCCTCGAGCGCCATGATGAGCGTCGTGCCGATGAAGCCGCGCCAGTTGGGGTCCCAGGAGTTGTAGATGACGCCCAGATAGTCCGGCGTGCCCACGTACGGCTGCTCGGGGTACATCTGGTAGTCGCCGTACCTGATATTCGTGTCAGATCAACGCATTCTTGCTGTGCAAAGCCTTCTTCTTTGTGGACAAGGACGGGGGGTCCCGGTTGCGATTGATTGCTTACCACTGCTCAGACTCGACCTTGAACTGGGCGTCGATGGTGTTGGTAATGATCTTGGCGGCCTGGGCGGCGTCGTCGCCCTCGTTGCGCGCCAGGAGGCCCAGCGCGTACCAGACGGAACTGCGCGTCTCGTGCCTCAGCGCTGTGGCGGCGCTGAAGTCGTAGAGGTAGCCCGCGGAGCTATCATAGAACTGGTCCATCCAGGCCATAGACTCATTCAAGAGGCCCTGGGCGTTGACGGGCATAGAGGCGACGTACGACGAGGCGGTCGCCGTGCCGGCCGTGAGGGCCAGGATGCCCGCTGCCTTTGTCGTGCTGAAGATCATCGTGAGACAGGCCACTCGGAGGAGAGGAAGAGCTCGGCGTGCTGTAGGGGAGAGACACGTTCGGCGATGCTGCAGAAGTCCTGAGGAACCCGGCAGACGCCGATTGGGAGCCCTGGGGCCCGGGCTGTCTTAATATACGAGCATATCGACGCATTGTGTTGATACCGAGGCCAAGGGCCGCGGGGCAAGCTAACCGTCCGGTGCAGGACCCCGGGGATAGTCGTCATTACACTTTGCGTCTTGACAGAGGGGCGCCCTTGTTTGCCCGCGCGTGACCAACGAACGACGGAAGTAGGCTGCCGTGATAACCTTTGACAACCCGGTACCTGGGGAGGGGACCGCCGTGCCGTGTCGGTATGTGTTAATGGCCTTGTTAGGTAAGAACGGGGACGCGATAATGAGATGTGGGAACTGGGTATCACTTCTATCACCAAGGAGGGGAAAGCGTTCTCTTCCAACGGGTGGAACGATGCCATTCTCCAATGGCAGGGCGGCGATTCGGATCATCCCCGAATGGACGATATCGGAGCGCATGATATCAAGCCGGGGTTGAATAAGAAAAGAGAAGGTCAAAAGAGACGAAGCCGGGGGGGGGGGGGGATGCTTGATGACCTAGCCTCAACAGGGGCCTCCCTTGCTAATGATTCGAGGTTTCCCCTGACCCTGGCGGGACCGTGGTATCTCTCCGCATTCATGCAATCCCGATGGGTCAAGATGAAGTGAGTGGCACGGGCTCGGACGAGTTAAAGGGCGGGGTTGGGAGCCCGGTCCGGCTTTGGCCGGGTGACGATGTTGCTCCATTGGTATTATCGACCGAGGCTGTTTTCCCATATCTCTCCCGCTGCTTGTTCGTCTTCCTTACTCGACACGCTAGCTCCATAATGTAATCAATATGCCCCATCCTGCAGAACAACACTAGAAGATACATGCACCAACAGCGTATCGAGTCCGCGGCAAACAGCGGCTCCTTTTCGGGTTGTCCTCCAGTTTCGCTGACTGGTGGGATCGTCCAACGGGGGGGGGGCCTGGCGAGATGCTATCAATTGTGGACTGGCGGTAATTTGGGACGAAAACACTGTAAGGTTCGTGGGCATTGCACGGCTCGAACCATGGATATAATGTCTATTGCGACGCCCACGCCTCCCTTGATGTGTGTAGCTTGAGTTCACGATGGGCGCGCGATCACAACTGTGTCTGATTGACGATTATTTTCTATCTTCTGTGTGTAAGTAGAAGCAACCGCGAGGTGGGAAAAGGACAAAGCACAATGGCGGAGACCAAATCGATCACAGACATCCCGTCGAGTCCGAGAAAGAGCCTCGATGCTGCTGCGCCGGAGAAGAGCTTCGATGCGGACGAGGCTCGTCTGGCCCAGATGGGTACGTTTTTTCCAAGTCATCAACATCATCCGGCATCGAACTATGTATACTGACGCTTTGATTAGGCCACACGCAGGAGCTGAAGCGTCACTTCAGCACGCTCAGTCTCATTGGCCTCGCGTCGACGACGACCATCTCCTGGACCGGTCTGGGTCTCGGCCTCATCACCGAGATCAACGCCGGCGGCCCGGGCGCCGTCATCTACGGCTTCATCCTCGTCACGCTGCTGCAGTGTTTCCTCGGCGCGTCGCTGGCCGAGTTCGTGTCGTCCTATCCGACCGAGGGCGGCATGTACCACTGGATCGCCGCCGTGGCGCCCAAGAAGCTGACCGGCGTGCTGAGCTTCTTCACCGGCTGGTTCAGCGTGCTCGGCTGTGAGTCGTCCCAGCCTCCCCCCTCCTCCCCTACCGATTGCTTTTTTCTTCATACTGACGCACGAGTCCCCTCTCCCCCCAGGGATCTTCACAACCGCCTCGACGAATCTGATCTACGCCCAGATCCTCATGGCCATGATCGCCGTCTACCACGGCGACCTCGAGATCCAGGCGTGGCAGACCTTCATCGTCTACCAGGGCTTGAACCTCATCACGGCCGCCATCGTCATGTACGGCAACAAGATCATCCCCGGGCTGAACAAGTTCTCCCTCTTTTACCTGCAGATCGGCTGGTTCGTCGTCATGGTCACCGTGGCCGCGTGCGCGCCCACCCACCGCAACGCCGACTTCGTCTTCCGCACCTGGATCAACAACACGGGCTGGGAGAACCAGGTGATCTGCTTCATCACGGGCCTGGTCAACCCGCTCTACAGCCTTGGCGGGCTCGACGGTGTCACGCACATCACCGAGGAGATGCCCAATGTGAGTCCATCTGCAGTTTCCCTGACGCGCGGCATGCATCACAAGACCCATTACTGATGCTTGGAACACAGCCGTCGAGGAATGCGCCCCTCGCCATTGCCATCACGCTCGGTATCGCCTTCGTTACTGGCCTCACCTACTTGGTTACCCTCATGTTCTCCATCCAGGACTTTGACGCCCTTTCCACGACCAACACCGGCCTGCCGCTTGCAGAGCTCTTCCGCCAGGTCACGCAGAGCGCCGGTGGAGCGTTCGGTTTGACCTTCATCCTCTTCATCGCCCTGGGCCCCTGCGTCGTCAGCTCCCAGCTGAGCACCGGAAGAGTCTTTTGGGCCTTCTCCCGAGACGGCGCTATGCCCTTCTCCAAAGTGTGAGTCTTTTTCTCGCGTGCCCTTGCGCAGCAGCCTGAGAACCCGTCAAACTGACAGAATCCTATCAACAAAAAGATGGTCAAAAGTCCACCCCAAGTGGCAGATTCCCATCAACTCCCAAATGGCCGTCACCGCCATCGTGGCGGCGCTCGGATGCCTCTACCTCGGCTCCTCGACGGCCTTCAACTCCCTCCTCGGCACCGCCGTCACCATCAACAACATCTCCTACATGTTCCCCATCCTCACCAATCTCCTCACCGGGCGCAGGAACATGCACCGCGGCGTTTTCAACATGGGCCCCACCCTGGGGCCCATCGTGAACGGCATCACGGTGTGCTGGCTGACGTTTGCTATTGTCTTCTTCTCCTTCCCCTATGTCATGCCCGTCGAGCCCGCCAACATGAACTACACCTGCGTTGTTGTCGGCGGACTCGCTATTTTGGTTGGTGCGTGGTGGTTCAAGGCCGGCTCGAAATACAGCGAGAAGATGCTCCAGGCGAAGGAGGAGTAGAGTGTAGGGGTGATGGAGGGTGGTGTTTTTGGAAGGTTAGTGTAACTGGAGAAATCCGCGATGGAACGTTCTCTGCAGCATTAGAGACCGTGATCCAAAGATCTATATATAGAGAGAGAGAGAGAGAGAGAGAGAGAGAGAGAAGACACAGCCTTTCCAATTATGCACGGCATGAGACCGCAGTGTAGTCTGAGTAGCCTAGGCGGGTTACAGTATAAAGTTATGGTTTTTCAGGATTCGCCAAGTGTTCCATGAAATGTGACGTGCCGCCGTGATACGTGTGACCAACGCACCACTCCGCAGCCCCCTCCCTCTTGTTCCCATGGTAATGGCACAGGCAGAAACCCAGTTTGCTTGCATGGAGAGACCCAGACTTCCGGTACTCACGGGACCAAGCTAGCTCATCTGCCGGATGCCTGGAACGGGTAACGTGGGGTTGACGGGTCCCAGAGGGCCCCCATCCACAAAATGAGTCTCAATGAGCTACCGGTGATACCGGCGGAGAGACGCCGGCAGCCGGGCAATTCGCCGATAGTTTATGCTTGATGTTAATTTGGGGACTCTATGACACTCAAAGTCACCGAAATGACGAGGCAAGTCAAAAGGACCATCAGCATCTCTCAGGACTGCTGCTTGCTCTCTTCCACCTTGCCTCTTTTTTCCCTTTCTTTTTCAACCAAAACCATAACCTGCAACAGCATCTTTTTGATACCCCTAACGTGCTTACTTACTTCTCCACTCACAACCTTGAATACACATCGAAGAGCAAAACGAATCAACATGAGACTTATCATCAGACCCGACAGCCAGTCCGCATCCGCCCACGTCGCCCACTATATCCTGGGTATGGCCCCCTCCCTTTGCTCCAGTCCGACAAAGGTCCGTTACGCACAGCATAGTCCTCTAACAGCTATCAGATCGCATCAGGACCTTTGACCCCACACCAGAGAAGCCTTTTGTTCTTGGGCTTCCTACAGGCAGCAGCCCCATTCAGATTTACGAGATCCTAGTCACTGAATACAAGGCCGGCCGTATCTCCTTTGAAAATGTCATTACTTTCAACATGGTACGTTCTGGTGACGGTGCATTATATGAGTGCTATACCGCATGTTATGTCTCCATATTGGATCCAACCTAATTGTCACTGTTAGGATGAGTATGTTGGGCTTCCCCAGGCACACCCAGAGTCATACCACAGCTTCATGTTCCGCCATTTCTTTTCCCAGGTGAACGTCAAGCCCGAGAATGTCCACATCCTCGACGGCAACGCGCCTGATTTGGATTCCGAGTGCGCTGCCTACGAAGAAAAGATCAAGGCCGTCGGCGGCATAGACCTCTTCCTCGGCGGCGTCGGCCCGGACGGCCACATTGCCTTCAACGAGCCGGGGTCGAGTCTGGCGTCCAGAACCAGGGTGAAGACGTTGGCCATGGACACCATACGCGCCAATGCCCGCTTCTTTGGCGGCGACCTGAGCAAGGTTCCGCAAATGGCGTTGACCGTCGGAGTGCAGACGATTATGGAAGTAAGAGTTTCTCTCCAAAACGAATGAACTTGCGCGCGGGGTGGGACTCGACTGACAGTGACTGGACAGGCGAGGGAAGTCGTCATCATCGTGAACGGAGCAAGCAAGTCCATTGCGCTCCAGAAAGCGATCGAGGGCGGGGTTAACCACATGTGGACGCTGTCGTGTCTCCAACTCCACCCCTACTCGATGATCGTGGCAGATGAGGATGCGACTCTGGAGTTGCAGGTGAAGACGGTCAAGGTGCGTAAAAATCCCATGGCATCCCAGGGAGATATTTCTGACAATTTATCGCGCAGTACTTCAAGAGCATCGAGAAGGTCGGACTGGGCAAGGGTTTCGAGCAGAAGCTGCCCCTAAGACTGAGGACCGTATCTCTCGCCAGCCCTCCTCATACACCAGCAGATAACAAGGCGGCTTTCATTGAAGATCATCTTGTGGAGTTGACGCCGGATAGTATGTCATCTCGCATGACGTCGTGGCCCGTCATATAAAGACGGCCCTGGAGAGATTTAGGGAAAGGGATCATATCCGTTGCAGATACGTCTTACGTATCTATGAGGAGTCATATGCTAGAATGATTTGATGGCTTGATTTGTGCTTCGAGCAGACTTTAGAAACGGTTATTGATGGATATAGTCGCTGTAAACCCCCATAAGCGGTCTAGTGGAGTTCACCCGGTACATATGTAATATCACGATACGTAAAAACTCGATACGCAGCGGTTCTGGGCCTGTGCCACATTTCAATCTCTTCATATGGTACCAAAAAACGGCCATGTATGAATGATTGGGGAAGACTATATGTGGGATTGGCCCTCTCAACCGCCCTGGTTCTCATACGACCACAAGTTATAGCCAGCCTGAAGGCTGGACTGGTCAAAGATGTACCACGAGTTGTCCAGGTTGCGAATCTCTAGTTCAAAACCCTCGGCATCCCCAGACGCAGGCGTGTGAAGTCCCTGAAGCTTCTGCTCGAGCCGGGCAGCCAGCATTCCCCGAAGGCTGGGTTTCGGCTCGTACATCTCCTTCAACCTTTGCAGGTGAACGCCTACGTTTTCTAAATCTGTGCACGATGCGTCAGCTTTGGCAACGCACTTTGTTTTCGTAATACGAGAAAGACTCACCTTCAGGTTCCCCTACCCCTCCGTCCACTCCTTGAAGTACGATAAGAGCAGCCCACGTGATCATGACCAAATCCCAATTAGACCATATCGAAGAGTCGCACATCTGGAGTTTGACGGCCGCTCTAGCAGAGACCAGAAGCTCGTGCTGCTCTTTCGGGGTGGTGTTTGAGAACAGGTTGCAGCCTCTGGCAGGGTGGTATATAGACAAGACAAGGAGTCGATGCAGGATGTACTGCCGGAACACGAGCTTCTTCTCGTGCTCCGACTCAAAGTCCTTGTCACTAAACTCCACGAGCCAGTCGTCCAGCTGCCGCGCCCAGTCGCGGATGACAGCGCCGTCAACCCCGCTGAACGAAACAGAAGAGATCTGCGCCACGGTGGGCTCGGTTTCGAAGCACGACCAGATTGTCGGGAGGCCCCTCCCCGTAAAGTGAGTCAAACCTGTGTGCATCATCCGTGACAACCGATATAACTGATCCTGCAGTGGGATCTTCAGTCTTGGAAGCGGCGCCTCGATGGGAATGACAGGACACGACAGGTGGATTGACGCATGTTCAAGATCCACGATCTGGAGATGTCAGTGCCGCAACTCTACAGTTGCGCAAGGGAAGCATTACCTGTAAGCCGGCGAACAAACGTCGCCACTCGCGAGATCGCTCATCGGTATGAGAGGGGCAATGCTCCAATATGAGACGGTATGCGAGGGATATCCAGACCCCGGTCTCTTTCACGACGGCTTCCCTCAGCAGGCCGGCGAGTATGATACCCAACACCGTTTGAAACGCCCATTCTTCGGCGGAAGTCTTTTCGTCAGGAGGCTGGCCGACTTCGCTCTGCGGTATGCACAGCTGGGAGATGGCGCTGCACAAGACGGTGAAGTAATCCGGCGCCAAGACGGCAACGTCAGGCGAGCCCCTGATGCTGGAGCAGTAGAGCATAGAGGCCAGCATGAGTGGTCTCGGAGACGAGAACGTCTGTTTTGTCGGGAGAAAGTGCAGCCCCGGCATGGACTCGTGGAATCTGCGAGAAATTAGTGTGAGCGGTCCGAAGGGTAGCTTGCTCGGGGCTGGTAAAAGGGGTGGACATACGACAGCCAGAGGCGCTTGATCATGACCTTGTCCCATATGTTTGAGCTGACATTGGAGGAGCAGCTTCTTCTGAGCACAGATACCGCACCCCAGAGAGCGCCGAGTGAAGTTTCCCCAGGCGTCCCAGGCTCCAGTGCCGTCATCTCCGGAGACGGAGGCGACTCGGGCTCGTCGACATTGCTCAAGGGCGGCAGCCCCAAGTGTTCTTCGATCCGTTTGAGACGGAGAAAGACGGACTTGTTTAACAACGGGCTCTGCTCGTTTGCCTGCAGAAGGGACGCAAGCGAGATACTTTCCCGATGCGATGCTGACTACAACAAGACATCTGTCAGACGAAGCCGCAGCATAGCCGCCTCGAGAGCGACAGGACGGGAGGAACGTACGTTGGCCCGCGGTACAAAGACGCAAGGCACTCCCGCCCGTAAGCATCTTCGACATGCGGACCCATTTTCGATTCTACATTTCATCTATGTCCGCAATGGGAGGGGGACCCGTCCGTCAGAGCTGAGACTTGACAGCGGGTGTCAACTAAGCATAGCATACCTTTTGTTTCCTGCAATTGACTGAGTCGGCACACGAGCATCAGCCACCGCAGCCACGGAACAACCAGGGGGGGGAGAAGGGTGGGTGTCCTTGCGGAGGGGGGTTTGCGGCTTACCACACGCCTTCCGGGCTTTGCTCAGGCCCGACTCCTCCGGCTCAGGCCGGGTCGCCGTCTTGTCTCTCGCCGGCTGAGTTGACATTGTCAACAGCTTATGCACTAACACGCCCCTTCAAGTCCCACTCTATTGTGCGCAGAACGGGTTGCGGAGAGCGCAGGTTGTTTGCGGCTTCTTCCTGTGCCCGCAATTGCTGGGCTCTGTGGGGGAGGGGAGGGGGCCGGCGAAACAGGTAAATTCGGGGGTTAAGTTTGTTGTTCACCGGTTGCGCCGGGGACCACCGGCTTTTTGAAGATTCGACGACTGGCGCTACGAGCGAGCCTGGACCTGGCTCTCTTGATAGGCCGAAGAACCGTCATTGGAGGGATTTCTGGGCAATTTGGAACGGCCCACCCGGCAACTCCGGTCCGTGTTTGCCGGGTGGTGATGTTGCAAGAGGCGCGCGCGCACGCGGTCGACGGAACAGGTGCAGGTTTTGCTGCATTCCGACGACATGGCCTTCCTCCGAACGCCCGCCACTTCTCATTGCCATGTCCCCAGCCTCCGGTGTGAATTCCCAGAACTTTGCCGCAGATGTTTGGGTACTTGATCGGGTTAATCTGCTGAGAGAGAGAGAGAGAGAGAGGTGGTGTTGTACACCACCCATGGAACCCCCCCCCCCCCCCAGCTTTCGAAGCCAACACTGTGTCCCCAACCAGCACCGTAAGCGCCCTTCTCTGCTGGAAATCGGCGTCCAGATGTCTCCCGCCGAATCCAGGGAAGGCCGGGTCCCCGAGTCCGTAGCTCATGCACGGAGAATCGCGCATGATTTTGACTTCCCGGCGGAGGAGGTCCGTCGCGCGACACGCCACTTTCTGAAGCAGCTTAGTAAGTACCTGATTCTTCTTCTCTCCCATTGACTTGGACGCACTAACATGACCCAGACGAGGGGCTCCAGCGGGATGGCACGTCAATGTGTCAGATTCCGTCCTTTGTGACAAACCTTCCCAATGGCTCGGAAAAGGGCGTTTGTATGGCCATAGACCTCGGCGGTACCAACCTAAGGGTGTGTTCTGTCGAGCTGAACGGGGATTCCACATACTCTCTTACTCAGTCCAAGGCGGTGATCCCAAGAGACCTCATGACCGCACCAACCTACAAACATCTCTTCAAGTTCATCGCCTTGCAGATCAAGACGTTTTTGGAAAAGCATCGTCCCTCGGACTTGGAGACATGGGCCCGCGTGCTGAAGGAGGAGAGCATTACCGAAGAAGCGCGAAGGAAGCACTGTAAGAGTCTGGGCTTTACGTTCAGTTTCACCTTTGACCAACACGCCATCGACAAGGGCACTCTGCTCTACTGGACAAAGTCGTTCGACATCCCCGATGCGGTAGGACGCGACCCCTGCGCCATGTTGCAGGAAGCCCTCGACGAGCAGCAGTTGCCTCTGGTGGTCACCGCTCTGGCCAACGACACGGTCGGCACTCTGGCCACCCGAGCCTATACGTCGCCGGGCCGGTCCAGCAACGTTGTCGGCGCCATCTTCGGGACGGGAACCAATGGCGCCTACATGGAGCGCATCTCGCGCATCGCCAAGCTGCATTCCACAAAGGCGTTCCGGGACGCTGGGCCGGGCGAGATGATGGCTCTCAACACGGAGTGGGGCGGCTTCGACAACAAGCTCGAGGTGCTGCCGACGACAAAGTACGATCGCGAGCTGGACCGGGACTCGGTCAACCCCGACGATCAGCACTTTGAGAAGAGGATATCCGGCATGTACCTGGGAGAAATACTCAGACGGATCCTCGTCGACCTGATCCAGACCCGGCCGAGCATTTTCGAACTCGAGGTCTCTGGGGGCTCATTGCTCCACGTGCCCGACAGTATCGACAGCTCGCTCCTATCCATGGTGGTCAAGGACGACACTCCCGAGCTCGAGCACGCACGCGGCGAAATATCAAGAGTGCTGGGAGCCACTCACGTATCGACCAACGACGCGAAAGCCATCAAGATCCTCTCGGAAGCAATTGGTAGGAGATCGGCGAGACTGTCCTCTGTCGCAATTGCCGGGGTCGCCCTCCAGTCCGGGATTTTCGAAGCAAAGACAAAGACGGTCGCACAACCGCTTTCACAGTGCTGGGGTCTGGGTATCAACGTCCTGGAGCCCATCCTGTACGGCGTCCAGACATTTTGGAGGTTCCTGGCAAGCTGGCTCCGGGTCAAGGTCCGCATCACCGTGCCGAAAAAGCAGTCGGCGAGCCCGGCGGGTGGCTCTGGGGATCGATGTATGAGTGAGCCCGAGGGCGAGGTTGAAACCATTGATATTGGCGTCGATGGATCTCTGGTTGAGCACTTTCCCAACTTTGAGAAGCACATTCGAGAGGCTCTTGGAGAGATCCCCGAGATCGGCGACCGTGGAGACAGAATGATCAAGATAGGGATGGCCAGAGACGGCAGCGGCGTTGGGGCTGCGCTGATAGCATGGGCGGCGAGGTCGTAATGGACGGGCTTTGGCCAGGTATTTCCGGGGGGGGGGAATGCTTGAAATTTTAAACCATTAGAGGAATAGAGAGTTGTGCTAGACATGGAGACTAAAGACGCGGTTCGGGCTGCTGCAGGAAACTTCAGATAGACTGCGTATGATGTAGCCAGTTAATATCATCTTGTACTCAACTGAGCAAGTCAGACCGCTTTCGTTTGGCCCAATCCATTGTTCTGTCATGGTGGCGACAAGGACTTTGAAGTCATTCATATCTATGTGGGCAGTCGGCGATTCACATCGACTTGCAGCAGCCTCTGATGGGGCGACATGTTTTGCGCCAGGTTGTTTTAGACAATTAGTAACGACTGACCAATTCAAAGGATCCAAGGCATAGCATGCCATCATTTGAATGAGAAGGAAAAAGAAAACTACAGCCGTGCTTTGTTTGCATTGGCAAATTAGAGTGTAGACGTAACCTAAGGCTACAGGGGGATTATTACATAGCGGTAACTATAAAAGATATATCCTATAGACAGACTATTGAGCTAGTTAATAGGTATTATTATACATATTTAGACAGCAAAGAAAAGACTATAAAACATGTGTTAAGCAAAGATAATCAAGAGGAAAATAAGAGGACAAGGATAGATAACTAGGTGAGGATTACCTCCAAGTGGATAAAGCAATGTTGGACAAAAATTCAAAACAAGAGGTCGTGCCCGGGTTCGAACCGGGGTTGCCGGAAAATAGCGATTTTGATGTGATCAAAATCCGGAGTGATGACCACTACACTACACAACCGCTGTCATTGGTGAAAGCACCACCCACTATCAAAGTTAATAGATGGCGAAGCGAGAAAACACCCCACATGGAGACAATGACTAAGCGTCGATGTGTGCTTGGTCAGCATCGCTGCTAAGGACAATGCACCGCCGCGACTTACATCGTAGGTCTGTTGTCTACGGATACACCTGGTCCTCCTTCTACGTCTATGCGGTTGTCTTGTTGTCGCTGTGGCTGCTGTCTAGTGTAGGCTGGAGCTGCCTACTACCGGTACGTAGGTGGTCTATCTCCTTGTCCTGCGCCCCCCCTGCAGAATCTCCTTGGCCTAAGAGATATGCGCTGTAGCCCCTGGTCTACTGCACTGTCCCCTGCATCTCTACTAGAACAGCAGTACTAGCTACTCCGTAGAGATACCGCACTAGTAGCTTGTCTACCTCGACCTCCTTGGCTTTCTCCGTGACAGGGTCTTCCCTTTTAACAGCTAACTAGTATATAAAAAGCATCTGGTTTGCTTTGATAATAGCCAAGAAAATTGCTGTGTAGTCTGTCGCCTTGACCTAACCGCTGCCCTTGTTGATACCCATAAGAGCACGCGCACTAAGTAAGGCGTTCTTGTAGTCACCCTTCCGGAGTGGGTGGTTAAGAACGCAAGATAGCAGCTTGTTGTCAGCTATCTCCTGTGTGTAGTGCCAGATACAGAGAAACATCTGCTAGACGTCCTTGTATCTTGTATCGGTTGTTTAGTGTGCGTTTGCGGTGAAGGGTTAGGGAACACCTGCTTTTCTTATAAAGTACGCTGCCTGCTGCGGGTATATCTCCTCTTGACTCTCCCGAGTGGCCTCCCCTCGTGTAGTCCTTCTAGAACACCCAGCCCTCCTCTGCCATGACCCTGTTCTGGACGAGCGCGTTACACGGTATATCTGATATTAGCTGCTTATCTCAACGACAGCCCCGTTCACCCCTCCACCCCCTAAGCCCTAGGACAATACACTCGTGACAAGTAACACCCACAGCCCAACTCCCACCAAACTACCTCTCGTTGTCGACCGACCAGAGCTGCTCTCGTGCGTCCCTGAGATTCCACTGCCTATCCCATTTCGACTCAAACATGACCCAAAGCCGTCAAGTTCGCTCTTGGGCAGCTCGCACCAATAGTAGCAGTCGCTGGCGATGTTGACGACCTCGGGGGAGCAGCACTTCGTCATCGCCTCATGCGACCCGTTTCGCCCCACAGGGACAAAGCCAGTACTGACATTGCTTGGTACTCCCCCCATGTCGACGAAGCTTGGTAGGCTGGAAGGACCGGGGCACCTCACGTTCGACGTCATTGTAACCGCGCTGGATCTGAACCTTTGGCGAATCTTTGATGCTGTGGACGGAGGGGGTGATATCTTGGGTGTGAGGAGAGGAAGCGGTAGAAGAGGTGAACGGCGCTGATGGGTGTATGATTAGGTGAAAATCTTCGTCTTGCATATCACCCCAAGACGCCGTAAGCCGGCGTCTCTTTCTACTTTAAGGCTTCAGCGTTGCCCATCTGTCGGTTGAGCCGTTTCTACTCTATAGCCTTGACGTATGTCATGCTTTATGCCTTCTAGTTTGTCGATCCAATCCTTGTCAGCTTCCTGCCCCTTGGCGTATGTCACCCTGCCCTGCAAGGGTAGCGGGGTACAGCGAACCACAGCTGCTGGATTGGGTTGACGCGCGACGCCTTGTTGCGGTACAACATAGGTAGTAGGTGTGTTTACGTTGGTTGGCGGCCGTCGCTCCCAGCCTGCGCTGGGGGCAGAGAACCTGTTGGACCGCTGTCCATCTTATGCTCAGGCCTGTTCTCGTATCCATATACGCGAGCCTTGGCTATGCCTACTTTCGGATCACCAATGTGACAAGCCGCAAATGGACGATGACACGGATAGCCTTATAGCCCTGACTGCGTACAGTGACCCAGAAATTCCCTATATTATCCCTATCAATACATTATACATATTACCAAAGGCAGTTTACTACTGCTTTCTAGCACTCCGAGTGGCCACTGGCGAGAAAGAGGATTCATTCAGTTGTTGGCCCTTCGAACGTTTGACCGTGCAAAAGATCAGATTCATTGTCGCCAAGACTGTACAAGCTTTCTAGGCCTCTGTCATTAGAGAGGGCGGGTCGATATCTTTACATGCGGCACTGATACTGATTACAAGCTCGCAAAGGCAAGGAATGTCCTCAAATCTGCTCATAACAAGCCCGGGAGGGAGAACAGGAAGATGCTCAGGGAGAAGAAAAGCGGATGGAGATCGTGTTCGGGTCGAAAGATGAATCCTTCTCTCGTCTTGTTGTATCGGCTAAAACAATATCACTACTACCTTGTGCTAGAGCTGACTAGAAACACACCTCACAACAAGGTACCTAGTAAAGCGGTAGCACTGTATTTAGACCACAATTATTGGCGTTAAACAGAGTATAAAGATAACAGAGCGCAAATTATATATCGCTCGATTCCGTCAAGACGCCCGAGGACCTTAGTTAACATGTGCAGAGATCAGCTGCCGGCTGGATGAAGATGATGAGACCGAACCTTAGACATAGGGTTAAAAATATCCAGTCTATAGGGATCTATAGATATCTATAAATATAGATTAGTTTTTTTTTAGATCTATAGCTATAGATTAGTTAGAATAGATATCTAAAAAAAACTAGATCTATAGTTATAGATTTAAAAAATCCCTATATCTACTAGATAAGATAAAAATAGATTTTTAGATTAATCTATATAATAAGAATAGATTCTTAGTTATTAAAGATAACTTAGTAAAGTTAAAAAGGCTTTTATTTTCTTAATATCTTTTAGACTTTAAGGAGAAAATATCTCCTTACTATAGTACTTTAATTTTACTTTAGTAGTACTTAAGTACCTTTTAAATACTATTTTTTTTATTAGCTTAGTTATTTTACTCTCTACTAATAATCTTATTATATTTCTTAAAAGCAGTAGTTAACTTTTTTACTTTTTATTAATACTTTATACTTTATATAGTAAGGCGTTTATTAATTCTAGCTATAAAATAGTTAATATAAATAGTTAATATATTATAAAAGTAGTTATATACTAGTTTTTATATTTTTAGCTTTTTAAGCTAAGCCTAAATACTAACTAATAGTATAAAGCTTCTTAATAAGGTTAAGGTTTTTACTTATAATAGTTATATAGTTTATATATATAGCTATTAGGTTAGTTACTATAATAATATTAGTTAAGTTTTTATAAAATATTAAAATACTTACTTTTAAAGACTAAGATAAGGATATCCTCTAAGGCCTCCTATAGAGCTAGAAGAGCTTCTCCCTAGAAGTAGAGGTTAGGGATAATACTACTTATAATATTATAAACTATACGCTAGAAAGTAAGCTTAAAGAGAGCTATTTTTTTAGAAGATATTAATTACTAGAACTAGATTTTTTATAAAGCGTATACTAAAAAGAGAATATTAGAAATATAATAACCTAATATAATAATTAGACTTACTACTAGGTATATAGCGCTTTTAGTAGTTAAGCTATTTTATATACTTCTTAATATAGGAAGCCTTAGGAGTTATAGTAGAAATAATAAATCCTAACTTAATTAAAAGTGTTAGATATTTAGGTAAAAACCTTAAGTTAGAAAATAATAAAAAGAAAAAAAAAATAAAAAAAATAAATAAATAGATATACTAAGTAGTTATTATTATTATTATTATTATTATTATTATTATTATTATTATTATTATTATTACTATAAAAAAAATTAATTATATAGTAAAAAAAAGTAAAGCTAGTAATTTACTAGTTAAGGAAAGTATATACTATATATTTAGGTAGTAGTAAAAATAAAAAGTATATACTAAATAGAAAGTAAAAAAAAAAATAAAGCTAGTAATTTACTTATTATAAAAAGTATATACTAAATAATAAGGTAAATAAGAGAGGTTATATAAGTTCTAGTCTATATACTATAAATATTTTTTTAAAAAGTAAAAAAAAAACTTTTCTTAATATATAATCTTTTTATTTATAAGAATAATCTTATAATAAAAAGAAACTTAGTTTAAAAGAGATAATAATATATAAAAAGAATTTTTCTTAGCTTAAAAAGGGAAAATAAAACCCTATAGTAGCTATTATATTTTTAGCTTCTAGCTAGTAAAATAAGTCCTTTATTTTATAATATAATAATCCCTACCTAATTTATATTAACCTTAATATAAGATACCCTTAAGGATTTAGTGTAAAAGAAAAAAGAAAAGCTTCTACTAATTACTTTAATAACCTTAATACTACTAAAACTTATTAAAGACTTAAGAATATATTAGAGGTCTAGAGAGTTAAAGTAAAAAAAATAGTTATAATAAATACTTAGTTTAGTAAGGAGTTTATAAAGCTTTAGAAAACAGTAGCTTTTAGGAATATATCCTTTACTACTTAGTAAGCCTAAAAAAAAAAGCTTTATTAATAGAATAAGGACTACTAGTAAGCTATAGTCTACTATCTCTTAATTTCTTTTCTTCTTATAAAGATTTAGTATCTATAAAAATAGCTATCCTAATTAGTATAATAGCTAAAGTAGTCTTTAAGAGGATAATAATAATAAGATATATAATAATTTTAGTAATAATAACTAAGAGGATATTAATAAGTAGTATGCTATTAACTTTACTAAGGATAATAGCGTTAAAAAAGATACTATAGATATCTAGATATTAAAGGCTTAAACGCCTACTAAGATTTAGTAATAGTACCTATAAAAATCTAATAATATAAGTTAAGTTAGTTATTATATTAATTATTATATTTCTAATTTTTATTTAGACTGCCTTAGTTACCTCTTTTACTTACTTCTAAGGAATCTAGCTTACTATACTTAAGGTTCTCTAGGTAAAGCTATCCTGCTTTTACTATTTTCTCTTAAAGGTAAAAGTAGCTCTTAATAAAGTAAGAATTCTCCCCTAGGATAAAACACTCCTATTAGTATAAGACTTCTTCTTAATAAAGGAAATTTTTCTATAGCTTATTCTTTCTAAGTTCTAGTACTAAATAGAATTTAATTTAAGTATAATATAATATAAGAAGTTAGTCCTCTTAAAAAAATAAGCTTAGTAAGAATCTTTAATTAAGCTTTTAGATTTTATACTAATTATTTAAGAGGTAAAACCTTTAATCTTAAGTAGCTAAAAGAGCTTTTAGATACTTACTTAGTAATTATTTTTATAGACGCTATTACTAATATAAGGTCTTAGTTTAAAAAATAATTTAAGATATTCTTAAGATATCTACCTAGCTAGATAATTAAGAATAGCTTACTTTACTAGGTCTTACTAAAATATAAAAAAATATTAATTAGCTTTTTTATAAAGATATTAAGATTATAAATTTTCTATTCTAATATTATAAGTCCTAGCTAGTAGTAATAGTAAAGTATATTATAATACCTCTTCTTAAAAACTTCTACCTAGATTCCTAAAAGACCTTTAATTAGGTATATATTAAAAACTTATTTTAGTTTTACTTTCTCTTAAGTAAAAAATAAAAAATAAGTTTTAAGAATTATAAATAAAAACACTAGGACTTTTAAGGTCTATATATTTTTTAAATTATTTAGACTTTAAAGTAAAAATATTTTCTTACTATAGTACTTTAATTTTACTTTAGTAGTATTTTAGTACCTCTTAAATACTATCTTTTTTATTAGCTTAGTTATTTTACTTTTTACTAATAATCTTACTATACTTCTAAGAAGTAGTAGTTAACTTCTTTACTTTTTATTAATACTTTACGCTTTATATAGTATAGTGTTTATTAATTCTAGCTATAAAATAGTTAATATAAATAGTTAATATATTATAAAAGTAGTTATATACTAGTCTTTATATCTTTAGCTTTTTAAGCTAAGCCTAAATACTTACTAATAGTATAAAGCTCCTTAATAAGGTTAAAGTCTTTACTTATAATAGTTATATAGTTTATATATATAGCTATTAGGTTAGTTACTATAATAATATTAGTTAAGTTTTTATAAAATATTAAAATACTTACTTTTAAAGACTAAGATAAAGACATCCTTTAAGGCCTCCTGTAGAGCTAGGAGAGCTTCTCTTTAGAAGAGGAGGTTAAGGATAATACTGCTTATAATATTATAAACTACACGCTAGAAGGTAAGCTTAAGGAGAGCTATTTTCTTAGAAGATATTAATTACTAGAACTAGATCTTCTATAAGGCGTACACTAAAAAAGAATATTAGAAATATAATAACCTAATATAATAATTAGACTTACTACTAAGTATATAGCGCTTTTAGTAGTTAAGCTGTCTTATAAACTTCTTAATATAGGGATACTTAAGAGGTATAGTAAAGAAAATAAATCTAGACTTAGTAGAAAGTATTAGAATTATATTAACCTAATATAATAATTTAATATAAAAATTTTTACTATATTAATATTTATAACTTTTTAAGCCCTTAGGTATAGT